TGTCCGCGACATTGGTGAATTGTTGAAAGAATAGCAAAGTGATTGATTCATTTTGATGTCACAGGCGCCGTTCACTGCATACAATGGTGTATTTGATGGTTTTATGAGGCTCCATGCGTTTTGTTCTTGCTCTGATACAGTTCCTGATTCCAGAAACGAAACAATTAAAGAAACGACCAAAAGGTGGCTTGTTCAAACTTCTATCGTGGCCAAAAACCAAAACCGTACGATAGCTCCCTTGTACTTGAGTGATTGATCAAAAGGGATGGTTGATGATCGACAGCAACCACCGCACTTGATACAGCCATGAAATAGGCAGACCAGCCCTTGCTAACGCTCTCGAGCCCACGCATCACCGAACAAAAGAGGAGAGAGACAGAGAGTAGAGCAGCACGAGTACATTGCAATGACAAACGAACATGGTCATAAATGAACAAGGAGACAAAAATAAAGAGAATAGAATGGAATCGGAGGGATGGTACAATAAAATGGTAAAAAATGGTTGAAAAAAAAAATGAGTAAAATGCTCGAACAAAAGCTGGGCCGGCAAGAACACAACGAGGTCACAACTCTCGTTGGGAAGCGCTAAACCGGAGTTTGGAAAATGTCGACTTCGGTAGACAGGTCAAGCATGCTGGGACTGAGAGGCAATCCAAACAGTTCCGTGTTTATCAGAAGGTCCAACGATTCGTCTCCAATTCCAGGCATCTCAGCCATCGGAGAGAGCGTGTTGGAGCCAAGCAACTCGTGTTCAGATTCTTGGTCTTGTTCCACCAGCTGCCATTGCTGCATCAGCAGGGAATGGGCCGTGTGTTGGTGTTGTTGCGGTTGCTGCTGCTGCTGTTGTTGTTGTTGCTGTTGTTGGTGCAAAGCCTGCTGTTGCTGTAAAGCCTGCTGTTGTTGTTGTTGATGATGCTGCTGTTGCTGCTGTTGCTGCAGCGAAGGCTGCTGGATGGATAGGGAAGCAGAACGCCAGTTGGCGGGCGGTGCATGCGTAAACTGCAAATAGAGCTGTTGCACCAGCGAGTTGTTGAGATGCGCAGCATACGTCTCAACAAAATGCCGAAACACGTCGTCCTTGCTCGCGGTCGGGTGTTGCTGCTCGAGTGCAAGCAGGTTGGAGATGAGCAAGTGGACCTGCGAGGACTGGATGGGCTGCGAATGCTGTCGCGTCATGGATCGTTGCTCCTGGCCCGGATGGAATGGCTGCTGCATCATGTTGACACTGCCATTGTTCATGTCTGTCTGGTTCTGAAGCGTACGAGCGCGCAGCGATTCGGGAAGAAAGTGTTGACCAATCGGCACAACGCGCTGCGGAACGGACGCAGGCAGATGGTGCGTTTCCACCGAAAGCGTCGGCATGCTCCCTATGACACCAAAAAAGGCACAGACGCGAGGAAAGCGGTGAGTACAAGGCCTGGATGAATGCTGCGCAACAAAACCCCATAAACCAAAGACTATAGGTACCTCGCCGTTGACGCAGATTGTCTTGCAATACGCCACCGAAAGACTCTGCACCAGAGCCAGGTCGTCGAAAATCGATGGGCAGGGGGTTTTGCTGGAGCTGTAGCTGCTGCACCTGCTGAAGTGCGGCTGCGATATCGACGCCCGACGGCGATGGCGAGGCCGTGAGGGCTGACTTTCTCATTTCGTCGCCTGGTGTGTTGCAAAGATCAAAAAAAGCAATCGCCCCAAAGAGATCAATGAAAGAGGAAGAGGAAGGGATTACCGTCAGTCGCAAGCACAGCAACAAAACCGAAAAACAAAAAACACTTGTACAGACCTCGCGCATTGCCGCCGCGCTTCAGCCTGGCAAGATGCTCGGGCTTGCCCTTGGCGAGTTGTACCGACGGGAGAGACATGCGACGCGGAGGCAGTTTGGAGCGATGTTGCTTGCTGTTGTTGCCGGAGGGAGCTGTCGTGTCGGGTTGATCCACACCCACCATGCCAGAGGGGCTAGTCGAGGCATGGGACGAGGTGCCCGAGTTGGATGCCGACGAGGCCGCGCTGAATCCAGCAGAGTGCGAGTGGCGCATGGTTCGGAAGGCTGGCGCAGGGGCGGGATTGAACGACGCGGCTTGGTACTCTTGCGTCAATTGCTGAATCTGGTCGCGAAGAACCGAGGCGAGAGTGTGATCCGAGCCCACCGACTGGGCCAAGGAAGCAATCGAGTCCGAATCGGCCATGGTGGAGGAGGACGAGTCAAAGTTGACGCCGAAATTTCCGGCACCAAAGTTGCTGCCACTGGCGACGCTCAATCCAGAGAGACGCGAGCCACCTGTCGTCGGGTTTGGCGGTCCAGTACTTGCGCTAATGTCGCTGTCATGCCCCGAAGACCACGAGCGACCGCGGGTATTCGCTGCATCAAAGCCATAGCCGGATGCGATTTGGTTTTGTTGCTGTTGTTGCTGCTGTTGCTGGAGCTGCGCGCTGTCAAATAGCGGCTGGTCATCCATGCTTGTGGATGCCTTGAGTGAGAGAATGAGGTTGTCGACCTCGGGGTCTTGTTCTGACGACGATTCAAGCATGCTCTCGAGGAGCGTCGTGTTGGATTGATTGACAAACGCAGTAATGTCCTTGTCGCGATTCATCTGCTGCAGGTGCTGTTGCTGCTGCCGGAAAAAGTACTGCTGCTGTTGCTGCTGCAGCTGTTGCTGTTGCAGCTGTAATTGTTGCTGCTGGATCAGCTGGAGCTGGACCTGGACCTGCATTTGCTGCTGGATGAGCGAGTTGACCGTGTTGGATGTTGAGTTCGTGCTGTTCGAGCCGGCCATCTGGTGCTGAGCCAGTGGGTTGTGGAAGAAGCTGGCGCCTTCGCCGTGGTGCATCTGGAGCGTCGATGGGTTGAATAGTGGCGGCGAATGGCATGGACTGTGACTTGGACATGGATCGCTGTTGCTGCTGTTGTTGCTGTTGCTGCTGTTGCTGTTGTTGCAACGAAGGGAAGAACATTCCTGTTGGATGTCGAGCAACACATCAACACATCAACATCAACATCAAAGTGAGCACTTAAAGTGAGCACTTTTTTAGGCAATTTGTATTGCATTTGCATTTGCATTATAGACGTGTCAAACCACACCCTGTTTTGGCTTGACGGTTTTTTTTTTGTTTGTCCCTTTCTCTCTTTTGGGGTTTTGTGGGGTGGAAGATCATCATCATTGTCATCACACTTTTAAAAAGGGAGAGCGAAACGGGTAGAACGAACAAAAAAGAAGGCGTGTTGATGTTCGGAACCAAGACCAGGTCCCTGTTCCCCCTGTCGCGTGAGGGTGAGAGTGACAGCTTATTGTTTTGTTTTTGGTTTGAGGTGCTTTTCGGTTTCAACTTGCGGTTGAAGCAGCAAAGCATCTGCTTCGTCACGCCGAGTGTGATGAGTGACTGAATGGGACAAGAAGAAGAAGAAGAAGAAGAAGGAGCCATGATGATGGTGATGATGATCGCGTGATGGGGGTTGTGCAAAGTGCGAGTGGGAAAGCGGGAAAACGGGCAGTATTTGAGGGGCAAAAGAGCAGAAGAATAGTTCGCACACCCTCGCTTGTCTCTGGTCTGTTCGTGTGTGATTCTCTCACTACCCAACTCATTAAACCCCGACTCCATCCTCACTGAATCACTTGTTCTTGCTGCTCGGGTTCAAAGAGAGAGAGAGAGAGAAAAAAAAAAGAAAAAGAAAAATCACAAAAATAAAAAAAAAAAAAAAAGAAAAATAGAAGAAAAAAAAAAAAGAGCTCTTGTGAACAGACGCTTGTCTCTCTCTCACTCACTCACTCACTCACTCACTCTCACTCGACCCGACGCCATGCAGCTGAATTCGACAGGAGAATGAATAGCGAGCGACAAAGGGGAGGAGGGGGGGGGGAAAGGAGCAGCAGCGGGTTATTGTACCTGGCTGGGACGGGGTTGGGGACGGGGACGGCGAACCAGACACGCCAGCAAACGACGACGACGACGGCCCAGCAGCAGTAGCCACGCTCATGTCGGCAGCAGTACTGCTACTGGACGCGGTCGCGGCAGCAGCGGCGGCAGCAGCAGCAGCAGCAGCGCGATACGCTGCAGACGACCGAGCATTCGCAGACGCGGCGCGCCGCCGAGGGGCAGGAAGCCCAGCAGCATCTGGCCCTCCTGCCATTGGCGATGGCGATGGTGCGAGGGGTGTCGTAGCTGCTGGTGGTGTTGAGACAACCACATAGGCTGGGCTGCGAGCGCCACTGCCACTGCCACTGCCGCTGCCGTTGCCGCTGCTGCTGCTGGCAAAGGCCCGCCGCTCGGTCTTTGGACTCGTATCGAGTGCAGGCATCATTGTGCCAAACTGGTTGGGCCCCTGCACGAACTGGAAGAGCTCCTGCGGGTTCATCAGCTTGTTGGACGACGACGACGACGACGACGACGACGCCGCCAATGCTGACGATGATGGCCATCCTACAGCAGACGCCATGGTCGTCGTTGCGTTCGCGGTGGTGGTGGTTGTGGTTGTGGTGGTGGTGGTGCCGTTGCTGTTGGGTGCAGAGGGCGGCGGAAGGCTCGTCGTGCTGCTACTGTTGCTGTTTGCACCGCCACGGCGCAGCGACGACTTGACCGGCTGCTGCTGCGGCTGTTGTTGTGGTTGTTGTTGTTGCTGTTGTTGTTGCTGTGGCTGCTGTGGCTGCTGGGGCTGGAGGGGGAGGTACGGCAATGAAGACAAGGACGACGACGAAGCCATTCTTCACTCTCCTTTCTCTGTCTCGCTCTCTCTTTCTCTGCGAATGCTCAGCGGGGGTGCAAAGTGTCGTTGGTTGTCTGCGAGAATCAAAGTGTCGTTTTGTTGCTGTCGTGTTGAGATGGAAAAACAAAAGAAAAACGAAGAAAAGAAAACGAAAAAAAAAAAAAAAAAAGAATGGAATTTCAAATGCGAAAGCAAAGGAAAAAAAAAATAATAATAATAATAATAAAAAAATAAAAATAAAAAAGAAAAGCTCAAAGAAAACAGACGAAAAAAAGAAGAAGATCACGAACAAACACAAACAATCAGACAAAACAACAAGACAATCAGAAACAATAAGATAAGAAGATCAAAAATACGAACATTATCGAAAACAACAAACAACAAACAACAAAATGAACAGACGCGCAAAACACAAAGTGTCAACAAACAAACAACAAACAACAAACAAACAACCACAAAAACAACAAACAACACAAACGGGCACTCCCTTCGCAGAAAACCAACCATCGAGCTTCGACTTTGAGGAGAAGAAAAAAAAGTCAGAATATACGGACGAAAAAGCACGGCAACCATTGTGTTTTGGTTTTGATCGCCAACGCAGCGCAAATCGTTGGCTTCGCTTCATGATCGGGAGCGCGGAAACCACTGCTGTGGCTCCTGCTCAAACTGCTCAAACAGTTCTGGTCGAATCACATCATCTAGACACTTGGCAGTCAGCGCCATGGACCTGGCGTCGATATTCGTCCCGAGAGACAAATCGCACAACAAATCGTTGATCTGCAGCGTTTGGACGCTTGAGGTCATAAAAGATCGCACAGCCAACTTGATACGGTAGGGCTTGTCGGATTCGCTTCTATGTGCATGGTGATGGCCTGATTGAATACTGTACTGTACTTTGTCGAGAGTCGAATGTTCGACGTTGCGTTTTGGTCCAAGAAGAATCGAAACGTCAGCTTTGAGTGGAAAAGGGCGCAGTCTTTGTTTTTATCGTTAGATATACCTTGATTGAACGCTCTTGCAATGCTGTCGTGCCAGAATATGAGCGAGAGACAACGCGAGTTGTTTGACAAAGTCGAGAATGCGTGCAGAGCGCTCGAGTAAGAGAAAAAGCCGAGGTTATTGGAAACAGTGTGGCAAACGCGCATATTGACGATATGGATGACAGGCTGGATTCCAGGCAGATTGGCGAGGATGAAGCGTGGGCGATTGCCGAGGCGCTCAAAGTAAACAGGAAGCTGAACGATCTCGAGTACGTCATTTCGCAATAACTGATGCGCGTGAATGGGTCGTCAGAAGCAGGGTATTCAAAGTGGCTCATTGATGGAGGGGACGCACAGTCTGTACGACAATCAGATTGGCGGTGCTGGAGCGCGCGCAATTGCTGAGACACTCAAAGTCAACACGACGCTGACAGATCTGAAGTAAGTCATCTCACTTTGACTGATGCATTCGAGTGGGTGATTTCAATAGAGGGTAGTCAAAATGCTCACTGATGGAGGCGATGGACAGGCTGGGCCAAAATCAGATTGGCGATGCTGGAGCGCGCGCGATTGCCGAGACACTCAAAGTGAACATGAGGTTGACTTACCTCAAGTAAGTCGTCTCACTTTCGACCGATGCACTGTGAATGCTCCAGCAACGGTCTTTCTGAATGATGGAAGTCACTGGACAGTCTGTACAAAAATCAGATTGGCGACGCCGGAGCGCAGGCAATTGCTGATGCACTCAACGTGAACACAACGCTGACTGAGCTCGCGTAAGTCGTCTCCCTTGAACTGACGTATTGTAAGTGATCCAGTAAAGGTCCCTGCTGACTGATGGACGCACAGCTTGTGCTCTAATCAGGTTAAGGATGATGGAGCGAGGGCGATTGCAGAGGCACTCAAAGCAAACAAGAGGCTGTCTAAGCTCGAGTGAGTCATCTCACTTTCACGAGAACATAGTTGGGGGATCCAGCCCATGGCATATTGAGTGCTCACGTACGGAGGGGATGGACAGTCTGGACTCCAATCAGATTGGCGATGGTGGAGCGAGCGCGATTGCTGAGGCACTCAAAGTGAACAGGACGCTGACCGAACTCGAGTAAGTGTCGATTGCTTCTTCATGCTTCTCTGACGGTCGTTGGACTCATGCCACAGTCTGACCATGTAACCGACAACACTAGCTTGACTCAGAATTACTTGACCGAGGTTGGAGTCTCTGCGCTCCGGCGATCGGGCAATACCACTTGCAAGCTGAAGTAGGACTTTGCATGTTTATTGAATTGTCGTATGAAGTCAGTTGAAAAGCAAACCATTCACTTGTTGTGGCGGAAATCGGTTTCCGAGTAGGGACGTGGACCGCCAGTGGACTGCTGTTCGCGCTCGGGAATACACCGAGTCTCAACCTTCACTGAACAGCCAGCGGACTGCTGTTCGTGCTCGGAAATACACCGAGTCTCAAACTTCAGTCACTCTTCCGACTGAAACTCTGCGATTCCGCTCCGAGCTGGCTGCCAAAAACCTGGAGTTGGCTGCCAAAGACCAGATGCTCGCTACCAAAGACCAGATGCTCGCTGCCAAAGAACAGATGCTCGCTGCCAAAGATCAGATGATTGCTGTCAAAGATCAGATGATTGCTGCCAAAGATCAGATGCTTGTTGTCAAAGAGCAGGAGCTTCAACAACTGCGCTCCGAACTTGCTGTCGAGGGGTATGATGATGATTATGAAGATGACTATGACGGTGATCATGAATAGATGTAGAGCGACATCCCAAAGTAGGAACACGTTGTTTGAAGTCGGCCACCCTGCTTTTAAATAGTGAATAAACAATTGAGCCACGACCCTAGACCTCTGGTACACGACCGGTAATCGTCGCAGCAACCGACAACAAGTTCCGGCATGTACCAAATTCGGCACACACACATACACTTCTCTCGGCATTCTCATCATTCATAACTTTGTTTTCCAACTTGCATCATTGCTCGCTTGAGAAAAGTTCGGCCTCTTGCTTGCCACTCATAGGGTCCACCTTGCCTGGCCTCAAACCTTGACGTTGTTCTGATCCGACTCGAGCACTGCAGAAAGCCCAGCAATCGCAGCGCTGACCTCAACCTTGAGCTTCTCCACCGTCGCGCTCATCTGCGGCAGCATTTCTGTAGCAGCTGCTTGAACTGCAGCGTGAACGCCCAGAAAGTCGACGCACAGGTCGAATGCTTGCTGGTAGAGTGCTCGTTTCGCAGCCGGATCGACCGGGCCAAGCCGAGCGCCACCCGCAACCGGCGCGTCCGTTGTGCTCTGCTGTCGCAGCCCTGTGTCCGCCGTCATTGGCAATGGCAACGGCGGCGAGGATGGGGCGCCCACAGCGGGGCCCTCGGGACTCGGGCTGCTCGCGGCCGAGATGGCGCGCTCAGCTTGGCCTGCTGCAGCGCAATCCGCTCGGCGATGGCGACGGCAGTGGCAGTGGCAGTGGCAGCACTAGTGATGTTGTGATGTTGCTCATGTCTCCTGCTTCTGCTTGGGTTGGTCGCCTTCGCTCAGCTGCATTGTCTTCAGCTGCTGGACTGACCGAAGCCAGCAGGCGGAAGAGAACGTCCTCGCGTGCTCCGTCGACGTCGGCAGCCTGAGCTTGCAGCCACTCAACGCCTGATGGTGCTGATGGCGGAATGGCAGCAGCAGTGGTGGAAGCGGCAGTCGCACTCACAGCAACACACGCCTGAAGATCGTCCATCATCTGCTCAACAGTCAGCACGCTCATCATCATCGTTTGGTCGTTGCTGTACAATAAAGACTGACATGGAGCGAATGAAATACCATATTTGATATTGCAATGAAAATGAAAGCGGGAGAGAAAACAAGAAAAACAATAACGTAAAACGAGCTCAACCATCCAATTGTGAGGCAATGGGCGTCCACAGAATCGCGGCAACTATCCTTGCTTCAAACGAGCATCTAGATGCTCTAGTAAGAGTAGCGTGCGGTCGCGGAGGGTCTGCGCCTCGTCTCTTGTCATGCGGTGGACCAGCGCGTCCATCGACTCGAGTTGGCTCAGATGCAGCCCGACTGCGACTGGCTCCAAAGCTGCTCCGTCAGCGGATGGCGCTGATACTGCTGGTCCCGCGACTGCAGGCTTCTGGTCAGCACTGGTGGACGCGGAAGTGCGCGCTTTGTGATGCGTCGCCCGCCAAATGGTCGCGATAATGCCAAGCGCCTCGACCATGCGCTCCCACGAGGCCGCGAGGCGAAGTTGGTTGAGCTGATCGTCGCTGGGGTAGGCATCGAGCAGCTCGGCAATCGTCTTGAGGCCGCCGGATTGCAGCACTTGCCGCTTGCCTGGCGTGGCACGAATGGCTGCGAGTCCGAGCGTCTCAATCAGCGGCATTGTGCAATCCTTGAGCTCGGCCCGCAGACTGGCCGTTGTTGCCGCCAGGGCAATCAAGGCATCCGTGTCAGACAGCTTTGGCGCAGTGGAAACAGGGTCTGCAGCAAGAGAGGACCAGAGTCGCGCGCCCGACTCGAGTTTCTGGGCGTCGGACATGGCAGCGGTGGAAGGGGTGCTGCTGCTGCTGCTGCTCGACAACGCCAATGGGCTCCCAGGCAGCAAACCTCGTTGCGAACTGCTAGATTGGGGTGGAGGAGAGGACAGGAAGGAAAGCCGAGCGCGGCGAGACGGCGTCGCCAAAAGCCCGCCACGCGAGGCGCCCATGCTCGTGTCAACGGGCATGAAGAGGGGTTGATACCCTGTCGATCCATGGTACATTTTCAGCGAAGGGACTTGCTCGGCTCGCATTTGCTGCCGAGTATCGAGCCGCTGTGGCAACCGTGCCGCGGCCAGCGGTGGCAAGCCCAGCGAAACCAGATCGTCCACATCGTCGGCGGTTGTGGGCAGGAGGTCCTCATCTTCACTAGAGCTGTCGGAATCGCTTGAAATTGGCAACTGGTGGATGACATTGAGCTCCTCGCGGATGCAGACGCGCTTGACTCGAGGCGCGGGTGCGGGATTGGCACCGACGTTAGTTTCCGGCAAGGCTGGCGGAGGAGGAGGAGGAGGAAGAGCAGCAGCAGCTGGCTCGGCAGGCAGAATCAACTTTGAACGATCATCCAGCTCGACCCGAGCTGGTACCGACGGACTGGTTGCGATCGCGGCTTCTGAGATTTGCCCGTGATGATCATCGACTCGAGTCTGCATTTCGACAGCCAATGTTGAGGGAGATCCAGACGAGTAAGACTCGGTTTCCTGGTCAAATACAGACATTGGCTGAGCAAGGGCGGAGCCCGAGCTGCTGGAAGCCGGAGCCATGGTCGACGACAAGGCGACCAACGCGGCTAGTCCCTCCTGACTGGACGTTCGTCGAACAAAAGCTGCGGGAATCAGCGGCAGATTGCTCGCGTCGAGTGGGGCAGCATCGGCAGCGTCTTCTGGCGAGGCTTCGTCATCACTTTCTGGAATGTTCTCCGACTCGGATTCATTCAAGAGTGGTTGCGAAGCAGCCAAGAGCATTGCAGCCGCCTCTGACACATCTTGCGATGTAGCGTCAACGCCAGTGTAGGTCACGGGTACTGCGGACGGCGCGCGCAAACGATCCTTCTGCCGCTCAGTCAGCCCAGTCAAATTACTCAGAGCGTCAGCCGGAGGGGTGGTGATGCGCACAAACTTGGTGCTTGCCGATGCAGAAGCCACGCCTGCAGCTTGCGGTTCGAACGCGACATCTGATTTGCGCTTGATCGACAGGCGGGAGGCATCGGGGGACTTGGAGGCGAAATGAGAAAATGCACCGACTGATGGCGGCATGGCTGTTGAGACGGCAAGGGCCAACGCCTGCCCACGCGTGCCGCTCCGCGATCCCACTTTTACTGGCGAGGGATCGGGTAACCAGCGGTCGCGTGGCGCTCGCGCTCGCTGCACGGCCAGTTCAAGCGCCGAAGCGGGTGCGTCCGGCAGCTGAGATTCTTGGCTTTGGCCTCCGTGTTGATGTTGGACCAGCAAAACCTCTCCCAGATCATTGTCCGAGTTGAGAGCTGCCGCGTCCGTTTCCGCTGCGGGCTGAGCAGTCGTTTTGCTAGTAGTAGTGGTGGTGGTGGTGGTGGTGGTGGGAGTGGGAATCGCGTCTTGACTGAGTTGGCGCGTGGCAACAACCGCTGCAAATGGTGGTGGGATGACCATGAAAATGGACTCTGACACTTGCCGCAGCAGTTCGAGCAAGCGCGCAGGATATCTGAGGGATGAGGTATAGGTGGCAAAGGACTGGGCCCAAAACTTGACGACCAGGTTGAGGAGAACATCGTGACTGCTGGCCAACAGGGCACACAGCGACACTTCAAGGCTGCCAAGCGCTTGAGAGTTCCATCGCTCACCCAGCGGGGCCTGTGAGTCCTGCCGTCGACGCAGAGTGTCAAAGCAGGCGTGAAACACGCCAATGTAGTTTGATCCGGATGACCGAGTGTTTACTTTCAAAAAGAAGGAGACGAGACCAGGGATGAGCGCTTCGGAGATGGTGGCTAGCGCAGAAAAGCTTTGGATGCCGGTGAGTGTCGTCGTAATGGACTCGATTAATGCACTCACACTCGCCGATGGCGAAGGCTCGTAGACGTGTTCGCCGTCCGCAGCGAGGTCCATGGCGGTGAGCTTCATTCCATAGGAGGTTGCAGAGGCAGGATGTTGCATTAGGAAGGGAACGGCTGCGTGCAAGACACTTGTTACCGTTTGGAGCAAAACTGGCGGAAGCGGAGAGGTGCTGGGCGTGACAGTACCGCGAGCGCCATTTCCGTTGCGGGTGTTCGAGGCTCCAGCACTGGCAGCAAGCATGGTTTGGACGGCGTTTGCAGCCAGATGAACCGGAGCAAAACAGTCGGCCATCAACGAGGGAGGGTCTCGATGAATGGCTTGCTCATTTCCTTCTTCGTCGTCGTCAGCATCGTCTTCGTCGTCGCCTTTGCCATTCTTGCGCCTCTCCCGTGTCGCAGACCGCTGTTCGGCCTCCATAATGACCTCACGTCGCTTCATTGCATCTCCAATGCGCGAGCAAGTGCCAAGGATGGCCAGTGTGCCGTGTCGCGGCAATTTGAGTAGAACGGCACCGTGGACAGCAGCAAACAGTCGGTCCCAACTCGCAATGAGATCGGCAGGCAGCTGTACAGGCTGGGCCTTGACTTCGACCGCCGCCCGTAGCGGGAACGCGAGGGTAGACATCAGACTCTGCAGAACGTGTGTGGCATCAACTGGGCCTGAGCTGACAGTGTCTTGATCGTGCTCGTTGGTGGAGGGTACAGAAGGCTCCATGGCCTCGACAAGCCCACTCTCGGCCACGACGACGAGATCGCTGTGGGAAGAAACCAAGTCGGCAAGCGGAGAGGCAATGGCAACCCAGATGCCCAAAAGAAGCACGCCCGAGACGGAGGGATGGGCCGCAGCGTCCCGCAACAGCCGCATGAGCTGCGCTGCTAAAGCGAAGGGCAGGCTTCGTTCTTGAAACTCGATGGACGTGAGCAGAGCATGGCTGATGATGCGAGCCATGGCATCGTAGGAGTGCTTTGCGAGACCGGGAGCGGCCGTCGAAAGCAGCACCTGGGCTACATGGCACGAGGGAAGCATGGCGACGACTGGAGACCAGGTCGAAGCGGCCGATGATGCGAGCGTGGCGTCAATATCGTGCTCGCCGGCCGAGATTGTGGTTGTTGAAGCACTACTACCCCCACCACCACTACTAATTGTGCTCGCATGAGGGTGGCGAGTGGAGCGATCGTGCGCAGCCTGTGCGTTCTGGTTGTACAGGTCGACCGACGTGTCGTCCTCGTCGAGGTCACTCACTGCACGCAGCCCGCTGCGGGGTAGAGCTCGAAGCGGCAGCGAGGCGATCCAAATGTGAGGAGGCAGGTGGCGCTGCAGAGACTGGGCTGCGGCCAAGAGCAAACTCGGCGAGTGGATGGCTGGTAACAAGTGAAGCAACGATACAGTCAAGGCGCGGCCGCACGAAAGCGCTGCTGCTTGCGGCTTGCTGGTCGCTGGTGCTTGCGATTCGGCGACGAGAAGCAGGCCCGCTCGCTCGCACAGACAGTCGAAAATACAAAACCAGACCTCGGCCGATGTGGCGGGCGCCAATCCAGGCTTTGTTGGGCGAAAGTCTGCATCAATCCAGCTGATGCAACCCGCAAGCCACTGAAACAGCGGTGGCCAGTCGGAAGCGGTGAGTTGCCGCCATGGGAAGAGGGCTTCGGGCAGACTGGTCAAGCGCAGAGGCTGGACCAATGGCGGCACTGCTTCCAAGGCAATATGATGAGCGGCGGATGACTCGAGCAACGTCGTGGTCGTGGCAGCACTGGGCGCGAGAGCAGCTTCGTAGTGCGCCAGCTGATCAGCAATCGAGTGCGCGTTCTGGCCGCCAGCGGACAGGTGAGCGTGAGTGTAGCGTGGAGTCGCGACCAACCGAGCCAGAGCACACAAAATAAACTGCCGTGCATCGAGCTGGCATGTGGCGGACAGGGCAAACACGTAGGCAAGCGGATGGGGAGAAGCCAATCCTTCCAAGGTGGCTTCAAGCACAGTCGGGCTTGGATCCGGAGCATCAGAGGTCCTCGTGGCTGCAGCAATGGTGTGCAAGCTCAACAGCGTGTACCACCACGAGCGCAGCATGAGCATCAAGCGAGTTGAGCTCATTTCTCTCGACACTGTGAGCGGCGTGAGCATCACAGAGATGGATTTCGGCGCAGGTGCTTCTCCGACCATGGCAAACGAGCGTGGCAGAGAGCGCCATATCTGGTACGACTCGGCGACAACAGAGGGTTCAGGATGGAAGAAGAGCAGCTGCAACAGTTCCAACAGGTCGTTGGAGCGCACCGCTCGTATTCCCTGCAAGCGAATAAACAGTCGAATGTAGTCGTAGGAGGTGGGGTAGCTGGCTTGAGTGTCTGTAGCAGCAGCAGCAGCAGCAGCAGCAGAAGAAGAGGCTTTCAGTTCGGGATCGGGTGCTGCAGGACTGGCGAGCTGCCGCTTGCTGGCTGCAAATGTTTGCTTGGGGAGGATGAGTAAGCGATTGCAAGGGGCCAGGAACTGGACTGCAACCACGGTGCGATAGGACTGAGGTTGTGACTCAAGCTGCTCGGCAGCGCGCCGGAGGATTCGCACAGCATGCGCTTCGACCTCGGCCGCTTTGCGCGAGATTGCCTTGTCTGGGGATTGGATCCGATCTGAATTGACAGCTAGTTCCAGGATGGGCCCCAACCAGTGATCACAAGACCAAGACCTGGCGTACGAGATCCATCGATCAAGCGCATCCAGCGCCGCCCGATGGAGACTCGGGGGTGCTTTGACAGACAGCATCAGGACAATGAGCTCGCCCACCTTCCACGCCACATCTTGATCAACTGGCTCGGGAAGGTTGACAGAGGCCAGCGCCCACATGACGAGTGCCGGGACATTTGCGTTGGAGGGTTCAATGACAGGCGCGGCCGAGTCGTTCATTGTTGCGCGGGCAAGAGCGCACAAATCCTCCACGGCAGCGAGCAGCAGGGCATTGGGAATGCTTGCCACCGTCGTCGTGTGATGCAGCAGCCAGGCGATCACGCGAATGATGGCCATTTTCAGCGGACTCGTGGTTTGTGGGGATTTCAAATCGGACTGCGTAGGAGTGAGGCAATGACATGAACATCAAAGTTAGTCACTTCAATGGCAGGGGAGAGACAGACAGGGAGAGGGAGAGAGAGAAACGTCCAACAACACAAGAAAAAAAAGAAAAAAAAAAACTCTTACAAGAATCACATCAAGCAGCCGACCGACTGTCTCGGGTCTAGCACAAGCAACCGCCACACGTTGCGAAGCATTTTCCGCAGCTGTGCGCAGCGAGACATACACGTCCGTGCGTGCTGCAACCAACGCGCGGAGCTTGGCCTGAAGCAGCGGCAAACCGGCCCCAGTTGATGATTCGCCCGCCGAGGATTGCGTCGCGAGATGCTGCTCCGTGGCACGATGCGACTCGAGTGATGCGAGCGCCCAATTGACAAACGCAAGTGCACTCGAAGCAGAATCGTGCACATCTGCAGGCCTTGGCGAAACAACGCCGGCCGGTGCAACGTCCAGCATGTCCGCAGGTTTCGCAACGCTTGACAGTGCGCCGTCGTGGTGGTCGTGGTGGTGGTGGTGGTGTTGGACTGATGCAACACTATCATCCGAGTCTGAGGTCGCAGCCGTGGCTTGCGGCGCAGGTGCTTTGCGTCGAGCAGGATTGGTGCGAATCCCGATCGACCAGCTGCCCGCGGATGCCTCATTCCCTGGACTTGCTGGCTTCATTGAGCCTGCGTTGTTCTTGGTATGGTTGGTTGTTGAGCTTGATGGCGCGCGTTCGCGTTCGGCAGCCTGCATTGGCGCGAGCTCGGATGTCGCTGCTGCTGGGACTGGCGAGCTTGTTCTCGAGCCCGACCTTGAGCTTGGATTGGAGCTTGAGCTTGACTTGGATGACTTTGTGTTGGCAGCAGAATGAGGACTAGGCAGAGGAGGAGGAGAAGCGGTCGCCGCTCGAGGTGAGCCTTGTGAGCGCGCTGGCCGTGCGCTCAGCCTGTCTCGCGGTGCAGTCGCAGCATGACTCGTCGCAGCATGACTCGTCGCAGTCATCATCGCGGTCGAGGTCGTCGTAGCCGTCGATGGAGTCGATGGAGTGGGGCTTTGCAATCTCCCGCCATTCTTACTATGCGAATTGGCGCCATTTCGCTCGGCTTCCATACTACTTCGACGACTGCTATTATTACTACTATTGCTATTACGATTATTACTACTACCACTGATGCTACTGCTGCTGTTGGTGCTGCTGTTGGTGGCCTGGTGTGGCGGGACCAGCGGTGCAGGCGCAGGCACAGTCCGCTTCATTCTCGCCTTTTTTGCTGAGCTTTTGCTATGGATTGCGTTCGAGTCTGAAGGGGCGGTTGAAACTAGATATCAAATGACTGAGCCTTGGGTTTGTTCATATTGGGGCTTTCAAATGGCTAGCTAGCAATGGCCATTTTGCATGACAACATTACAACCGGCTTTTCAATGCAGCTCCATTCACTGAGCATCTACAGTAATGCTATTTCTGTTTCTACGACATTCATTCGTTCTTTTTTTGATTTTACTTTGCTTCACTATGGACAAGTACGATCGCATTGAGAAGCTCGGCGAGGGCACCTATGGCGTAGAACCAGGTTACTTCACCCTCTCACTCACTCACTCACTCTCCAGTTCGTCGCCATCATCGTCGCTATCATCATCATCATCATCATCATCATCATCAATCGAGCTATTGAGTGAGGAGAGGGCGATAGGACCTCCCTCAGGACGGCAGTTCTGGCCGCTCTCATCCCGCTCTTTGCTCTGTCGCTCAACCGTACCCACGCTACCTGTCTGTCTGTTTGTCTGTGTCTCGCGTTTGGGTGTCGCTTTGGAAGTCGCGGGTTGGCTTTCGAGGGGCTGGCGACTTTCAATGCAGCTTCCATACAAAACCGCCTACTTCGGTAGAACACAACACCAGCTGCCCTGCTTTCCTTGCTGGGATGTAGAAATGGCGTTGTGCTGGTTGTGCATTGCGTGTGATATCGATTCGAACGAAGGAAGCGCAGCGTCAGAGTCGAAAACGCAAAACTGCTTCGGCGGTCGAACCCCAAATGCAGTAGAAAACACGCTCAGTTGCTCAGACAGACCTCAAACTCAAAACTCAAACACTGCGGAAAAACAGCATTTGCTGATAGTCTACAATCAAGATGATTCACATCCCGCAACGCCTCAAATCCAGAACCAACTGTCTCAGACTTGCCGATTTTACGCTCAATCATCATTCGCTCATCTCCCATCGTCACATTTCAACCTACATTACATATTCGCAGGAAACGGGCGAGATTGTCGCGCTCAAGTCAATCCGACTGGACAACGAGGACGAAGGCGTTCCGTGCACGGCCATTCGCGAAATCTCGCTGCTCAAGGAGCTCAAGCATCCCAACATTGTGCGGCTGCACGACGTGCTGCATGCAGACAAGCGCCTCACCCTTGTATTCGAGTACTGCGACCAAGATTTGAAAAAGTACCTGGACGAGTGCGCGGGCGACATTGGCGTCATGACCATGAAGAGCTTTCTCTTCCAGCTCCTCCGCGGCATTGCATTCTGCCACGAGCACCGCATCCTCCACAGAGACCTCAAGCCTCAAAACCTGCTCATCAACAAGCGCGGAGAGCTCAAGCTCGCCGATTTCGGCCTTGCGCGCGCGTTCGGTATTCCCGTGCGCGCGTACTCGCACGAAGTCGTCACCCTCTGGTACCGCGCCCCCGACGTGCTGTTGGGGTCCCGAAGGTACTCGACATCCATTGACATTTGGTCGGCCGGGTGTATCTTTGCAGAGATGGCCATGGGTGGCCGACCGCTCTTCCCGGGCTCCTCCACGCTCGACCAACTGATGCGCATCTTCAAAGTACTCGGCACCCCCAACGAAGAAATCTGGCCGGGCGTCTCTTCATTGCCAGAGTGGAAGCCAGACTTTTCCGTCTGCCGTCGCGTACCGCTCTCCTCGGTCGTCACGACCGTCGACTCGTACGGCATCGACTTGCTTGCCCGCATGCTCATGTATCTCCCCGATGCTCGCATTTCCGCAGATGACGCAATGTGCCATCCGTACTTTTCCGATCTTCAAGCCAATGTTCGAGCGATGGCTTAGAGCAATCCGCGTTTTGTTTTTGCTTTGTTTTTGTCCTTGCGTTTGTCCTTGTTTTGATTGTTCAAGTGTTTGTTGTTGTTTTTCATTTTGTTGGTTGTTGGAGATGACGCTCTTCTTGCTGCAGTGATTTGGGGTTTCGAGCTACTGCAACGTGTGCTTCTCATCCAGTTATGTGGTTGAAGTTTTTTGAAAACTAATGTACTATACTCATGGTGTTTACGATGAAGCAAGATCTCCAACAAATATTAAAGTGCTGCTCTTGAAAGACAGGCGGCATTTCGTCAAACAGAAAAAGGTAAGTGTGTCGAACGTTTTGACATCTCACTCCATCGCACCTCATGCCAGAGCGGTATCGAGTGCGCGCTGCAACTGAGCTTGAAGTTGCTGAGCTTGCATCGAGCCAGCGCTTGCAGGAAGGGCCAGCGACCCAGTGACGCTTTCGTGGAAGGCGAGGTAGTCGCAGACCAGCTGGAGATCTCGACGATTGGCCGCCGCAACGCTGGAGAGGGAAATGCTCCGATTTGCATAGCTCTGCACAAGGCGTTGCGTTTTGCTGGACACGCTTTCGGAGGGGGCGAGCTGGTGGGCGAGCTCTGCGCGAATCGAGGCCAGCACACTTTCCGGGAACGCATTGTGCTGCCATTTGAGGGTGTACTCGAGCACATCCAGCACAAGGCGCAGCTGTCGCAACGTTAACGAGCTTTGGAAGGGAGTGCTGGCACTTTGCTTGGCAGCCTCGGCTCGACGAACCACCGCCAAAGCGCCAAATGCCTCGTGAATCCGGAAGAAGGTGCTCGCCCAGTGGCTGTTGGAGCTGGTGGCCAGAGAAGCACGCAAAATACGCTGGGCCGTGGCCAAGCGGTCGTGCTCCAGCATCCGCGAGACGTCAAGGCTGCAAGCATCCAACAGCGCAGGCTGGTCGCCCAGCAAAGCGACAGACTGCACGGTTCGCCAGTGGGGCACACTGCTGTTAGAAGGTAGCGCCAGCAGGTGCGCCGGCTCAATCCCGTGGAAGGAGGACGCGCCGGCAGGGGCCAGCGCGGAAAATGGCGCAACACCCAGCCCGTCCAGCGGCGCATTGCCTTGCTTGTGATTCATGCCATCCAGCGTAAGTGGCTTGCGGCGCATTGCATAAATGATGTTGGTTTCCCGGAATCGGGCAAGCGCCTCGGGTGTAGACAGGTCCACCGTGTGCGGATAGAAGGGACCATCAGGAGTATCCAAGACTTTGATGCATTGGAGCAAGCGCAGCTCTGGCGCAACAGAAGGGGTGTCGCCCACCACGCTCTCGGGAGTATGCGACGGCCCAGACGTCGATGTGGCAACGGGACGGAACTCTGCTCGAACGCAAGCAACGGTGGCGCCAGAGTCGACGTCGTGGACCTGAATCACTCGAGACTCGGCGGCCAGAGCATAGAAATGGCGCAGAGCCTGCAGATGGTACTGCCCATGCCGTGGCAGCTGCGGGAACCGCGGGTAGATGCAGCACAGGAGCGCAGCAACCGACTCGCCCGACGTGCCAAAGCTCTCCGTGCCATGACTCATGAACAGCATGCCGATCGCCATGTGGGTTGCCTGGTGCATGCCATAGGTGACGTCCATCGAGCACGTCACGTGCAGCTTGCGCAGCATGCGCAGCACATCCAAATGGCCGCTTCCAGCCATCACGACAGCCACAGCGGTGGCAACTGCATGCAAGCACGTCCGCACATTCTTGCGCTCTCCAGCAGGACACGTGTCAAACAGCTGCTGGAAGAACTTGACGTAGCGCATGAGCGTCACCAGAGCGGTTTGGTTGCACGAGCCCGCATGCCGCAGCGCGATGGCCAAGCAGGCGCCGACGATGCTGTAGCAGTGTGCATTGATGGCAGCCACGCGGTCGATGCGGCTCTGGGACAGGTTCATGCTGGAGGCGGCCTCGTCCATTGCTTGGCGCTTGGCGTCAGCGGCTCGTTGCGCGAATTCTGCCATTGCTTCTAGTTGCTTTAATTTCGAAAGCGGAGCTGCTGCTGCTGCTGCTGCTGCTGCTGCTAATGGCTCTTCCTGCTGCTGCCCGTGGTGCTTTGACGACTTTGGCGACTCTGCCCGCATCGCGCCATCCACAGCGGCATCCGGACTGGGAGTATACGCCGGTAGTGGTGATGTAAACATGGACTGCTCCACGGCGGTTGCGGCGCGCACAAGTTGCGGCGCGCACAAATTTCGGCACATTCCCTTCGACCCATTCGACTGTTGGCATCACTGAATCCCACATGATGAGGGACTTGGCAAGCACGCAGTACAGCATCAAATCCGCGTGCATGCCATCCAGCTGAGTTGAAGTGGTCGGAATGGGAATGCGGTTGGCAACGCTGGCGTTGTTGCTCTTCAAAAAGATGAGGGCTAGGGCCATCAGGGCGCCAGGCGCCGCCACCATCGGGTTGACGGGGGTGAGATGTGGCGGAATGACACGCATGGCGTTTTCTCGCTCGAGCTTTTCAAACTCATCGCCAGCGGGTGTCAGCAACAGCGAGCTGGCGTTGTTGTGTTTGGAGCTGCGGCCAAACTGCCGGGTCTGCCCATCGCGCTCCCAGAACGCCGCCGAGGAGCGACTGACCAGGCCAAAGTTGCGACCCTCGCAGGAGCGGAGCTGGGCAGATCCGAACGTGTCAGACAACGTGATCGGATCGGTTGGCGCGTCGCCAATCACGCCGTTCAGCAGGCGATCAACCAAGCCCATGTTGGCCAGCGATTCGAGCTCTTCTGAGGCACCGCGCTGGTGCGAGTCGCCGCTCGCCTCGCTTGTCGTCGTCGACGTCGGCGTCGGCGTCGGCGTTGCACCATGCTCGAGCAGCACCATGCCCAAGGCCAGTCCGCAAGACAACGAGTAGGCCTCAATTTCACTGGGATCCAAACCGCGGCGCAACACGAGCGTCTCGTTCAAAAGCACATCGGCAATGCGTCGATTGGCAGAACGCTGATACAGCAGACCAAATCCAATGGCGGCTGCCGATTGAACGGTGGTGGAGATTTCCAGATCGCTGCTGTTGGACGGGAGCAACGGAGGAAAGTGGACGGTGAGCATGCGCGTCACGAACGGGTCCATCGTTCCGCGCTGTCCTGCCGAGCATCCAATCAACACGGCAATGCTGGTCGGGTCGTGCTTTTGCGCCAAGTATTCAAACAGGTGCACTGGTGGGAGTTGGTGCAAAAAGCCGTTTAGACCGAGCCCCATCAAAAAGCCTGCATTCACGGCCTGGGTGTTGAGCTCCTCGGGAGACGTTGCTCGGCCTGCTGCAGGTGGTGGCACGTGATACAAAATCCAGGCAGAGTTGATGGCCGACGAATGCGGGGCGATTCGCAAGCTGGACGCGACGCCAGAGTGGAAGCAGGGCCACATCATTTGGACGGGCGTGAATTCGTACGCCTTGTCCAAGACAATCATCGAGTTGTTGCGAGGAACGTGTCCCTTGAGGTTGATGGGTGGGGTGACGAGCGCTTCGGTGGCACCTGGGCGGCGGGTGTGCATCGCGAGAACGCCAGCTCCAGCACACGTCGCCAAGGCGCGGTGGCCTCGAAACACGAGCCGCATTTGCTGCTCTTGCACAAAGTCGTGATCGCTCATCTCGGGGCGCTGCTTCACGCTGATGCGCAAAGGCTTGGAGGTTTGCAGCAAGCGCGCAACTTCGCTCAGGCGATGGTCGTTTCCAAATCGAGAAGACCCGTCTGGATTCGCCACAGCACTCGACCAGTTGGTTGCCTGAGGAGGAGTCGAGCCGTTCGAGAACGGCTGAGGCGAGATTTGCCGCAAAATGTCGCGCCGTTCCACGAGTTCGAGAATGGGTTTCGGCCAGGACGACTCTGCTGCTTCCCGACCACGGGCAAGCACGTGCTGGAGTGCAACGCTGACGCTCAGAGGCATGCAATCAATGTCTGTCAGGGAAACGCCAGCCGAAGCCAGAAGCTGCAGGATGCTGAAAACGGACGTGGTGGCGCCATTATTGGTCGGGCCATCCTGCGACGACAGCCAGCGGGCGTAGAGTTGCATCGCTTGGTGCAATGGCAATAGTCGACCGAGAATTTGCTCTGCAGTCATGCCGTTCGGAGCAGAACCAGCGACTGATTTCAGAGCCGCAAGCATGGCTGCGACGGGGTCTTTGGGAGCTGTCTGCCGCCGATTGGTAGCACATCGCACCAACTCTTCGAGCGAATTCAGCCAACAAGGGAGGAGGTCTAGAACAAAAGAAATGCAGGTTGCACGTTGGTTGGCCAAGTAGTTTGTTTTGGTCGAATCCTCCCCCCCCTCATTTCCTAATGCTGCGCAGCACAAATATGACAACAACGATACGAACACGCCCTTACCAGTGAGACGCCGGGATGCGACAACGCCTTTGAGAGGGGATGTGGCAACCTCGAGATGAGGAAAATCGCGCAGGTAGTAGTCAACCAGAACGCGCTGGCCAAGAAAGAGCGCCGTCGATGTCAGACTTTGCGCCATCGCCGGGAGATAGTCCTTGAGAAGCGTGTCAAGCTTCAAATCCTCGTAGCAAGCATGCAGTAGAATAAATGCGGCTTCGAGCACGGCGCTCTGCTCCGGGGTAGCGTTAAACGAAGACGGCACGATCGGCACTGCCGGCAGGGATGATGGAGGCTTGAATGGAACGGGGATTGAGCCCAAAGCATCCAGACGGAGAGCTTGCGACGCGTGAGATGACACCATGGCGTCCCAGTCAGACTCGGCGAGGCCTGCTGCAGCAGCGGGCACGGGCAGTGCCAGTATGCTGGAAACCACTGCGCTCCAAAACATTGCCCACCTGTCTTGCGGGGTTGAGACAGTGGCCTTGCGGAGATGGCGGCGCGATTGCTCCAGAAGCGTCACACCGATGGCACGGAGCGATGGAACGGGTAGGGCGTTCGCCAAGGCGGCGTAGGCTGTGGCTATCGGCAGAGGCGCAATCCGCAACGTCGGGACGCTCACGCGCATTACCTGGCCATTGGCAAAGCGCAAACTGACACGATCATCGACCGCATGTTCGACATCAGCCAGCTTGTCCGTGCAAATGTCGGCCAGCGAGATGGAAGCAATGGGAGTGCAGGACGACCAGACCCGGAGACTGCTCAAGCAGAACAACAGCAAAACAAAAGTGTTGGTGCTTGTTTTCTCGCATGCGCAAAACTTTCAAAGACCTTCAACAAACCCCCCCCCCCGCGCGCGCGAGAAATAATCACACAGAAGCCTCCCCTTTCCCGCCTCACCTTCCGTCGCGTTGAACCACGAGCAAATCTTGAGGTACGACGTAAACGCTCGGTGATGACCCGTGCAGCCCACCAGTGCTGCCTCCAAACCTTGGAAAATGCATGGGGAAGGGTGTGAGAAGACTCGGTATTGCTACAGCGTGGGAGGTGCAGTCTGTGAGGTGTGTTGGTTCTCCGGCTGGTGCGATGGGTTGGTTTGCATTGCTTGGATCGTTGACGAGCTTCAAGGCGACGACTGTCGAGGATTCTTCGGGCCCATTGCGAAGCAAGTACAGTGTAAAGTGAGACTTGAAGGCGTCGTTGCAGCACAAGAGTGCACTCGAGCGCTCCGTGACACCCTTGAGCGACCCCGTCCAAATTCGTGTCAGGCACAAGTCTGACACGCTGTGACGCACAAAGACAACGTGTCACAGTAGGGTCCAAGAAAAAAACGAAATCAAACAAACCAAACAAACGAGACCTCATCCAAACAGTCAAACATCATCAATCAATTCTCACTTACCTGCCAGGAGCTGAGACCGAGCCGCCAATGTGCCAAACAACATGCTGACTGGGGTTGTTGCGGTCTTGTGAAACACAGACGGGAAGAGAGGAAAACGCAGCAATGCAGTCTGCTGCAGCAAGAAGTGTGGGGCTTGGAGCGAGAACGGGATTGTCTCGAGCCTGAACCGCAGCGATGCTCGACAACGGGTGCAAAAGGCTACGCGACAAGACAAACAAGAAAGCAGGAGGGCATTTGGTGAGTGAGACTGGCCACCACCAAACATCGGACGGCGATAATTCAAACCTGTAAAGCGCGCTCTTGGACGGCGCTGCTGCTCGTGATTTTTTCGGTGGCTGTGCTTGAAGAAGCATGCCAACAGCAAGCGGCAGCATTCGCACAATCTGTAAAAAACGTGTAGGCAGTCGAGTTGGTGCCCTCCAAATGGATTTTACAGTTGCACAAGCGCAAAACTTACAGGTGAAGGCAATGGGACGGCAAAGACTTGGCCGTCGTTGGCAAAAATGTCGATATGTGCGTGCTGCAGCACGCACAGACACTTGACGGGAATTTGTTCACTGAGCGGGAGCTGCAAAACTCAGGTTAGATACAATGTTTGTTTGTTTTGTTGCCAATCTGCTCAGAAACAAAGACTTACTTTTCGCGACAAACTCGACTGAACGACTTCATCTGCAACTTCGGATGCTCGGGTATGTGCAGCACCTTGTTGATGATGCTCTGACGCGGCAGAAGCAGCCAGCGCGCCGTCGACAGTGCTCAGCACGAACGTGGCCCAGCAGGCTTGCTTGATGTCTGCGTCGACCGTCACGGATTTGCGCACGACGCGCGCCGAGCTCCAGATGACAGTCCGACCTGCCACAAACAGCTAGAGTATTGATTGGATCGCCAGGCCCAGATCAATGGTGAGAGTGAGAGAAAGTGAGCTGGGTGGACAACAAAAAAGCGCGGGAAAACGGCGAGACACAATCCAATCGCTGTTGCTCCCAAAGCCAAGATCAAGCCAGCCGTCATCGCTGCATCGAACGAGCTTCAGATCTTTCGTCTCGCTTGTGCTTCTTCGTACCTCGTCGTCGCGCGAGTCGGCTGGATTGCTGCTTGGATTGTCGACCGCGTTCCCGTCAAACAGCTCGACGCGCGCCGTCCGCCCGCCGTCTTGCTGCTGGTGCTGCTGGTGCCTGGATTGGCGGCCGGTAGTACTAGTGCTGCCTTGTGCTTGAGGATCTGGAGGCAGGGTGGCTGTCGGATGGCCTCCGCTCGCCACCAGCGCAGGACCAAACGGATGGAACGGCCCAATGCAGTCCACCGTCAAGACGGGCAGCTCAAGCGCCATACTTTCGATGGGAACAAATAACAAGGAGCAAGAAGAAAAAAAATGAACAATGAAGAGCTTTGAATATTGAGTAAGGTCAACGTCTGAGCAACATCAGAGAAAGTCGTCAAGTGAGCTGTCGTTTTCAATGGGTTTTTGCTTCTCATTCAATTCAATCCGTTTCATCCCCTTCCCAGGCAGTCATACAACAAGCAACGATACTCTACAATTGCAGTATCATTTCATCTCAAAATTTTGAGCGCAAAGCGTCCCATAAGTGGCAGCGCAGACTGACTGAGAACGTCGCGCCGTCTTCAATGCAGAGCGAAAGCGCGCCAACTCTTTTTGTTTCCTTCGCCAAGGCTTCGACCTAAGCCGCAAGGAAATAACGCGGCCGGCGTTGACGCGCTGGCCCAAACCCATGACCAGCGACTGCTCTGGCGTGTGGCGTGTCGGCCCACCGACGTGCCAAAGTGGCTCTGCGTTGTGCAAGCTTGGTTCTGGCTTGGAGAAGAACTGCGCGGCGTCCACGACCGAACGCTTTCCAGTGCTGCCAGAACGGGCGCTCAGCCACTCTAAGGGGCTTTGCTGGTAGTCCCTGAAGGCGCGGAGGGTCGACTCTTCAGCTTGTTTCATTGGCAGGATTGATGTTGCCTCAGTATCCCCCCTTCTCTGCGCTTGTTTCGCTTGTTGCTGGTTGGGTGCACGATTCTGTGCGCTCTTTGTCGCACTGCACTTTACTGGCACAAGCATTACAAGCAGCACTTTTCTAGAGGGGGGGAAAGAAGCACATCAACCCATTTGTCGTGGACTGGCTGGGATTCGATCTGAGCGCACTCCAGACCAACTGCTTCAAAACCCTGGGCTGTGCGCTTACCGCTCTGGTTTTGGCTGCTGTTGCGTTCATTGTTGGTTGTGCCCCTTTTTGCTTCCCTTGCTTTCTGAGCCGATCGCTGAACACGACCGGGCTGCGCCTTTTGCTGGGCGAGCTGGTTGGCAATTTTTACAACCCCCTCTTCTTTTGCTCTCGTCTCACGGCGAGAGTTTCCCCCCTCTCTCTCTTGTTAACAATCCTATTCAATACAAGGTTTACTCTTTGACTCGACGAGCCCTATCTTGTTTAATACAATCACAAAGCAAATCGCTCTCTTGGCGAAATCTGAACGTCCAGTCTCCTTTTTCGAACGCTCGGTCATTTATGGCGGCACTGACGTTGCTGCGATCGCTGCCTCGCGCAGTCGTCACCGTGAGCGCATCATCATCGTCTGGGTTGATGCGCGGCAGTGTCATCACGGCTGGTCGTAGCGGTAGTCGTAGCGGCGCATTGGCTGCCCCTTGTTTGGCACGGCGATCGGCGCGCTGCTTCTCAACCATGACGCAGCCGTCGCTCGCCCAGCGCAGCTTCCAGTCAAACTATGAACAGCAGCAACAGCAGCAACAACAACGCACGCCACCACACAACAGCAAGCGTACGTCGCAACAGGGAATTCCTGCTGGTTGGTTTTGTGCTTGCTGCTCAGTTGTGATCTTGCTGGGACCCCCACCACATAACAGTGCGATTCAGAGTCAAGGAAGTCGCGTTGCACTCGACGTCGTTCAGGCTGTTTGTCGGCGGCGTTGCGGCACTGCTGGCGTACGCTTGGTACCAGGCTGAAGAAGTTCCGTTCACTGGTCGCCGGCGCATGCTGCTGCTGCCTGCATGGTTGGAAAAGCTGATTGGGAATCAGACAGACCAGGGCCTTGTGGCTGAAACGCGCGAAATGTGGGTGTCCGAGTCATCGCCTGTAAGATTGCATCGAGGATTTTGTTTGCTGCATTGAATGATTGTTGCTCAAATGCTCTCCTCCTCCCCCCCCCGCCTCCTCTCGCCTCACAACAAAAAACAAAAATTCCTCACAGGCCTATCAGCTCATTCGAGAGGTCGGCGAGCGTATCTGCACGGCCAATGGCATTCCGCCGTTGCGGTATCACTTGGTTCGAAGCAACGAGCCAAACGCCTTTGTGACTCCTGGCGGGACTGTCTTTGTCTACACTGGCATTCTACCCATCATGCAAAACGAGCATGGTGCAGCTGTTGTTCTGAGCCACGAGATTGGGCACTACATTGCTCGTGAGTGTGTCGAGTGTTTGGCGTGGTTTGGTTTTGCGAGAGAGTTGGCCTTTAACTCTTTTCTCCACAACAACATTAGATCACAGCTCGGAGCAAGTTTTGTTTAGCGTCATTTTGGGAGCCTTCCGACTGCTGTGGGACTGGAACTCGGCCCTGCTATCCAGTGTACGTTTTTTTTTTCTATTTTCAGAACGTTTGGTTGCCTGGCATGTTCATGGCTTTGAGCTCATACGTTTGCATGCGTTGAAATAGGTCTTTAAGGTTGCAGCAGAACTTCCCTTGTCCCGCAGCCGAGAAACGGAAGCCGATTTGATTGGGTAAGGTTTTCTGTCAAGTATTTTTGATGCGACTCGAACCTCCTCACTAACGACTGGATTTTTGCTGATGTTGTTATTTGGTGCTGACATAGACTCATGTTGATGGCACGCGCTTGCTTTAACATTGACGAGGCACAACAGGTATGGTTTTGGGGTTTTGCTCGTTGGCTTGTGCGGTTTCTCCTTCCACCAAGCAGACGAGTCTCTCTCACTCAACTCCCTCGTTCCCATGCCTTCTTGCCTTGCCGGCTGCGTCTCCGAACAGGTCTGGAAGCGATTCGACGACCTGGCTCACCAGGACAACCCCGTTGATCGCGCCGAGAAGCTCAAGTCGTGGCTTTCGACCCATCCATCCCATTCCGAGCGCTTGAAGAACTTTGACCCGAAAGGCGAATGGATGGCCAAGGCCCGTGTCGAGCAGGACAAGGCGTGCTTGTATGGCCAGGCACTGGAAGAGCAGCCTTCGTCGCCGTTGAGCCGCATTCTCCGGCGCCATCGCGAGCGTCGGTCGAGTTGACGAGCAGCGCGTTTTCTTGGCTTTGTTGATCTGTAGTTGGTTTTTTTGGCGAGATTGGCAAATGAAGAATCTAGGTCAGAAGTTGAGGTCAGATTTTTGAAATCCGGTTGGATCAGCAAAGCCAGGATGTTGTCAAGTGTGCAATCCGACGGGTGACAACTGAACAAGATGTCTGTTCCTTCCGATGACCTGCACATTGCCTGCTGTTGAACGATCATACAACAAGACGCGAGAACGGAAACAAATGGCAAATTCCACTTCAACTTTCCATTTCAACTTTCCATTTCAATGCGTGCCCCTCTCACGCCTTCGGTTTTTTTTTTTTTTTGCAATCGACTCAATCTCCTTGTCGCTTTGTCTCGTTTTGCATTGCGCTGAGCTCATTCAACGTTTTGTAATGCATTTTTATTGATCTTTTTTTTTCTTTTATTTTTCTTTTTTTTTTTTTTTTTCGTTCTTTGGGGTTTGCATTTGCACCTCGCGCTGTCCCCCCTTCCGCCCACTTACGCCCCCCCACATCACCACGCTTGCCTTGCTCTTCTCGCCGAGTGATCATCATGCATCTGGATGACTGAAGCGGTTTTGGCTGAACTGAAACGCCGCTCTGTGTGTGTTTCTTGTGCAGTGAACTCTTTCAGCACACTTTTTTTTTTTCAAAATCCATTTTCTTCTTTGTCGTTGAGTTTTTGGTTGTGTGCTGACACTGAGTTCGACCCCCCCCCCAAGTGGTGCGTGCATCTGCTTGATGCTCTTTGTGTGTGAGGACTGCGGCCGCTGTCGTTGGAGAGGGCTTTTCCTGAATGAATGAATGGGTTTTTGGAATGGATTTTTTTATTTTTTATTATTTTTTATTTATTTATTTTTTTTTTTTTACAATTTTGAATCTTCCATTGTCGACGTCACTCGCGTCCGTTTGAGTTTTGCGACTCTTCTGCGCTCGCCTGCCTTTCATCATCAAAAAGTGAAATCACATGTTGACAATGAGCAACGTTCTGATGTTCAACCAAACAACACACGCAACACATTCATTCAATGAACACAAACCGAAAAACCAAAAAACCAAAAAACCAAAACCAAAACCAAAAAACATGGATTTTTTGGATTTTTTGGATTTTTTTTTTGGAGTTTTTTTTTTTTTTCAATTCAAACTCACTGTTTTTTGTTTGCTTTCTGATCTGATTTTCTGAACACAGAACCACCCAAGCAAAAAACAAGCGGAAGAATCCCCAAAACAAACACAAACAAAAACAATGGTCTTTCGAAAGTGCGGCCCGAATGAGATTATGGTTGTCTCGGGCATGGGCTACGCGCAGCCGCGAGTGCTGAACGGCGGGAGCGTCTGGGTCTGGTCGGGCGTCCAGCAGCTCAACCGCCTGTCGCTCAACGTGTTCACGGTCGTCGTCCAGTCGCACAAGGTCTACACGCACGACGGTGTCGCCGTCAACGTGACGGGTGTCGCCCAGGTCAAGGTCGAGTCGCACGTTGACTCGATGCTCCGCAGCGCCATCCAGCAGTTCCTGGGCAAGTCGCAGTCGCAGATTGCAGCTGTTGCGCACGCCACGCTCGAGGGCCACCAGCGCGCCATCATGGGCACCATGACGGTCGAGGAGATTTACCAAAACCGCCTCAAGTTCTCGACGGCCGTCTTCCAGGTCGCCTCCACGGATCTCTCCAACATGGGCATCAGCATTGTCTCGTTCACCATCAAGGACGTCTCCGACGAGGAGGGCTACCTGGCCGCGCTCGGCATGAAGCGCACCGCCGAGGTCAAGCGCGATGCCGCGATCGGCGAGGCCGAAGCCAAGGCTGCCTCGGGCATCGAGGCCGCCAAGGCCAGCGAGGAGCTGTTCAAGGTCAAGTACACGAACGACGCCCACGTTGCCTCGGCCCAGCGCACATTCAACGTGCACCAGGCCGAGTTTGACGCCGAAGTGCAGACGTCGCGCGCCCAGGCAGACCTGGCCTACGACCTCTCTGCCGCAAAGCTCACCCAGGGCATTCGCGAGCAAGAGATTCAAATCCAGGTTGTCGAGCGACAGAAGCAGATTGAGGTGCAGCAACAGGAGATTGCACGAAAGGAGAAGGAGCTCACCGCCCAAATCGCCAAGCCTGCCGAGGCCGAGCGATACCAGATCGAGACTGTGGCTGCTGCCAAGCGTCTCCAGCTCATCTACGAGGCTGAGGCCCGGGCAGAGGCTGTCCGTCTGCGCGGCGAGGCCGAGGCGTTTGCCATTCGCGAGAAGGCCAAGGCCGAGAAGGAAAAGATGCTGAGCAAGGCCGAGGCCTACCAAGAGTACCAAGACGCTGCTCTCGTCGGCATGGTCTTGGAGGTTCTCCCCCGCGTGGCTGCCGAGGTTGCCCACCCTCTCACCAGCGTCAAGAAGATCACTATGGTCTCCAGCGGCAACGGCGAGGTCGGTGCCTCCAAGCTCACCAACGAGCTGCTCGATATTGTCACTCAGCTGCCCCCAGCCATCGAGAAGCTTACTGGCGTCAACATTAGCAACAGTCTCCGTCGCACTGTCCAGCGTGTTTAAGAAAAGAAATCCGAGCTGAATGGAATGGGTGGGGGTTTCCTCCGTCTTTGCTTTGGGCTGTATGTTTATCCCGATTCGCTGTTAGGCTTGTTCGCGTTTGTGTCTTGTTCTTTGTTTGGCTGTGATTCGTTGTTACGAAAAAAAAAAAATAAAAAGTGGATGCGAGCACTTTTGGATGTATTGTTTTTCGAATGCCACCCGAAGTTCAAGTTGTTTATTGGAGACCAAACAATGGTTTCTTGCTCTTCTTCTTCTTCTTCTTATTGTTGCTCGGTTTCCTCTTCTCGTCGTGCGAGCTCGGTTTGCAACCTGGAGCATTCCTGTTCAAGCTGCATGTTCTTTCCCACCAGGCTGTACCAGGTTGACTCGAGCTCATACAGTTTGTTATAAAGCTTGGTCTGCGGTGGAGCCAACGAGATCAGTGTCAGCGGACAGAAACGGGAACCAACACGAAAACGCTAAAACCCTACCTGTTGATCCTTGCGTTCCCGATTGACCTCTTGGATTTCGTCCTGTGCTTCATTGAGCAGATTTGTCAGCTGTGTGTGCAGGTGTGCCACAATTTCAGCATTGAGACGCCACGCAGCCGGGCCGTGCTTTGCCAACAGATCGAGATTGAGCAGCCTGTCAATGAAGCAGAGCAAACACACAGGTCCAGAACACGTTAATGATGGAGCTGCCCATGCGTCTCCACAGATAGAGACGGAACACATGCAGCCAACGTGGTCTGGAGAATCTGAGAAATGCGGCTCACCTTGTGTGTTGATATTCAATGAGCATCCGTGCCTGGTCGATGCATGCCTTCCATGCCGCAGGATCCGACTTGCTCTTGGCATCCATTGCTGGGAATTCGTACCTGCTCATGTCAATCGCTTGGAGCGGCTGCTTGGCTGCAACTCTACCAGGAAGCAAGGACGCACTGGTGAGACTCTCTCTCTCTCACTCCCCCCCCTCCATCTCTGAATCTCCTCAACCCCGGCATAAAACCCTTGCGCTCCTACCGCGCTAGTTCCTGTTGCAGACGCGGGCGCGATGCAAACAGCTGATCGGACGCCGGCAAGTTGAGCGATGCGAGGTAGTCGCGCTGCGGCAGAGTTGCCATCTCGGCCTGGATGAGCGCCAGCACGTTCGCGCTTGCCTCTGGCGCAATCGAAGGAACAAGCAAGCAAAAAAAAAAGCAACCAGATGTGAGAGGGCATCGGTTCAGCCAGAGTCCGAGTCCTTCTCGCTGCCTCTCCATTGCCATTGCGCTCCCCTCTCGCCTGTCTCTGCCCCAGCCCCACAACCCCCGCCTTACGCTCGTCTTGGAGATCCTGCTCTGCGTATGGCATGACGTCGAGACGCACGCCGCGAGAGAGCGACGCTGCGATCGAACTGCCGCTGCTGAACGCCACTGACGACGAAGCGCCGTCGACTTGCATTTGTGCGATCAAGAAGTAGAGAGTGAGAATCGTGTGTACAAGTATTTCGGAATCATAGATACATGGAAGCGCATATTAGGATCGGATGAGTGCAAGTGGCGCGCAACAGCTGAGACCGAAGGCTCAGTCCCCCACGAAACTCTCGTTCGCTGAGCACAAACCATGGCGACAGCAACGACAACGACGACGACAAGCTTTTCAGGCCTGCTGAACGCGTCGTCTGCTGATGCTGGCCAAGGGAAGAGTGGAAGCAGCGGCGTTGGTGGACTGCTTCGACCGGCGGAGGCGGCTGAGATGCAACGCGACGCACTGTCGCTGCTCGAGGTCTTCCAGGCGTCCATCCAGTCGCACAAGGACGAGACGCACAATGCCAGTGCCAATGTATGACGAGACGCTCGAGTGGTCTTTGTCTGACCTCTTGTGTGCGTTTTGGGACGGGAGGCGATGCAGCAGCTAACTGAACGCTGAATGTTTGGATTGACAGAACGCTGCATCATCATCATCATCGTCATCATCATCGTCATCGACGACAAGTCAGACAAGCAACGGCAAGGGCTCGGGAAAGCCAGAAACCAGCAGTCGCGCGTGGAAGCAGGGCGATCTGTGTCGCGCGACGTGGTCTGAGGACGGAATTGTCTACAATGCAACCATCGACGAGCTCTGTGCCGATGGTAAAGGGTCCCGAGGCTATTGTCGCTCTGGCTCACTTGAGCTTATGGTTTACTTGAGCTTGTTTTGGTGGTGGTTTGCTTCGGTTGGGGAAGCGATCGCTTGTCGCGTTGTGTTAAACTTGGCTGCCGCTGTTGGCTGTTGGTTTGTGCACAGGCATTCACTGCTGGGTCACGTACACCGAGTACGGCAACCAAGAGCGACAAAGCCTGGAAGACCTTCTGCCGCCCACTGTTGCACAGCTCGAGGAGTATGCATCGCAGCCGTTGCAGGAGGCCCAGCTGCGCAGTTCAACCCAATTGTTTGCACGGGAGTCCTCCGGCTCAGTCTCAGACGTGTCCTCAGAGGCATCCGACTCTCGAAAATCAACGACAGAGCGTTCGCATGCTGTGCGGCGCACACACAAGCTCCCCAACGCACCACCGAAATCCGAATCGGAAGAACTTGGTGCTGGGGAAAAGTCCAAGCCGCCCGCATCATCCGCCACGGCCAATGCGACCAGCACACCCAAGGTCGACAGTTCACAGAAAATTGAGGCTGATACAAGCTCGTCTGCAACCCTCCCACGCCAACCAATCCTACTGGAGAACGCCAAAAAGAAGCCAAAACAGCCGACAGCGAGTGCAAGTCTCGAGCCACGCATGGTCGAGTGGCACGTCGGAGACGAATGCATATCCGTTTATAGCGTTGACCAGCGAGAATATCCCGCCGTGATTGAGCAAATCTCGGACGATGGTGAGATTGTTGTTGTTTTTTTGGTATTATTTACGCTCAGTTGGATTGTTGCCGGGAAGCTCAATGCTCACCCGTCTTGGTGCTTGAATTGCATCGCAGGTATTTACTGCATCGTCAAATATCTTGGATACAACAACAAGGAAGAGGTTGAGCTTGAATCGCTCCAACCCAACCTCGATTCGGAGGAAGCCAGTGCCACTCTGACTGCAACTGCCACACCAAACGTCGATCATTCACAATTCGTCCAACCGCCTGCGCTGCGTGGGGAGGTGTAAGTTCATGTCTGGGGCGAACTTGGATGCAAATGGATTTTGTTCTTGATGGTTTTTTTTTTTGTATTTTTCAGATTACCCCATCGTACGACCCGCAGCTTGCTCAATTACTTTCAGCCTGGTACCATGCTGGCTATATGACAGGGTATTATGAAGCTCAGCGTCAACAACTTCCTCGCTAGGACGAGTTGCAAAAACGAAAATTCAATATTTGCATAAGCAAAATACACTTCACTCCAGTCTCAGAATTCTCCTTCTTCGGGTGAGACAACAACCAAAAAACTTTGCATCAATCGGCAGGAAGAGCAAATGGCCATCTCAGCGTCTCGTCATCCGGAATGGACTTGATCGAGTAGCCCCGTGCTTTGGTCGAGCTAGCCTTCAGTCCAGCTTTGGTGTGTTGTTCATCGCGATCGATGCTTGCAATGTCTGCGAGGCCTGCGCTGCCGGCGACACCTGCACCAACCGACAACAGTACGTCCTCTTGCACTTGTATCTGTGCGAGATTCTCAGGAAGCCCTTCTCACTTGAAACAAGCTGTCGTTTGACAAGACAACTGCTTGAATCATCATCGCAGCCGTGACCCTGCGGTTGGTCCAGAAGACCAACAGACACGTTTTGCACTGTCACCCCGCCAGTGAATAATTCATCCTCAAAGAGGAGGACAGGGGGGCGGGGGGAAGGCAATATGTGAAGGAAACACCTTGAAACACAACAACAAAAAAAAAAAAAAAACAGCATGTTCGTGTCGTCGTTCTGAAATAACTTGTTTAATACTATCACACGATAAGACTACCAATGAGGTAATCCACTTGATGCCATTGTGGGCAAAACACCACGACATGTTTTTGATGGTTGTTGTGCCTGCAGGATTTGTTTTTTCTTTTGTTTTTGTTGTTTGGGGGTTGGTTTTTTTTTCTATGCAAAATTGGGATTGAACGAGGCTTCGACAACACGCCCATTCAGAGGTTGAAGCGGACGGCTGTTGGAGGAGATGGTCGGGTCGGTACGGACAGATCGCAGCCGATCAAGCTGCTCTTGGGAAATGGTGATGGGCTCGCGCATGACAACCCAGCGCACACTTTCGTAGCACGGCGGCGCAGTAAGCGAGCCAGGATAGTGAAAGTACTGCTCTGTGCTTGCCGGCAGCCACTCGGCAAGACTGACGCCTGGCACTGAGACTGCAGCACCGGCTTCCGCCAATGCAGCAATCGTGCTCGATCCGAGCAACCGGTCAAACGCCGCATTTGGAGCGTCGCCGACGCGGATGAATACTGCGACGACAGCGAGACCTCTCGGACTGGCCTGGGCCTCGATGGAGGACGCGAATCGGTCTGAATAGTGGACGAGGTGCACCTCAGCCTCTGCAAACTGGCCGTCGATGGCGTGCTCGGAGCCAGATGAGCCGGCGTTGGAGCCCCAGTGGAACCGAGCCTCCCGCAGGACGAATCTTGCGCCCGCCTCGAACGGACCTCCCGAGAGCGTTGCCTTGTCTGTGTGTGTGTTTGTGGCTGCGCCGCTGTCTGCCAGCATTGCGATGAGCGAGACGCCGTCGTTGACAACGGTGAGACCGCTGATGGACGGCCAGTCGTAGTCAAACTCGAGCGCCGCGAACGCCGGGTTGTATGCGGCCTTGGACGTGGTGATGCTCACGGGTGCCTGGCGCTCGGTGGGTGCGCCGTGGCCGCAGCGGGACGAGCCCGGCAGTCGGCTCCACTGGTCTGGCCCCGCAAAGTGGAGCGCCTTGCCGCCGTGCGAGTAGCTCCAGCCCCAGCCCGCGTCGCCGCCGTTCTGGTCTGGCCCCGCAAAGTGGAGCGCCTTGCCGCCGTGCGAGTAGCTCCAGCCCCAGCCCGCGTCGCCGCCGTTCGGACGCGAGCAGCAAACCGCAGGACGCCGATAGCAGCAGCATCATGGCAACAGCAACAACAACAACAGGAGCTGCAGCGGACGCGAGCAGCAAACCGCAGGACGCCGATAGCAGCAGCATCATGGCAACAGCAACAACAACAGAAGAAGAAGAAGAAGAAGAAGAAGAAGAAGAAGAAGAAGAAGAAGAAGAAGAAGAAGAAGAAGAAGAAGAAGAAGAAATCGAAGAAGAAGAAATCGATGAAGAATTGAAGAAGAAGAAGCAGAAGAAGAAGAACAAGAATAACAAGAAGAAATCTTCCATCTTATCGAAAGGAGAGCAAATTGGCAGTCGAGGTCGATAAGGGAAGTGGGGGAAGGGGAAGAGAAGGGGAAGGGGAAGTGGGGAGCAAGCGAGAAGGAGAGCTGAGAGGTGAAGGGGGGGGGAAGAGAAAAGAAACCAGAGGAACCTGCAAAGGAAATTGGGTTGTTTTTGTATTTGAATCAATCACAACGGACAACTGAGGATCAAAAGGGAAGAAGGCCTTCACTTCACTTCAAAGGCATCACACATCACACAGAGAAACCACATCCAACAGCGACACACCACTCGAGTACAACAGAAAAAGAAAAGAAAAAACCACAACACATCGTTTTAATCAAGCATCTGCAGATACGAGGCGGGCAGATAGCCGTTGGAACCATCGGCACCTCCTGCGTGGTACCAGTCGTTGTTCACTTGCGAGTAGATGGTCACAGTCGCGCCAGCCTTCACAGAGATCTCGGTACCCGACCGAGCCTCGTAATCGTAAAGCGCCTTGGCAGTCTTGAAACCTGTCGCTGGAGAAAAACACAAAGGTCAAAATGTCAGTAAATTGAAACAATCAAAATGACCGAAGAGCACATTTCAGAATCGTAGACGTACCGGCAGGTGCAGCGGCAGGTGTCGCTTCGGCCTCCTTCTTTGCAGCCTCGGCCTCCTCGGCAGCTTTGGCCGTGGCGGCCGCGACAGCGTTGGCATCAGGAGCAACAGACATGCGCTTGCAAGCTGGCTTGTGAGTCTTCCAGTCACTCGTTTGGCACTCGCGACTGCAATAGTACTGGCTCTTGCACATGGTGCAGCGGAACTTGGCCGTCTTGCCGCAAACGCACATCATGCTCGTCGGATCGGTGTCAGCCGAGCCTGGAGTGCTGGCAGCTGGTGCAGAAGCAGCAGCAGCAGCAGCAGCAGTGGCGGCAGCTTCGGCAGCTGCAGCCTCAGTCTGATAGAATTTGTGAAAAGAAAAAGTAAGGACTTCAGGTCAGCACAAAACAAAAAAAAAAAAAAAAAAAAAGCCTCCATCGCAACCGAACCAACAAAAAACAAAAAATCAATCAATCAAATCGCTCAAAACGTACACGGCGCGAGCGCTCCAACTCATCGGCAACGCGCTTGGCTTCACTTTCAGCGTCCGAGGCGGCCTTGCGACGACGCTCCTCTTTGGCCTTTTCGAGAGCCTCGAGCTCGCGGCGCTCTTCTTCCTCGCGCTCGCGACGCTTCCGCGCCCGCTCTTCGGCGGCAATGCGGCGTTGCTCCTCGGCCGCAAGCTCAGCCTGGCGCTCGGCCTCCTTTTCCGCCGCCTTTTCTGCAGCAACACGCGCCAACAGTTCGGCATCCTCTTGCTCGCGACGGCGGCGATCTTCCTCGTTCTTCTTGCGGCGATTTTCGGCCTCCTGTTGCTCGAGCTTGGCAGCCATCTCAGCCTCAGATTGGCGCTTGCGACGACGCTCTTCGCGTTGACGCTCGCGCTCGCGCTCCTCTTCATCAGCACGCTGGCGCTCGGCCTCAGCGGCCGCTGCAGCACGCAACTCGCGCTGTCGCTTGCGTTCGACGCGACGACGCTCCAGCTCGGCCTGCATATCGGCCTCGGAAAGGTTGCTCAACTCGGCCTCGGTCAAGCTCGGCAGAGCAGACTCGTCGAGGATGGACTGCGTTCGTGAGATTGAGGGCGAAGAGTCGTCCTCCTGGAAGGAAAGCTGGCGCAGGCGACGCGACCGAAGCAGCCTCAAGCTCGGCAGCATCGGCAGCAGCCTTGCGCTTCCCTTCGCCTTGCGCTTCCCTTCGCGCTCGGCCTCCTCCGCGGCAGCTTGGCGGGCGGCGGCTTCAGCAGCGGCGGCTTTCTAGCCTTCTCTTCTTCTTTGGCAGCAGCAGCGGCGGCGGCAGCAGCAGCCTGTCGCTTGGACTCTTCGCGCTCCGCCTCTTGACGACGAGCATCTTCTTCTTCTTGCTCGGCGCGGCGCCGTGCTTCCTCGTCAGCCTTGCGTTGCGACTCGCGCTCGGCGGCGGCTTTTTGTTCCGCCTGACGCCGCGATTCCGCCTCAGCCTCTGCTGCTGCTGCTGCTGCCGCCGCCGCTTGCTCACGCTTCTTGGTCTCCTCAGCCTCCAGAGCTTCCAGCGCTTCCTGAGCTTCCCGAGCCTCTCGCTCGCGGCGTGCACGCTCGGCACGCTCCGTTCGCTCACGCTCGGCCTGCTCATCAGCCTGCCTTTGGGCAGCAGCTTCAGCTTCGGCAGCCGCAGCAGCAGCGGCGGCAGCGCGATCAGCCGCCTCCTTTTGACGACGGCGGTCGGCCTCCTCTTTCAACTTGAGCGCTGCTTCCATCTCGGCGGCAGCGGCGGCAGCCTCGGCTTCTTGCCTGCGACGAAGCGTGGCACGATCCTCTTCTTGGCGGGCGGCAGCCTCGTCCTCGTCCTCCTCAATGACAATGGGTGCAGTTGCCGCAATGATGGCTTGCAGTGGATCCGCTGTCTCGTCCAAATACTGCGACTCGCGTTCAGAGCGACGCTTCTCCTTCATTCGCTGCTTGCGCTCCTCCTGCAACCGCTTTTGCTCGCGCTCCAAGCGCTCGTTGTCGAGTTGCCACTGCTTGGCACGAAGTTCCTCGGCTTCTTTCGCGGCCTGAGCGCGCTGTGTCGTTGGTGATGCAGACGACGAGCACAAAAGAAATGGTCAGAGAAACAGAAAACACCAGCACAAAATCAAAAAAAAAACCACCGTATCTCGCGCGAATGCTACAAACCTTCTCTTCGCTTTCGCGCTCGTTGCGAAGGCGTTCTTGCTCTTCCTCTTCAGCGGCCTTGGTTTCACGAGCAATGCGTGCGGCGGTTTCGTCTGAAACGTCGTCAAAGATGTCCTCGTAGTTGGTGATGAGCAGCTCAACAATGCGCACTTGTTTGGGCATGTCGAGCAGGGCATCGACCGATTCCTCCTTGCAGCGGACCAGCGTCGGGCCAAACACAATGCCAAGGTTATCCGTGCGCATCATGTTGACGTGGCAGTTGCGGGACACCTTGTGCAAGTGGCGCATGAGCTCACGGAGCGTGTTGTAGTGGGCGTCGGGCAGCGAGCGCACAAGGGCTTTGATGGCAGGCGTGCTGGCCGTTTCCGACACTGAAATAAACTTGCTGTAGGCTGCGAAAGGAATCAGCGGGTCGGCAAGCTGGCGCAGGAAGAGCTTGAGCACACCAGCCACGACATGCTCATCGGGCTGCTGCGACACGTCAATGTTTTCGCGCTCAATTTCAAAGCGCTCGCACAACTCTTCAATGCGCGACTTTTGGCCGGCAATGCGATAAATGCCCACCAAGTCCATGCCGCGACGCTCAATATCCGCAATGCACTTGAGCACAACCAGCGGCACGGGCTGGCCAGAACGTGCGAGCGACACGAGGTCGGAGCCAAAGAAGGACAGCTTGTCGCCCTTGCGACGGCTGGGCGTGCCGCTGGCAGAACGCATGGCGGGCGCGTGGATGCTTGAAACAGAGCTGGAGCGCTCGCGATCGCAGGGCATCTCGACAACGTGATCGCCACAGCCAACATGGCAGGTAATGTTGCAAATGTTGCAACGCGCCGAGTTGAAAAAGGCGTACTTTTGGCAGTGTGCGCAACGACCGGGGACGTCGGAACGACGGAAGACATGGCCATTCACGGCGCTCGTCGAGCCAGACATGGCCGATGAGGCGAGTCCAGGGACTTGAAGCAAGCCGCCACCGGTGGCGTTGTGGTTGCCGCGTTGCTCAGGCAAAGTACCAAGGTGGCCCGAACGCTCGTGTCCCGAATAGGCTGCGGTCTCCTGCTGGAGGGAAAAGTCCTCGTACTCGACGGACTCGACCTTCAACTCTTGGCCAGCAGACTGACGCGCAACGTAGCGTGCGACATCTTCCACGTTGTTGATGTGCTTGGTGTGATCAATCAGGCTGATCATTTCGTCCTCGTAGGGCGAGACGAGGACGTACTCGAGCTGGTGCAGGCGTCCGACCGTGTTCTTGCTCTTGTGCTCGCACGTCTCGGATAAGATTTTCAGGGTGCGGATGACGTTGCGCAAGAAGGCCTCAAAGTCCACGACGGCCTTGTTGGCAACAACGAGCTGTTGCTTGTAGGCGTCGTTGGCGGCACCGCATTTGGCACGGGCCTCCTCCTCGTCCTTGATGCGCTTGTCCAGCTTGAGGCGCATGGGCGTCGCTTCCTCCTTTTTCTTCTCGAGCAGCGACTTTTCCCAGTTGCGCGAAGAGTCGTGGAAGTGCTTTTTGGCCTTGTCGGTGGCAGCGAGCGTGTCTGCTAGCCGCTTGCGCTCCTTGGTCCACTGCTCCTTGATGCGCTTGCGTGACTTGTCGTGCTCGGTCTGGCGCTCGTGCAGCGGCTCAATCACCTTGGAAACGACCTGGTGAGAAAACTCGGTGCGACGAGCAGCGGCTCCTGCATGCGACGCGAGCACGGCGAGCGTGTTGGTGTGCATTGTGCTGCGGTTGAGCCAGCCCTTTTCGTTCAAGGTGGCGGTGGTGTCGCTCGACAGCTTGGCAAGCTTGGTCGAGTACTCCTTTTCGAGCGCCACGCGGCTCTTGAGATAGGACAAGAGCTCGCCAGTGTAGCTCGACCATTCCTTGCAACGGGCGTTCAAGACCTCAACACCGTCCATGAAGAGCATGCCCACGAGATCCTTGTCTTGGGAGATGGACGAGAAGAAGTTGCCTTCCTCGTCCACATCGTGCAACACGCCGCTCACGTGCAGCTTTGACGCCTGGTGCTGCAACGCCGGGGGCGCGGTGGTGGGGATGGTGCCGCCTGCGGTGGCCAGCGGCAGCGCAGCTGCATACTGTGCCGCAGCAGAAGACTCGGCCTCGGGCGTCGCAAAGCCTTGCATGTACTCTGAGACGATGCGGGCGAACACGGTGATCATGTCCTGCAAAACCTTGTTCAAGTTGTGCGGGCGCTGCGGGTCTGTGGGGTTTGCGCCGGCAGCCCACTGCTTGGTCGCCAGAATGAGCGTCTTGAGGTGGACGAGGACGTCGTCAAGGTTGAACGAGAAGGTCTCGCTGATATCCTTGATGAGTGTGTGCAGGTTGGTGACGCCCACAATGACCGTTTCCTTGGCCTGATCGTTGGGCTCGGAGGGGAAGAGGCGTCCGAACGCCGTGATTTGCTCGGAAAACTCCTTGACCTTGTTTGTCAGGGCAAGCAAGTGCTCGTGGTTGTCAACGTCGACATGCTCGTGCAAGCCAACGCCCGTCAAATCCTCGGATGAATCAAAGCGTGCAGAGAGAGCAAGGCTCCGACGATTGTCCGGAACGTGATGCGCGGCGGCCGCGCTCGATGGCGACGGCGATGCCGCAAACGCAGCAGCGCCCGATGCTGGTCGCGTGCTTGCGGATGCGTTGGATGCGTTTCGCTGCAAGGCGGCACCTGAATGGAAGACAACGAGTTCAAATCGACGTGCAAAAGTGAGATTTGACTGAGATTGACTGAGATGAGAACTCACTGGGTTGAGAACTGAGAAATGAAGGGATGGTGGTGGGGGGATGGAGCGATCGTCGGAAAAGGCTGCGGTTTGTTGTTTTGGTTGGTATGTTGGTTGTTGAGGCATGTTGATGTAGAAGAGTGAGTGTGAGTGAGTGAGTGAGTGAGTATGGGGAAGTAAAAGAGTAACCAACTGCCTTCAGCGCCACCTTTGATCACTCACTCGCTGCAACACGAAAAAACGTCAGAGGATGGTTGCGAAGAAAAACGGTGCGTTGCAAGGACAGGACAGAAGCGAACCAAGCAACAGAAAAGCAAAGGAAATAAAAAATAAAAAAAATAAAAAAGACCGGTTTCCAATGCAAACTACGCATAAAAAAATAATAAAAAAATAATAAACAGGTTCGTTTGTTTGAATTGTTATTATTTTATTTTATTTATTTTTTTATTTTTTCGGTTTTTCGGTTCCGTTGCCATCGCTTTCACTCTCTCTCGCTGTCTCTCTCTCTCTCTCTGACTCTCTCTCTCTGACTCTCAGCGCCAACCTACTCATTGACTCGCTTCTTGAGAGGGCCAACTTCACCCCCCCCCCCCCAACCTGCCTGCTCGATGAGAATGGAAGCAAATCGCAAATCGCAGCCACAAAAGCCGCAAAGTTGCCATCCAGACACTTTCCCCCTCGCTCGATCACGCTCACTCTCACCCGCCAAACACGCTTGCATCAACACCTGCGATTGCAGCGACGAAAAGCGGCCGCGTGTCGGACGTCGGTCATTCGTTCGTCCTTTTCCTTGTTGCGGTCTTCCCTTCTTTCTTTCTTTTTTTTATTTTTTTTTTTTTCTTACCGAGTCCTGCGATCTGCTGCTGCCCGCCGGCTGCCGCTCCGCCGCCAGAGCTCGTGTGGACGACCGAGCCGACGTTGGGCGTCGAGATCAGCGCCTTCTTCTTCTCGTTGGCCTTCTCGCGCTCCTTGGCCTCCTTCAGCTCCTTCTTGCTCGGCGTCGAGGGCCCGCCAGCCGCAGGCGCAGACCCAGCATCGCTGTCCTTCTTGAACAATCCCATTCAGATTTCAGAAAGCAGGAAAAAAAAAAGTAGTGTAGACTGAGTTTTGAAGTTGAGCAAAAAAAAAAAGCTTGTTGATCGAACTTGAAAACGACTCTCGGTCGAGTGCCATGCTGGACTTGCGTACGAATCAAAGGGTGGAGCGGAGTGACCGAGCAACCGGATGAAAAACGACCAGATTGAGAATTGGCCTCAACTGCAGCCGTTCAACGCTTGCTCCAGCCATCGTAGAGCGACTTGCACTTGCGGAATATTCACAATATCAGGCAGCGCTGTGTGCCGAGAATAAAACCAGTCTCGCTTGCCGATGATGCCTTTGGGAGACGATGAAATGGAAACATTCGAAAGAACAACCGCACCTGCTCGCAAGAACGCTCAAATCGGAACTACAGCCCAGCTGCATCGAGTCAACCTGAATTTACAATGATTAGAAATATGATTTTGAGTCAGAAGGGATGCAAAGGCTGAACGCGTCTGCTCAGGTGGAAGTGAACAGCAGCTCGATAAACGACGCGCAAACAAAGCAGCGAGTATTACGAGTTCCCAACCATCTGGAAAGCCGATTGGCGCGGTTTTACATTTGCAGTAACAATATGTAATGTGTTGCACGCGATGATGATGCTTGGCAGCTCGCAAAAATTTAGGCACAATTTTTTTGTCTTTATTGCGCATTGAAAGGCAATTGTTTTGACATTTGCATTGACCCTAAAAATGCATTACCTTCAGCCAAACCGCCTGTCATTTTCTACAAACATACATCTTGGTTTGGACACGCATTTGACACACTTTTACTGCGCGTCTTCGGGCGTGGTTGGCAAGGACAAGACTGGATTGAGCATTATGCACTAATTTCAACCGCGCTCGGCGTTGGCGCTCAGTGGGCTCACTCCCCGTCTTTAAATAGCTGGTCATTGCTAGTCAGAAACACGGCACTTTGTATGGCTTTGCCGACAACAGCCACATGACCAGCAACACTCACATTGCACGTCAAACAAGCACACGCCACACTGCCAGGAATACTATCCCGATCATTAAATTTCGACCCCCCCTCTTTTTTTCACTTTTTCGCCCTCCCTGGGACCTGTGTTGCTTTCCGTCTCGCCCGCGGAATGTTCATTCATGGTACGGTGTACCAGACACATTTTAGAAGTGAAGCAGCGGGCTGGGAGTTAAGATTCGAAGCGAGAACAGACAAAAATGAAACTCAAAAAAACAGAAAAAGAGCGGATTTTTTGCCCAATTTTCACAAAGCATTACATGGCACACAAACAACGTGTCGCAGCGCCTTCGCTCCACTTCAGTACTTGGTATAACCACCATTGGCATCTATCACAGCTTGAATGCGGCGCGGCATCGATGAAATGAGATCGCGGCAGACCTCTGGCGTGAGCACTTCTTCGTAGACCGCTTGGAAGCGTTCCCACAACGCGGCCTTGCTCTTGATCTCCCTCTCCTGGTAGATCTTGTTCTTGACCATGTTCCACGCATTTTCGATGGGGTTGAGGTCGGGAGAGTTCGCAGGCCAGTCCAGGACGGTGATCTGATTGGTTTCGAACCACTTCGCCACATCTTTTCTTTTGTGACAAGGGGCGTTGTCATGCATGAAAATCATCTCGTTTTTGTTGTTCCACACGCGAATGCTTGCTAGCAACTCGCTCTCCAAAACTGAGAGGTAGGTGTCGCCGTTCATGACGTCGCCGACCTCGCAGAAAAGCGAAATTCCGAAACGAGAGATGGCGCCCCAAACATTGATATGGCCACCGCCGAACTTGACCGTGCCCTGCACGCATCGATCGGTCAACGTTTCGCCAACCAGACGCCATACACGACCACCGTTGTTGTTCCTGTAGAGATAGAGAGCAGTCTCGTCGGAGAAGACGACCCTCAGCCAGTCATCGACGGTCCAATGCTGATGAGCGAGTGCAAAGGCCAAGCGTCGCTCTTTGTGTGTCTCTTTCAAGAGGGCTTTTTTGACCTTCGCTCCGTTGACAAGTCCTGCACCATGCAGCACCCTTCTTATCGTGCATGGAGAGACACGAACTTTGGACAATGTGCGCATAGTGGCGGCCACTTCGGGTGCGGTGTCGGACTCATCGAGGAGGATCTGTGCTACAATGTTGTTGCGGTGAAATGACTTGAGCTTGCTGGGGCGACCGGGGCGGGGGCTGTCGCTCGTCGTCGCCCTTCCCGAGAAACGTTGGGTGATGCTGATCACTGTAGAACGTGGGAGGTGAAGCTGGGTGGCGATCTTGTTGTAGGAGAGGCCAGCATTTCGCAACGCGAGCACTTGACCGCGGACGACCTCCCTGGGCATCTTGTCCAGCACGGGCAGCGGTCTTTTTGGTGAAGTTGGACGCAGCCATACCGGGGGCTGTCTGGGAGCCACGCGGGACGTGGACTGACTGCGTGTGCGAGTCATGCGCACAAAAAGACTGAACCCAAACCAAAATTTGGGCGGGAAAAGTGAATTTTTTGAGTTTCCTTATATTTTTTATTTTGCTCGCTGCTGCTCTGATATGACTCACAACCCCCGCTCCCGGTGTTCATCAGACGTTCGGTACACCGTACCATGAATGAACATTCCGCGGGCGAGACGGAAAGCAACACAGGTCCCAGGGAGGGCGAAAAAGTGAAAAAAAGAGGGGGGGTCGAAATTTAATGATCGGGATAGTACTCGCATCTCCGCCACAGCTTACATCGCCCGTAGAACTCACAGTATCGCCAGTTACCAGTGCCCGTAACTGTCAATTCAGAGGAAATTACCTTCAGCTCGCTTCGTACCACCCGCTGAAACGCTTAACAAACCAAGCCGATGCAAACTCGTTCTCATTCCGTTCAATGCTCTCGCTCACACGCTCTCTTGACCGACTGTGAAACAATCCTTGTTCATGTTACAACCAAACAAAAATCGGCAGGGGTAACAGCATTCGTTTTATTGACAAGATTGAGCGCGTGGTCCAACAAACAATAGAGCACGGCGTACAACGCATACACAAGGTTGACCAGCGGACGGAGAGCCCGCAAGCACTTGAAACTCCGCACGTAAACAGCAGCAAACGCAAGTCACAGACAATTGATGAACCACCATTGGCGCTCGTCGCTAGTCATAGACTGGGTCTTGGGGGTTGGATCTGGGTCGACTGTACACTGGCGGGGGAGCGGAGCGCGGAGTGGCATACTCCGAGGCTGTCGCGTCAGAATTTACCGCAGAGGGGAGATTGTCATAGTTGGGCGGGGCATTGGTGCCAGGTGCGAAGCTGTCGTAGTGCCCGCCTGCAGCTTCGAGCATCTTTGCATCAACCTCGGGAGAAACGCCTGCGTCTCCGTGATCAAGAGCAGCGTACTGCTGCGGACGCGTCTGGCCGGGCGGGGCAGGAAGCTGGTCAGAGGCGGTGCGACCAGCAATGTGCGTGTAGCCTGGGGCGTAGGCCTCAGGTGCCTTTTCATCACCAGCACTGTCGTAGACCGGGGCCTCAAAGTTGTCATACTGCCCAGCCGGCGACTGATACTGCCCAGCCGGCGACTGATACTGCGCGGACGCGGACTGATAGTTGGCAGCAGACAAGCTATCGTACGTGGCGTTGCTATCGTACGTCGGGTTGCCGACCGAGCTGCCGCCGCCACCGAGAGTGTCGTAAAGGCCTTCACGCGCACCGGGACGAACATCGTCGTACGTATCGTTGCGCTCCTCATTCAGTTGATGAAGCGGATTCAGCTCAATCTGACCGACGGTCGGGTCATTGCGGTGCATGAAGGCAGGAGCGACCTTGGCGACTTTGGACTTTTGACGCCGGCGACGAACGACGACAATGATTAGCAACAGCAACAAGAGAAGCGCAAGCACGCTAGGAATGATCGTGTAGATGGCAGCATCCACAGAGCTGGCACCAGAGCTGGTTGGGGCGGAATCGAGGTCGAGAATCATGACAACCACAGCTCGAGAGGCACCAAACCGCGCGCCACCGCCAATGTTCTTCAGGTGGACAAACATGTACTTGGTGCCTTGATAGCGGGGAATGTCAAAGACCGGAATGACAATCTCAGTCTCATTTTGACCATCAGCCATGACAATTTCGTAGGTCGCGGGATCAATGTCGTGTGCCATGTCCACTTTCAACGAAGGCAGCGCGACTCGAGAGAAGGCAAGATAATCGGGGGAAGCACTGCGGTTTGTGGAAATCTCGAATGTCATGTTGATGCGCCCGATCGCGCCGACCTCACGCCAAACGGGCAGCCGAATGTAGGTGGCATTCTCGTAGAAATGGTACACGTCTGTATCAAAGAGCGTGGATGGCGCAAACTCGACCACGCCATAGCCGTCGTCATTGGCGAGAATGGTGACGGTCGCCACCGAGGCCCAGGACAGGTACGCGCCGCTGACATTCACAAGGCTGACATAGAACGATTCGTCGCCCTCCGGGATGTTATCATTCGCAATGTGAATCGAAAACTGCTGCGTCGAATCCGTCACGGGAAGCAGATGCGTATTGTTCTGGTTGGACGCGTCGAAATCGGATCCCGAGGCTGTTCCTGGCACGGCGTCGGAGGAGTACGTCACGGAGGAGGCATTCGGTGAGCGCGAGACAGTCAGGATGGCATCCCCATCCGATTCTTGCACGGAGATAAACAGGCTTTGGAACCGGATGACACCGCTCGACGAGCTCGCATCGATAACGCATGGCAGATACGAGTCCAGCGAGCTGGTGGTCACGACAGACGTGGCTTCCTGGCCGGACGACGCGCCGTTCGCGACCAACTTGACACCAAACATCTCGTACGGCTCGTTGGCAAGGTCATTGGCGATTGGCCACGCCACGCTGACGGAAGACACGCCCTCGGAGAACGTCACGGCAATGTTGTTGACGTTGCCAAAGTCGGCGTTGGTCGTGTTCTCATTTACGAGCGAAACGACGCCAGAGACGGTGTGGAAGGTGCCATAGTAGCGGTGGATGGTCACGTTGACAAAGCCGCCTTCGTACACAATAAAGCGGTGCTGGCCGTTCGGACCAAGGGTCATCGGGCTGGGCAGTTCGATTCCGAGCAGGCCGTACGGGTTGTCGTTGCGGGCAATGCAGAGGTTTGTATAGTTGTTGACTGGATCGATGACGGCGCCGCCAATCGGCACACCGTCGAGCTGAGCGTAAAAGTACTCGTCCAGCTCGGGCACTGTGTCATCGAGAATGACGACATTCAGGTTCATTCGGTCCACACCTGCAGGGAAGATGACGCGTTGCTGGTTGGCCACGACATAGTCAGACATGGCGCCCGATGCATTGCGTTGCGAGGCAAGACTGGCGTTGTTGAACACACCGTCGTGCGTCGACCACGTGAAGGTAATGTCTCCAAACAGGCCACCAGCGCGTCGAAGCAACACCTTGACCGTGTTGTTGGGTTGCGCGACACCGCCAACGATGGGCGACTCGTCATTGCACGTGTAGACGGGGGTCATCGAAATGATGCCGTGCGCGTCGTCATTCTCGGCGATTGTGATTCGGAGCAGCGACTTGGTCGGATCGACAGTCGCTCCGCCAGACACCAACTCCACAAGCACGCCAAACATCTCGTCCACTTCTGGCTGCGTGTCACCGGAGGTTGACACAATGACCGAGAGGGTGTTGACGTCCTCGGCAAACGTGAGGAGCTGCGAGAAAGACGTGTAGTCGGACGTGCTGGCCAGTGCAACGCCGCCCGACTGAGCATAGGTCAGGGTGACGGTGCGAACGCGCACAGTGACGGATCCATTCGTGCCGTAGGCACGGTCAATCGTAACATACGAGCCGGTTCCTTCTTGCAGGACCAAGGACACGGCGCGCCAGGCAATCAGGCCGTTGGGGTAGTTGTGCGCAAGGGCAGTGACGGCTGCTGTGGCATAGTCGCCAATATATGGAGGGCGCGCAGTCGAGCCAATCAATGTGGCATTGGTGATGGTGTACGTGTAGACGGTATCGAACGAGGGCGCGGTCGACATGGCAAGCGGCACGGTCAAAACAGCAGTCAGCTGGTTCACAGCGATGACCACAGAGAACCACTGCGGGGCGGGCTGGCTACGGTAGATGGTGACATTGACGGCGCGTGCCAAAGACGAAGCCGACACGCGTTCGACAGTGAGGGCATAGCTTCCAGCAGTAATGTTGACACTGAAGGCGCGCGAGGCTTGGGCAAAGCGCACCGTGCCTGCTGCGTTAATGATGACAGTGGCGTTGTTGAAGCGATCAACGACCAGGTGGACTGGGTCGTGCAACTGGACGTTCAAGCTCTGCAAGTTGGTCGTGAAGCTGTTGCTCAGAATGGCCACCTGAATTACGCGAGACGTATCCGACACGTTGAAGACCAACGGAGACGCCGTCAAGACCACATAGTCCACACCCGCAGTGGCGTTGGTGCCAACGACTGAGAACTGAACGCTCGAGAGGTCGACCGAAGCGCTCGCATTCACTTGCAGCGTCACAGTAATGTTTCCGCTCGCGGGCTTGCTGACAACCATGACGGACGAGTCGGCAAAGGACACGGCACTGACGTGAGCGCACCAGCCGTTGTGCGACACGTACGCGTCGCCAGTGTAGCCAGCGTTGCAGGTGCACGTGAACGAGCCTGGCGAGTCGACGCACGCGGCATTTGCCACGCATGGCGACTGCCCGCATTCGTTCGTGTTGACACATGTACCCGCAGTCCCCGCACCGGTAAATCCAGCATTGCAGGTGCAGTAAAATCCGCCATACGTGTTTGTGCAGCTTGCGTGCGAGTCGCAGTTGTGGGTGCCAAGCGTGCACTCGTTGTTGTCGGTACAGTCCTTGCCGTTCGGCGCCAATGTGAATCCAGCAAAGCAGCCACAGTAGTACGAGAGCGGAGTGTTGGTGCAGTCTTGAGCGCAGCCGCCCTGCCCTGCTGTGGCGCATTCGTCAATGCCCGTGCAGCCATACTCGCCGCGACCGTCGCCGTTCTGGTTGTAGCCGGGCATGCAACTGCAGGTGTAGTCGCCGATCGTGTTGGTGCAGTTCTGGGCGCACAGGTTTCCGCCTCCCGGAGCGCACTCGTTGACATCGAGGCATTGGAGTCCAGCAACCGTTGTCCATTGCTCATCGAAGCCGCATGTGGAGGTGACGGGCGTAGCAGTGTAGCCTGCGCTGCACGAGTACTTGCAAGTGCATTGATACCCCGAGCACGTGCAAGAAGTGCCATCGGTTGCGCGCGCAGAGTTTGCTGGTGCGACAGGGAAGGCGCCGCAGGACTTCTTCACGTTGCATTCGGTGCCCTTCCAAGCGTCGCAGCAAACCTTGACACCACCAGCTTGGCACGAGTAGCAAGCAGAAGCCGTGTTTTGTCCGAGGCAGTACACGCACTGGAACCCAGGCTGTCCCGACGTGCCGACTTGCCAGTAGTTGGTGGAGCAGGTGCCGCAGTCTTTGTCCTGGTAGCCAGGGTTGCATTTGCACTCGCCTGTTAATGCTTTGCATTCGGTGCACGCCGGCGGATCGCTGACTCTGCAGTACTCGCCGCAACGAGCACCGTACCAGTATTGGTCGCACATGGCGCGATGGTAGACGTAGACTGCACCAATGTTGAACTCGCCACCAGTGGTGCCTCCGAGATCGACACCTTCCCACGGACTGGCGGTCAAGCTGCCTTGCTCTTGATTGCCGTTCAGGGTGATCGGATTGAACGTCCGCCATCCCATGTCATCGTCGGGGTTGCCCGCAGGGTCGGCGTCGTCGCAGTCGACATACCACTGCACAGTTCCTTCCCAGTTGTTCACAACGCCATAGTTCAAATCAATGTTCCAACGAGGGCTGGCGGTGTTTGCTTGTTGACCCGCATTCCAGTTTGCGTTGCCATTCGGTGCAAATCTCACCCATCCCCAGCAGTAGGGGTCGCCTGTTGGTTCGAGACAAAATCAGTGAGCGATTGAGGGCAACTGCCAAACGCAATACAAAAAGCGACGTACAGGTTCCATCACCGCAACCAGAATTTTGGGTAAAGTACAATGCGCGCGCAAAGCACGTTGCGCGGTACTGGACGGCGTGCGCAGAGCTCGCAGTGAGAACGAGGACGGTCGCTGCCAGCAGCAACTGGATCGTTCTGACCATTCCCGAACGCTGTCTGTTGCAATATACGATCACAAGGGGGGTCACAAGGGGGGGTCAGTACAAGGATCGAGTTGATCACAGACGGACCACCACATGTCATGACGGGTGATCTGCATTGGTCAATGGGCTTGCACACAACATGTCATGCGAGCGCGAGGTTGATGATGGATCTCCAGCAGGTACCAGTGTTGGGGGGCGATTTCGCAGTTGCCCGACTCTCCGACACGCCCCCAGCGACAATCATCAATCATATGGAAGAAAAGACGACGATGACGAAGATGAGGGGCGGAACAATGAGACGAAAAAAAAAAAAAACAAAAAGAAGATTAAAAAATGATCACAAAAAGTGGCGCATGGCAACGCAACAAAGGGGCAGAAAAGGGAGTCATAACAAAATGATGTGGAAGCAAGATGGGATGAAGGAGGATGACACGCGGTGAGTCAGTCGTGTCAAACCGAAGCGGAGAGGGGGGAAAACACTGCGGGTAAGGCTTGCGCAAGAACACAATCCAAAAAAAAAAAAAAAAAAAAAAGGATCATTTTAAAAATCAAATAAAAACGCACAGCGACGCGACATCCAATCCAACAATAGATTGAGGAGAGCGCGAGTGTGGCAAGGTCACCGCTGCTTCGTCATCGACAAACGCGCTGTCAGTCTCATTGGGGGTGGACGTTTCTCCACCCGCCGCAAAACAACCAGCGACGACGTCCAATGAACAGGCCACGTTTTTAAAAAAACAATAAAATCAAATCAAAAAATCAATAAAATCTAATCAAAATTGAATGGTGGCACCAGACACCTCGAGGCATCCCCCCAGTCCACCAGCAATGGAGTCACACATCGACAGGGGAAGGGGGGGGGGCTCCCAGGAAGCACAGGGCAGCGCACGTCGCACGGCCCAACAAAAAGCACCAGCGAATGATGGTTGCGCAAAACTGGCGGTTTCGGAAAGCTCTCCCAACAAATCAAAACGAAGGGGGAAAAAGAAACCAGAACAAAAGAAAAAAAAAAAAAGAAAAAAACAAAAAGGCAGCATGCACCACCATGTCAGAGGGCAAAGAGCGCAAAAGACAGGATGGAGAAGAACACTGGTAGTGAAAAGGCGGGAAAGAAGAGAACCGCAGAAAAGCGCCAGAGAAACATGAATGCTTACCAAAAACGAACTGCGCAAAAGAAAAAAAAAAAGAAGAAGAAAAAAAAAAAGAACAAAAAGAGAGAGAGAGAAAAAAAAAAGAAGAATAACAAAGAAAAAGACAAAACAAGAACAAATCAATAATGAAACCCAACAGTTTCAGATACGGCGAGAATGGATTCAGATCACGCATTAGGCCAACATGACTGCGATGAGCGTTGGAAGGCAATCTCAACAAAACTAGGCAAGCCATGTTGAGTGCGGACATCCAAAACACACCTTCAAGCATCCAATCAGACGGAATCAGCACAAAAAAACGAAAAAAAAAAAAAAAACAAAAAAAAAAACAAATATGCGGGCATATGCTTTTGTTGTTTGTTTTGTTCATTCCTTGCAACCCACACTGGTCGAGGCCACGCTGCTCGACCGGCAACGCCGAAGCACTGGGTGGCAATGCTGTTGGGACTTGCGACGATGAGGGGTTCCACCAGGGCGCGGGGACGCTTCCTAAGCTGCTTCTTGATCGAGCGATCTGAGAAAGGTGTGTGGTCACACGGCCGTCGCGAATCAGCCCTCTGTGGGCTTTTCTTGATCTGTTGATAAGGTTGTGAGGTCAAGAATTCAAATCAAAATAGAGCACATGAAATCAAACCAATTAACGTTTCAACCCATTGAGCTTGTTCCTTTTTGTTCAACCCATTTACCGTCTTCCTTTTTGCCAAACTCTCAAAAATGAATGCACATTCTCTCCTCTTCACCCGCCACATCACCCCGAAGGAGTCGGTCTACGCTTCGTACTTCAAATGGCCGCGCTTTGCGCTCCTTGGAACAACTCCCTTACCAAGAAGAGGCTTTCGTCAACGCCAAGTTTCGCCAGCATGTTTTTTTGGCATCGGCTTTGTTGGAAACCACTTCCACACCGGACAAGTCGATCAGCACCACATACAACGTGTCGTCGCCCTTGACACGGTAGAGACCGACGCGTGACGCCAGCGCACGTCCTTGTGTCGGTCGCCAAGCGATGCGGTTGCAACCAGAATCGGATCGCCATCGCGTGACCTGACGTCCCCGACCCATCCTGACGTATGGCATGTCAATGGCATCATTTACGCTGTGGGTCGGTCTCAAGGACAGAATTTGCACTTGGCGTGCTTTTGTGACCCGATTTGTCTTTTCTTTGACTTGATCAGTCTGTTTCGATTTTTAGGTTTGTTTTTTCGCGCCTTTTTTTTTTTTTTTTTTTTCCGATTCTCGACGTCGCCGCTGCGTTCTCGTCTTCGCCGCGCTTTTTTCCATCTGCACCTTCCCACCTTTCGCGCCGCTTGCACCGCAACCACAACATTTCCGTCGTGTTGCTGCTGCTGCTCATCATGCCACCCTCGTCAGCGCTCTCGCCCTCGCGTCCTCGCAGAACGCATCGATCGTCAAGTTAGCGATCGCTCTTTTTTTTTTTTTTTTTTTTTTTTTTTTTGCCCTTTCGCTTCGATGGCTGCCTCTCTCGTGGGCTCGTCTGGTCACCCCCCCTCCCTGGGGATCGTCTCTTGCCGCAAGTGCGCGCTGCCCTCGCACGGCCAATCCTGGATCCCGGACAAGGCAAACAGCAGTAAAAACGCAAAGAAACAAAAAAAAAGCGAAATATTATTTTAATATTTTTTTTTTTTTTTTTTGCTTTCTTGCTTTCTTTGCCTGTTGGCTGTTCAAGTCGTCCTCTTTGGCTTGGCTTGGCTTGTGGCTTTGTGCCCACACTGCACTCTTGCGAGTCAGTGGGATCCTTTGGCTGGATGCACGGATTCAAAAGCGACGTGCGCTGGCAAGCTCAAGTCGGGACTGGCAAGCGTCGTCACACTGACGACGACTTCCCGCACACTGCCTGCAGGCAGGCGATCTGAGGCAACGCGCCTCGCAGCTCTCGTCGGACACTGTTGGGGGCATCGTTCGCTGCTCAATGGCACCGCGCTCACTGCGCTGGTTGCCTTGCGATTGGCCTCAACGCGAAAATGTCGATGGCCAGCGTTTTTGGGGGTGATTCCCTGCTGCCACGCGAGATGTCTTGCCAAATTGCCGCAGACGACTTTGGTCACCTATCCATGCGACGACGAGTGCTGATCCACGAAAGCGGTGACCCGAGCTTTCGCTGAAAGGCCCGGACCCGACCCTTTTCCTCCTCCCCTTATTTTCTTTTCCATCTCCGCGCTGGTGCCTCCCGAGACCTTTTCTTGTTTGTGTGTGCTTGAAATCTTTCCCTTCCGGGCGTTCGTGGGCTTCCTTTTTTCCCCAGGGGGTATCTAGCTGGACCCGTAGGAAGGGGAGTTGATTTCGTTTCCAATCTGGTTTCAAGTCGGTGGCAACCCTCCTTCTTCTTCACTTGCTCGAGAACCCCGTGTTCCATTGTTCGTCACGAATCATCGGCTACCTCAAATTAACTTGGACTCATGCTTCATTGAACTTGTTTTTTGTTGGAACTTTGTATTTGCTTGCTTTTTTTGATGTTTTTTTTTTTTTTTTTTTTTTTTTTTTTTTTTTTTTTTTTTTTTTTTCCCATGCTTCATTTCTTTTCCCCTTTCTATTTTCTTTTTCTTCTCTCATTTCTCCTCCTATTTATTTTCTCCCGAATCTGTTGATTCTCAATTCGTCCTTCTCTCTCGCTTTCATCCAAACCACTCTCCCCTCCCTTTTCATTTTTCACTCTCGCATCCTTCAGTCAAATCACAAACACCCCCCCCCCCACAAAGCACAAAATGTCCAAGGCCGCCGCTGTTGCTCCCGTTCCCGAGACTGAGGAAGACCTCCCCGACTACAACGAGGACGAGGAAATCGCCACGCCCGATGCGACCGTCAAGAAGGACGTCAAGGGTGGTCACGTCGGCATGCACAGTGCTGGTTTCCGCGACCTCATGCTCAAGCCCGAGCTCTTGCGCGCCATCACCGAGTGCGGTTTTGAGCACCCCTCCGAGGTGCAGCACGCATGCATTCCCCAGGCCAACCTCGGCTCTGACATTATCTGCCAGGCCAAGTCTGGTATGGGCAAGACTGCCGTCTTTGTGCTGTCCACCCTGCAGCAGCTCGTGCCCACTGAGGGCGAGGTGAGCGTCCTGGTCCTCTGCCACACTCGCGAGCTGGCCTTCCAGATCAAGAACGAGTTTGACCGCTTTATCAAGTTCATGCCGACCATCAAGACTGACGTCTTCTATGGCGGCACGCCCATCAAGCAGGACGAGACCAAGCTGGCTGCTGGCACCCCCAACGTTGTCGTCGGCACCCCCGGCCGCATTCTTGCGCTGAGCACCCCCGATGCCTCTGGCAAGGCTCGCCTCAACCTGTCGCACGTCAAGCATTTTGTGCTCGACGAGTGCGACCGCATGCTCGACCAGGTTGACATGCGCAAGGACGTCCAGAAGATTTTCATCCAGACCCCGCACAAGAAGCAGGTCATGATGTTCAGCGCCACCCTCGACAAGGCGCTTCGCCCCACTTGCAAGAAGTTTATGCACGACCCCATGGAAATCTACGTCGACGACGAGACCAAGCTCACTCTGCACGGCCTGCAGCAGTACTACTTCAAGCTCACCGAGCAGGACAAGAACAAGAAGCTGAACGCGCTGCTCGACGCCCTCGAGTTCAACCAGGTTGTCATCTTTGTCAAGTCGGTCAACCGTGCCAAGGAGCTGACCAAGCTGCTTGTCGAGTGCAACTTCCCCGCCATTGCCATCCACTCGGCCATGCCCCAAGACGAGCGCATCCAACGCTACCAGAACTTTAAGAACTTCCAGTCGCGCATTCTCGTCGCCACCGACCTGTTTGGCCGCGGTATCGATATCGAGCGTGTCAACATTGTCATCAACTACGACATGCCCGACTCGTCCGACTCGTACCTCCACCGCGTCGCTCGCGCCGGTCGCTTTGGCACCAAGGGTCTTGCCGTCACCTTTGTCTCGTCCGAGGAGGATGCCACCATTCTCAGTCAAGTCCAGTCTCGCTTTGAGGTCCAGATTGATGCTCTCCCCGAGACCATCGACATGACCAGCTACATGAACGCCTAAGCAGAGGGGTGTCTCTTTCCCCCCCTTTGTGTCGTTTATTGGTTTCGTTTTGGCAGTTGTTTTTCTTCTCGTCTTTTGTTTGGTTAAGCGCTTTGTGCAGTACAGTACAAGTTCCATTTTGTCGATCATACTGTTGCTTTTTTCCCCGTAGAGTTGAGTTGTTTTTGAGATTTGCTGTGTCTCGTTTCAGACTCTGAGTTTTTCCTCTGCAGTCTTTTTTTTTTTGTTTGGAACATGGAATACTTTATGCTTCGCGAGGGCGAGAAGCTGACTGGCGAGCAGATTGAGCGTCGTCAGGAGCTCCGCAAGAAGGTCAGCCTTTCCCTCCTCTTCTCTTCTCTTCTCTTCTCTTCCTTTTTGTCTCTGCAACCCAACGCCAAGACTCTTAAAGAAGAAGACGACGGCGAAGAAGAAGAAGAGGATGCAAAAAAAAAAAAAAAGAAAAAAAAGAGGGACAAACTGTTTTTCTCGCTGGATGTTCCAGAACCACCACTTTCGTTCGACTGTGATGTTGCATTGCGAGCGAATGGAACGAAAGGGAGGGACGCGTGTTGTTCGTCGGGGCGCTTTTCGTTTGCTTCAGCTTGCGATCCAGGCAAACGACAGAGGTGGGGGGGGGGGAAAGAGAGAGAGGGAGAGTGAGAGACGAGCATGCAACGTCCATCCCATCCACATGTGTTTCTCTTTCATTCAGCCCAAGGCAGCCAGCCACAGCACTCAGCCAGCCACAGCACGCTGCCTCAGCCAGGCGTTTGGTCGATCCAGAATGCGACAGTTCGACTTGACGATGAATGGATGGATGGATGGATGGAATGAATTGGATGGATGAATGGATCACTGTGCAGCATTGGATGAAACGTCACTGCTTCACAACTCGTGGTGGCTCTGCAATCGCAAGCTACTGCTACTGCTAATCGTACTGACGATGGAATGTGATACTGACCGAAATCCGTGCAATCGGGATTGGGATTCACTGATGGCAACAGGTCGACACGCTGCGGGAGAGCTTCACGTCGCGCGCCGAGATTCTCGTCCACGAGACAATGCCCGAGAAGGTCGCTCAGCTTGATGCCATCATCACGGTAAGCTCTCGAGGAAGAAGAAGAAGAAGAAGAATCGTCTATCGAGTCAATCACATGGATTCGGCGTTCATTCATGGATGCACATGCCCTGACATTCCCCCGTCTGAAACTGAAACAGTCGGACATCTTCCGAATCACGGATCTGTCACTCGTCGAGTCCCCACTGGGCATCCCACTGCCATTCGAGTCAGACGCCACCAAGGACATCAACACCCTCGTGCTTGCCACTGCCTCTGGATCCTCCGCCGGCGTCAAGCTCGAGTCGGGCATCTCAAAGAAGCGACGTCTCGAGGACGACGACGGTGCGCCTTCCGTTGTCACCACCGCCACCAATGGCGAGTCCGCCGCCAAACCAGCATTCCAGGCCTTGGATCGCGAGCCGCGCGGCTTCAGCACCACCCACACTGCGTTGATTCCCTCAAACAAGGTACGGTTCGGTTGAGTTTTGATTTTTGTGGACGATCTTTGTTTTTTGTTTGCTTTTTGGCTCACCAGCGCTCCTGCACATGTTCTGTGTTGATGCTACAGCTAATTCAACGAATTCTCGACATGCTCAAGAAGGAGATTGAGGAGCTGTTCAACATTTGCAACTGCGTCAAGATGTGGATTCAACTGAACATTCCCCGCGTCGAGGGCGGCAACAACCTCGGTGTCGGCGTGCAAGTCGAGACTGTCGATGAGCTTGGCAAGGCCGAAGAGAGCGGCTTTGCCCTTCTTGACAGCATGAGCAAGTATTATCAGATGCGTGCCAAGCTTGTTTCCAAGGTAAAAAAAAAAACAAAAGCAACACCAAAACAGAACACTTCGCAAGTTTTGTGTTTTGTGTGTGCCGTGAAGATTGCCGATCTCTCACCGTCCCAATATTCCACTCCTCCTACAGGTTCTCAAATACCCCACCATCGAAGACTACCGTCAAAGCGTGGTAGAGTTTGACCAGAAGCAGTACACCAACCTGCGCGTGTGCGTTTTGGACCTCCGTAACAACTACGCCATCCTCTACGACGTCATCAACAAGAACATTGAAAACATCAAGAAGCCGCGAAGCGACGAGCACGTTGCATCGCTGTATTGATTCTCCATGTTAACGCAAATGCCGTGTGTGTGTGTGGTGTGTGTTTGACTCGTTTATCAACCTTGACGGGCGCAATATGAATCGTATCCTTTTTCTTTTGTTTGAATGCGCCCAGGCAGCGTCCGCATGCATGTGCGGAATGGACTGATCCCAGCCTGCTGGAGTCATTGTTGTTGCATTCCGTGTTTGACCGCTCGTGCTTTTTGTTTTTTGTTTTTTTTTTAATTTTTGGTATTACAAGTGCTTATCTATACTCGTCGCTGTTCATTTCCCTCTTTTGTTCCTGCTGTTTCTTATTTCTCTCAGAATTTGACCTGACAATGGAGACGACTGCGGCTCCGGCTCCGGCACCGGCACAGGCCACCAACACCGCCGCGACGGCCACTCCAGCCGACACGATCTGCGAGTACATTGTGCTGCGCAAGAAGCGGCGGTGCCACATGGAGCGCCAGACCGGCTCGCGGTTTTGTGGTGAGCACCAGTGGATGGATCCAGACCAAGTTCTCCAGCAGCAGCAGCAGCCGCAGCAGCAGCAGTCGCAGGGCCTTGCATCGAGTGCACGCAAGCGCATCCCGTGTCCGTTCGACAATGCCCAGTGAGTTGGGCTGGCTGGTGATGGGGTTTGAGGGAGGGGTGGTGGGCCGTATTGCTTGATCGCATTCGTATACATGTGCTGGCAGGGGTCTGCCGTATACATGCATACGACATGTGTTGAATCGTTGCGAACCATGCGCGAATGGTGCTCATAAATCTTGATTGATTGATAGTACGATTTGGGAGGATCAGCTGCGCAGGCACAGCACAAAGTGCAACTCGAGGCCTCAAGAGGTCAAGGCCGTGTACGAGGTTCGCGGCTGCAACGGCGGCTGGCAGATGGGCGACACGCGACCGTTCCTGTCCCAAACCACAGTGGACGAGTGCATTGCTGCAGAGGCAAACGCAGTCGCAACTGGAACGGCTGCAGGTATTTTGGAACGCGCATCCAATGCCGGTGTCACGATGCAAGTGCTGCATCGCAGGTTTGGCACACCTGCCAATGCCGCACCAGCTGATGCAGCGCCTGCGAACAAAGCTGCGGCAGCCCCGACCGTGCTCGCACAAACAAGTCCCGATTTCATCCATGCTGTCATCGCCAAAGTCAAGGAGGCAGCTGCCAGACACGTCCAGCCCGTGCCGTTCAACGAGGCCTCCATCCCCGGTTTGCTGGATGCCATCATCAAGACACGGCAGTAAGGAAGAGCTTATGGCAGAGACAAAAAAGTTGTGATCGATGCCTTGGCACGATGCCGAGTGCTCACCTGACGAGGCGGCCTTGTCTTTTCGGTTTGTATTGCAGAACGGTCAAAACCAAGCTGACCAGGCACGATGGTCAACAAGATAGCCTCACGGCGCAACTGCGCGACAATGGCCTGCTGGCGCCAGACATGTGCTTTGTCGAATTCGGTGCTGGGCGAGGTCGGTTGTTCTCTTTTTTGTTAGCGTACACGTGTTTTTGATTGTGGCTCACATCTGGTCGTGGCTTTTGTTTTGCAGCTGGCATGGGTATTTATGTTGCTCATGCCATTCCTGTCGATCAGCGCAGCATGATTTTATCGGTCGAACGCATGGGGCCTCGCCACAAGGTATGATCATTTTTCGAGGTGGAACTTGCTGGAGCGTTTTCTTTTCGAGTCGCAATCGAACCAAACCCTCACACCTCTTCCTGACATGCCCTTACTGCAGCACGACCCGCACGCAAACACGCGACCCAAATGCTACTGGGAGCGATTGACCATCGACATTGCCGACTTGGATCTCAAAGCTGTGCCTGCCGTTCGAGGCGAGCGAGCTGTCGCCATTCCAGTCCATCCCGGCTCGTCCCAGGCTTCGGTTGTCGCGACTGCCGGCCAAACGCAATTCTTGCCCGCAGGCATTGTCGCGATTGGCAAACACGTCTGCGGCGCTGGCACGGATCTCACGCTCCGTTGCTTGGAAAACTACCAGCGCCATCTTGATACCAGCGAACGGCAGACCAGCGACGATGCTATTCGAGATTCCGACACACTGGAGGCTGCCGATGGCGAAGAAGGGTGGGTGGGTGGGGTTTCGTTCATCTTGCTGAGGTCTACACTCACATGGATGTTTCTGGTTGCCTATCATGCTTGCCACTTGCATCATTCAGGCCGCGCAAGCGCGTTCGAATGCAGCCCGTGTCGTTACCACCGGTGGCGGGGCTCGTGATTGCGCTGTGCTGTCATCACGTCTGCAATCCTGTTGATTACGTGAATCGACCGTTCTTGCAGTCAGTCAACATCACCACCGACGAGGAATTCAACATTTTGCGACGGCTCGCCAGCTGGGCAACCTGCGGCTATCGGCCGCGACGACCAAAGAAGCGGCAGGCGCAACAAGGCTCCTCTGCTGCAGCAGGTCCAGAGGAAACAGGTGCCGGCGATGCGGGGCCAGAAGACGCCGCAGCCAGTGACGCACAAGCGGAAGATGCGGCCACCGAGAACGAGCACGCGTCTGCCAACGATGCGATTGAAGGAGATAGGTAAGTTTCGGTTTTGAGACAAACCTGTGGGGTTTTTGTTTTTGAACTCACGCCTCTGTCCCAACTGTACTCTGTGCTATTTTGCTTGATTCCATCGTGCTTTTCAGCTTTGGCACTGTGGAGGAGCGGACTGAAATCGGTCGCCTGTGCAAGCGGCTGCTCGACCACGGGCGTCTGCTTTATCTTCGAGATCGCGGCTTCCAGGCGGAACTAGTCCAGTACACAACTCCTGAAAACACGCTCGAGAATGTTGCATTGGTTGCTCGCCGTGTCGCGTAGGCGGGCGCCTGGATAGCGTTGTTTTGATTATCGATGTTTCATTTTGTTTGAACAAGAAAAACACAAATCGGATAAGCGCAAACAAGCCCAAGGTTTTCTTTTTTCAGCTCTTGACGTGGTTGGTGAGCCAGTCAAGCCCGGTATTCAATCTGCCAAAGATAAAAGTCGCAACGGGAGGGAAGATGAGGGTTAGAACAAAACAAAAAGCAAGTCAGCAAAAGTCAAAACAACCACATGCACCAAGAATGCGCAGGTTTTTGGAGCCTTACCCTTCACCAGTCAGTGCGCAACACCCCTGGAAACAATCAAGCAAAAAACAAAAAAAAATCCCGATCAAAAGTGTCACCAAAAGGGTCAGAGAAACGATGCAAGCATCGACAACAACTAGAGGACAGCAGCATTGCATTGACATTTACCTGAATATGCCAGGCATGGTCTTTGATACTGTGCAAGTTGAGTTGATCGGAAATTTCGCTGGCCGACATGGCGCCTTTCAAATCTTGTTTGTTTGCGAAAACGAGCAAACTCGCATGTTTCAAGTCCTAGTGCACGCGGAGAGCAACCAAAGGGCCGGAAGTCAGTGGGGAGGTATCCAACAGGATATGGGCAGGTGAGAACGACCAAACTCCTTACTTCGTGAGCCAGCATCGAGAATAGTTCTTCACGCGACAGGCTCAGTCGCTCACGATCGGTACTATCCACGACGAGAATGACAAACTGCACGGTAACAAATGTGAATGTCAACATGTGGGTGCGAAGAAGAGAGAGAGAAAAAAAAACGACTGCAAGCAACAAAGGAAAGCAATCGAGCCGAAGGACAAAACCGTACTTTGCTGTACATGTAGTAGGTGGACCAGGATGCTCGCGACGTTTCTTGGCCGCCAATGTCCCACATCAAGAAGTGCAAGTTTTTGTAGACCACCTGGCAAAGGGCAATAGCGTCAGTGCTTGGTGAAAATCAAATGCTCGTTAGACAAAACAAAACAAATCATAGTATGAGCTCTTACCTCTTCGACATTGCTTCCTATTGTTGGTGATGTTACCACTACTTCGTTCAGGAGACTGATCGAATGCAAAAACCGAGTCTGAGTCAGTCACACCGCTTAACGCTAACTTCAATGCAGTTTGTCTCTTGCATTGGACTTACTATTTGTACAAAATGGTTGTCTTTCCCGCGTTATCCAATCCGACAATGATGACTTTGAACTCTGTCCCAACAAACAAAAGTTGAGCACCAACAAGAGGTGAGTGAGGGGGTTGAGCGAGCGAGGTTGGGGGGTCAAGAGAGAGGGGAGGAAGCGAGTGACTGTGCCCCCCCCCCCTTGTGTTCGCGCGCGCTCTCTCTCTCTCTGGGTCCAGGTGGAAGTGGTGGTGGTTGGACTCTTTAGTGAAGAGCACGAGTGTGAGCAGCGACTGGCTTGTTGGCTGAAGAGGCAGTCAGTCACCAGACAATGAGAGAACAGGCTGCGTCACTACAAGACGTTGGCTGGAGCGGTGCACTAAACCCACTGCTCTCCTCCCGCGCCTCCCTCGATAGCACGAGAGCAGAGAAGAGAAGGGGGTGAAAGAGAGAGAGAGAGACAGAGTGCAGGCGCGGGACTGGTGCACAAAAGCAAAAAGGGACTTGCAATGGGAAAGTGAATACAGAATCACAAAAAAAAAAAAAAAAAAAAAAAAAAAAAAAAAAAAAAAAAAAAACCTCTGTGCTTTTTTCTATTGTTAATGTTCCTTGTTTGTTCTTTTTGTCATGGGGGTTTGTATGCAAGCGTGGTTTGGTGCAGAGGCGCCTTACGTTCTTGATACCACAGCAGCTGAGAGAGTTTCGTGAAAAGAATGCCCATTTCGCAAAAAACTTTAAAGTCTAAGAAAGAGAACTGAGCCCTGCCAAAAAAAGAATTTGACAGCTTGCTAAGCAAAAGCACGATCATACACAGCAGGAGCAGCAGCAGCAGCAGCACACATTAACCACAAAGAGGCAACTAAAGATCTGCAATGTTCGGGTAGATCGAAGAGGCGTAGGGTCGATGCTGAGCTTGCGGCGATCGAATGGCAGGTTGGCGGTCGTTTTCGTCACCGCCACCGTTATCGGCGTTGTCGGGGTTGTCCACGAGCGGAGAGGCCTGCCGCTGAGCAGCCATGGGTGATGCAACGACCACAGGCGAAACCCAAGACAACATGTCCTGCGGAATTCCGTGAATGGACTGTACAGACTGGGCAACTCGACTGTCGCGGCGCACAATCTTGCAGGCCTACGGAACGACAAACCAAAAACGAGAGAATGCGAGTCATGAACAAACCTCGAAATGACCATCAGACCTCCTCCTCATGCTAGCAACTGCTTACCTCGTCCCAACGAGCAGCGAGACGCTTTCGATCCGACACGTCAATAATTTCGTCTCGCAAGTGGGAAACCGATACCGCTGGTTGGAACGGTTGGGAAATTGCCTGATCATTCAACCATTCGCAGGGTCAAACACATGCTGCCACCCAGTCCCAGTCCAGTCCACTCTTCACCATGCATCACTACGCACCTGCTCGCGAAGAAGCGTCATGATTGCCAAGACCATGGTGTTGAGGGCGTCTTGCTCGTTCTGTTTGACTAGATAATTCATGAACGGTCAGGGTCACTGAAATTCAGACCCTCGCGCGCCGCCAAATAAAAGAAAAAAACCAAAAGTAACAAAACACCCATCTTACCACTCTTCTGCCACTTGAAGTACGACACTGCCAGAGTGAAAAACAGGACCAACAGCAATGGAAGCCAGAGCAATTGCCAGACATAGGAAAAAAAGTCAAAGACGGCCTGCGCCACGCAGTCCAGAAGATACAGCAGCTCCTCGCGCAGTTGGCACTCGAATGGCTTGATGCCCGCTTTTGCCAAAAACCCGTCCATTCTGACTTCCACAGCATCCCCGAAATACTTTTCAGGGTGCGCGCAGACAAAATTCCACGCTGTTGTGAATTGCGCATCCGTTTCCATCTACCAACAAAACGAGCGCCGAGGCCGTAAGCAAAAGCTGACGTTCAAGGTTGGAGTGCTTGCTGCATCGCCGCCACAGTCCTTACCCGTGCTTTAACCAGCTCACGCATTGCTTCGCGAGGAACTGCCAGCGAAAGCGTGACAGAAGGGGAAGATTCGCACTCACGTTGACCTGAGCCAAGCAGCAAAAGTGAACTGACGAGACGTCGCTTCGAGATCCATCATAGCTGTTTCAAGTACGCTCCGCACACACACATACCACGATAGCGCTGAGCCTCTACAACAATTTCATGAGCAATATTGTCCTTGAGCTTCTCCAGTGCAGTGTTCAGCACACATCCTCGCCAGCCCTGTTGGTACGGGTCGTTGCAGGTAAACGTAGGTCCACCCAAGCAGACGGCGTGCTCTGGGCAGGGCTTGCATTGTTGTTCTGTCACCAACACAAGCACAAAGGACCAAAAAACAAACAGCAGAAGAAACTGGTCAGTTGCCGACAAAACAACCAACAACCCGAAGAAGCTGGACATACTGGTCGAAGCAACAGCGGTCGATCGCGTCGGACAATACGGCATCTGTTGATGGTGAGAAACGACCACCATCACCGACAGCAGGAGACACAGTGCAGTGAACGCTTTGAGCACTGCCGTGCTGCTAAACCAGCGACTCAAAGACGAGCTCGAAGCAGCTGATTTCGATGCATGCACGCTGCCACGAACTGCCCGTCGCGATGATGCAGCATCCTCGTTTTGATGCACGCTGCTTGCTTGGCGTTTTCCCTGAACGAGCGACTTGACAAAGTCCCAACCGATCTGAGGCAGAGTTGCTGTTCGGCCTGCGCGACGACCAATCTGACCACCAATCCGACCAATCTGGAGCTCGTTGGCCGCATCGTCACTATTCGCAGCGACATCGTCGTCCGATACGATGCCCTGCTGCTGGAGCGCGGCATGCGCACCTGGGACACCTGCGCCAGAGCCACGAGCGCGTTTCGCAACGCCGTCCGCTGAACGTCGGGGCACAGCGACTGTCCTGCTCCGTGGTGCTCTTTGCACAACTTGCACTTGTTCATTATCATCATCGTCGTCGTCGTCGTCGTCGTCGTCGTATCTGTCCTCCCGGCCGCCGTGGGATGACGCGGCAGTGGTGGGCGCAGTGACGGACGGCCAGCCAACCGGTCCCTCGCCTGGGCTGCGGCTGGGCAAGCGCTTTGTCCACCGCCTTCGCGTCGGCGACGCAGGCGCAGGCACACTTGAAGTTGCAGCTGGAGCGGAAGCTGAAGCCGACGAGCGACTGCCCGAACTACGAAGCGAAACCGGCATCCAAAAAAAAAAAAAAAAACCAAAAAAAAGGAAACTGAAACAGATTTTTTGAAACGGTTTCAAAAATTATAAACGGAAAAAGAAGAAAAGTTGTCAATCGATGACCACACACAGCCAAACTTTCAAAATGAAGAAGAAGAAACAAAAAACCATCTCAGAAGCAGTTTGTATTGCGACCAGTAACTCTGAAAACATGCCAATCAGGAGAGGGACGAGTTATCAAAAAAAAAAAAAAATCAATCACAGTCGCTCCACACACATGGCAATGCCCATGCCGCCGCCAATGCACAATGCAGCAACACCCTTCTTGGCACTAGTGCGGCGCAGCTGGTGGACAAGTGTCACCAGGACACGCGCACCAGAGGCGCCAATCGGGTGGCCGAGCGCGAGCGCGCCGCCGTTGACGTTCACCTTCTCAACAGGCAGCTGCAAGTGTGACACCACGGCAATGGACTGTGCAGCAAATGCCTCGTTGCACTCGTAAAAGTCCACATCGTTGACTGCCCACGAGGCCTTTGCGAGCTGTGTGCGGACGAAGCAGTTTCATCAGTGAATGCAACAACACTGTGCCAAAAAAAAAAAAAAAAAGCCCACACACACGCAACAAGCGCATACAGCAGCTCACAAAAAGACACAAACAGACTTACCGCCGAGCGGATTGCAGGAATGGGACCAGTGCCCATCACGGCCGGATCGACACCAGCTTGAGCCCAGGAAACAATGCGGCCAAGAATCTCGACACCACGCTGGCGAGCTTCGGCAGCCGTCATGAGAACGACAGCAGCAGCGCCGTCGTTGATGCCCGAGGCGTTACCGGCCGTGACTGTGCCCGTGCCGTCCGAGATGAAAGCGGGACGGAGCTTCTTGAGCGAATCGATCGTGGCGCCCTTGCGCGGGAACTCGTCCGTGTCAACAACCTTGTCGCCAGCGCGCGACTTGATTGTGACGGGGACGATTTCTTCCTTCCAGATGCCAGCGTTGGTCGCTTTCTCGGTCTTGAGCTGCGACTGGAGGGCAAACTCGTCTTGCTGCTCGCGGCTGATGCAGTCTCGCTTGGCAATGTTCTCGGCAGTAATGCCCATCGGGTAGCCATGGAAGGCGTCGACCAGGCCGTCCTTCATCATCGTGTCGACCATGGATGCATCGCCCATTTTCACGCCCGCGCGGAGATGCATTGCGTGTGGTGCTTGGGACATGGATTCTTGACCGCCGGCAATGACAATGCGCGAATCTCCTGCACGGATGGCCTGGTAGCCGAGCGCCACTGCTCGCAGACCAGATCCGCACAGCATGTTGATGCCGTACGCTGGCGTCTCGATCGGGATGTCTGCGGCGCGTGCTGCCTGTCGTGCCGGGTTTTGACCAGCGGCTTTAGTTTTGTTTTGTTTTTTAGTTTTGGACAATCAGAGATGGAGCAAGCGAGAACGAATATGGTTAGTTTATGCGATCTTATTAGGACAACGGAACAAGGAGCAGAAGTGAGTGAATTTGCTTATTTTCTCAGATTTCCTCCCTTTTCAGTCGCTTTCTTTTGTTTTCGATTGTTTTTGTTTTCGTTTGTTTTTGTTTTCGTTTTCGTTTGTTCTTGTTGTTGTTCATTCAACGTGTTGTTGAATCGTTTTGTTCGTGCACTGCTCCAATCCGGTTGCTTCTTTGGATCCATGGCGTGAGATTTCAACGCATTGAAAGTGACGTGATTTTTTTTTATTCACTTTGCGTTGAGCTTTCTTCATTGTTTCATGAATGACGAAACTTTAACTGTGCAGCGCATTGAATTTCATTCAAACTTGAAACGTTGCAAATGTTTTCGTCTCAAAATCCACAAAAAGCGAAAACGAGAACGCAAAACGAGAACGCAAAACGAAAACGAAATGAAACGTCTTTTTTTTTTTTTTTTTTTTTTTTTTTTTTTTTTTTTTTTTTTTTTTTTTGGATGCGATTTCGCCGTCTTTCGTCTTTTTGTCCTTTGTCTTTTACCTGCAGTGAGGACTTGGCCGAGGATGACTTCGCTGACGTCGGAGGGAGCGACGTTGCCGGCGCGGCGGAGGACTTCGGAGATGACCACGCGGCCGAGCTCGGATGCAGGGACGGTGCTGAGGGCGCCGTTGAACGAGCCGATGGGTGTGCGTGCGGCGGCGACAATGACCACGTCCGAATCCGCGTAAGTCATGGCTTGTTGAAGAAGAGTGACTGAAATGAAAGAAGTGAAGACTGAGTGAGGTGTGCACCTTCAACAAAAATGGCAAGACTGATCAAGAGAAAAAAAAAAAAAAACTCAGACACAAGAAGGCAGCAGATGCCGAAATGGAGACGACCCATTTCAGCCGGAATCGCAAAGGTCTCCTTCGAGTCCAAGCTACCAAGTCGACAATGAAACGAGTGCGTAGCTCGCTTCGTGACAAACTATTACGGAGGGAGGGGAATTGCTGATGGCGAGGAATGAACATCAACGAGATCGCCGGGTGAAAGACGAAAACAAGAAAGATTCGTCGCGTTTTCTCAACGGAGAACAAATGTAAGCACAGTGGGCCATAGAATGCCAACTACTGAAGACGACTCCAAGTCCAAAGAAAAATCAGTCGAATTCAAAGCATACAGCGAGCAACAGCAATCACAACAGCAAAAACCAACACGAAACAACACTACACTAAACAAGGCCTTTTTGTTTTCAAACGCCGTGCTGCTGACGGATGAGATCGTCGTTCGTGTGAAGCGCACAGCCATCACGCAGCATTTGACAAGCGACGCGTGCAATGTTGGTTGCGTCGTCAAGACCGCTGTGCTTATTTCCCTGGAACTGCATGCCAAGCGACTCGAGCATGAAATCAATGCCACCGAGCTTCATGTGGTAGAACTTGCTGAAGTGCATGCGAAGATTGACCCACCTGTGATGTCGCACAGAAGAAAAGCAGACAACAAAAACGAACGTAAGCATCCAATAACGATGAGAATAAAACGCACACACACACACACACACACACACACACCCAAAAAAAGCAGCTGAAGCACATACTGTTGAGTAAACCAGGGTCGGAATATTTGGCTGTGGCGGCACTGCTTTGTCATGAAATCGCGCAAATCCCAAGGCCCGTCGCACAAGATGGCAAAGCGACGACGACCAAAGGAGCGCAAGCGAGTGTCGGTGCCAAATAGACCTGGAATTTCGGAAGTCGATTCTTCCTCATCGTCGTCGTCGTCGTCGTAATTTGTATTGCTCGATTCGGCGCACAACACAGACGAAGTGATGGGCTGGATGGCTGGGAGTGTGATGATCTCTTCGAAAATGGTGAAACTGGGCGTTGTTGGCTCTTCCGTGTCCGAGTCAATGGCACTGCCGGCGCTGCTGGTGCTACTCACACTGTCCACGCTGTTCGTACTATCAACACTGCTGGTGCTGATTGTGCGCTCGCGTGGAGGATGATTGCTGCGATTGATGGGGGCGGGCTCGCTCTTGTCTGGCGAAATTGGGGTTGTCGGATCGCGCACGTCAACACCCAATGTGTCGCGCAGAAAGACCACAAACTGCTCGAAAACATCCTCAAACACCGGCGAGGCATCGACCTGACTCTGCGTGATGCCAGTGAGCTGCGTGCAGAACGGAGTCAGCGTCGGGTTGAGGACAGGGCGGACGTACGAGCGCCAGCTGTGGACAATCTCGCCGGTGCGAGCATTGACAACAACAGCAGGGAACTCGATGATTTCGTGCGGATAGGTGGAGAAGCTGGCGTTTTCTTCGCAGGTGGCTTCGTAGTCAATCACCACAAAGTAGTCAAACTGCGGTTGGTAGTGCGAAGGAATGCGGAATGCGCGTGTGATGGCCGCGACATCCGACTGCGGGTGGTCAATCAGCGCCACAGGGCAGTTGGTCAGCGAGTGACCTGCCTGACGAGAGACGGCAAGGTCAATGAGCCAAGCCGAGTGCTCGAGATCGGCCAGTTCGGTTTGCTTCATTTTCTCTGCGTTGGATGTGAACAGCGCCATCAGTGGACGATTCTGGTGATGTGCTTCGAGCCCCGGAAACAGCAACCGGTGCTGCGGTCGTCGGGACGCCCGTCGGGTTCGACGCGCAGGCCGGCCGCTGTCATTGTCTGATTCGGCAGTGTCATCCTCGCTCGCCTCAGCTCCGTCGGTGTCCGAGCTGTCAGACATTTCCGAGGGATTGGCAAAGAACGAAGACTTTGGAACCTCGACGAGAGGACTAGTTGAAGAAGTGTCCCACTCTGCGTCCGGAGTGCTGGGATTGGTTGATGAAGACGATGATGCTGCTGATGTCGATGACGAAGAAGTCGATGATGGTGACTCTGATTTGGATAAGTTGGAAAGGCGTGATAACAATTCCTGCCGACGCTCGAAAACGAGCGCAGATTTAATCCGTTGGCGAAGGACTTTGGGGTGGCCTTCTGTGGGCAGGCCGCGCAGAGTCAACGCTGCGCGGATGGCAATCATGTCGGCCTTGACAAAGCACTTGTCTAACGAGTTGGACATGAGTTGGGCAAGGATGGTCTCTCGCGAAGGGGCTGTTTGCCGTGCGTGTTTGGAGCTGTTGCGATTTACAATGGGCTGCGCTTGCTCAACGAACGCGTTCTCATTGTCGAGCTTCTGGAACTCGGCCAACAGTTGGTCAAAGGCGTCCATGTCATCACCGCGCTCAAACTCGTCATCGTCATCATCATCTTCCGAGTCGTCTCCAACCAGTCGCCCTGCTGGGGATTTGGCCTTGCCAGACCGCTGTTGCTGCTTTCCGCTTCGGGCTGCAGGCCGAGCGCTCTTTGTCGGCGTTTGCTGCGATAGTTCGCCGCTTTCCAGCTCTCTGGAGCGCGCTGCTTTGAGCTCTCGAATAGCATTCGGTGTTAGGAGCAGCTGGACGCGCGATGCATCCATCTGGAGCTTGTGCTGATCCAGCTTGTGCGGCGAGGCGAACTTGAGCCGCGTCGCAGTGCCATTTCGCGATAGACCTCCAGACCCGGCTGAAGAAGGAGAGCCAGAGGTCGATGACATCCATGCATGCAATCCGTGCTGGAATCCTTGATGATGATGCGACGGTGATGTCGACATCAACGCTTGAGACTGTGCAGTGATTGCATTGGCATTACCACTGCGCATCATCGAGCCAGGCGACCCAGACCCAAACCCAGACCCGCGCGAGGGCGACGTCGATGGCAATCCATGATGGCTGGAGCTTGATCCGTGCGCGCTCGCGTCCAGGCCCGGTCTGTGTGGGCGACCGGACGGCGACGAGGCGATTGTCGGAGAGCCCCCTTGGCCAGCGCCAGCGCCTGTGCCTGTGCCTGTGCCTGTGCCTGAGCCGCGTGAGGGACGGCGCGCAGATGGACTCACGGGAATGGGATCAGAGTGGGCTGCGGCTCCGGTTGCCCGCGTTCGCTGTGGGCTGGCTGGTCCAGGGCCGAGCAATGAGCCCGCGCCAAACTCAGTTGGCGGTGCTGCTGCAGTGGTTGGAACAGATGGATCGGCCTCGTGGTTGGCGCTCATGGCGACGTCGAGGGAAGGCAGATGTGTAAGCGCAAAGAGAAAGAACTTGGAAAAAGAGAAAGGAAGAAGAAGAAGAAAAAAAAAACACAAAAGACTGAGATGACAGCTTCCAAATATGGCGAGGCCACAAACAAAGGATCGCTCTCTGAAAAAGCACAGTAAACTGTATTAAAAAACAATGATAACTTCAATGCAAAAAATGTACATTCGCTCATCAATCAATCCAAACACTCACACACACAAACTCACTCAAAAAGAAATACACAAGAAGTACAACGAGAGGCTCTAAAGAGAACGCGACCTGTCGGGGTTGGATACATTGGAAACGTTGCGGGACGCCAACGGCGCAGGGACGATACCCGCGTAATCGAGCGGAGCTGCAGCAGAGGTCGTTGTTGCTGCCGGTGGTGGCCAAGCGGCAGCGACGCCGTCGTCGGTTTCAATGACTGCATAGTTGAGCACAGGGGTCGGGCTACTGTACGGCGTAGTCATAGCACCAGGGGCGGCATAGCCTGCAGTGCTTGGCGTTGGCGACTTGTAGTGCGGAGCTGCAGATGTCCGCGGCTTGGACGTGTTCACAGCCGCGTACTGCGACGGTGCTTGTTGTCCGAACGTGCCAACATCCGCGTAATGGCCATCTGACTTGTAGCCAACGTTGTCATAGTGGTGCGCCGACTTGTTCGCGTCGTGTGCACTGTCTGCAACGTAGACGTTGTCGTAAATGATCGCAGCACTGCTCGATTTGGAATGCAACGTATTCAGCTGCATGCCGCTCGGAGTGGTGCCGCTCATGCTGTTGGTTCGCGAACGAGTCGGTTGTCCAATCAGCTTTGCAGAGCGGCGGCGTCGTCGAGCAAGCACCACCAGGAGGAAGATGAGCAAGATGAGCAGGGAAATGCCGCCGCCAATGCCAGCGCCAATTCCCACAGCCATTCCCGCGTCATCTTTGGCCTCCTCGTCGCTGTCCCGCAGTTCAACCATGATGACACTCAGCGGGCCGAGTGTGGCGCCATTTGTTGGGTTTTGCAAGGCAAGGTACAAGGCTTTGGTTCCTTCGGGGATGTCATCGTTGCGAATGGTCAGCACAAGCACATCCGTCGTGCTGCTCTGGCCGGCAGCAAAGTGCACCACGAGTGGTGACGTGACTTGCAAGTCCGAAGTCAAGGATACGCCTTCGTCCGGATGGTAACGATGAAGGAAGGGTGTGAACGGGGCGATGGACGCGTTCGTGCCTGCGACGACAGTGACAGCCACTGCGCCAAGAACACCAGCGTTGCGCAGCACAGGAATGGTCAACGAAGGGGTGCCCTCCCAAACCGTGTAGACATCATCGCCAAGCGGATTGCCAGAGGGTGCAAACTCCATCCGGCCGTACGGATCGTCGTTGGCCGCAATCGTGACCGTGGCCACAGAGGCATAGGTGAGGTAGGCGGAGCCCGCAGTGATGCCCGTCAAGAGCACAGTGAACGTCTCGTCCAGCTCGGGAATGTCGTCGTCGTCAACCGCAATGCTAATCACCGTGCTCGCTGCACCAGCTTCAATCACAACGGGCGCGTCCTGGATGGAGGCGTCAAAGTCTTCACCGCCGGCTGTGCCAGTTCGGACACTGTAAGTGAACGTCACGGCACCAAGCGCTGAGCCAGTCCGCTCCACCGTGACGAGCGCAACACCAGCGCTCTCCTGAGCAACGAATGTGAGGGAAGTGAAACGGACGACGCCGTCCACGGCGTTGCTGGCCTCGATGGCACATGGAATGACAGAAGGGGTGTCAGCATCGAGCGTCGCCAGAGATCCCGAGCTGGGACTCAGAACAATGTTGAACAGACGAACAGGGGCTTGAGCGGCAACGACATTGAAAGAGTTGGATGTCTGCGACGTCTGGCCAGCCGCAAAGCTCACAGTCCGCACCACTTGATTGTTAAAGTCAGCGGCAGTCACCGGTGTTGTGAATTGCAAGGTGGCATCGCCTGTCACAGTTCCGAACGTGCCGAAATAGCGCGCAACCTCTGCAGTGAAAGTTGAGCCACGAGTGACGAGGAACCGTGCACTGCCATCGGCCGACTTGGTCAACGTTGGAGTGACAAAGCCAATGGTGCCGTAGGGTTTGTCGTTCTTGTTAATGGTCACTGTGATTGTCGACTGTGCACCCAAGGTGGCACCGCCAGTGGGGCTGGACAGGGTAACAGCAAACGTCTCGTCCAGTTCCGGAAGCGAATCCGCACGAATGACGACCTGAATGACCGCACTCGAGTGGCCCTGAAGCAGCGTCACAGTGCCTGCGCCTTCCACAAAGTCCAATCCAGCTTGGGCATTGACATCGTGGTCGGAGCCGGTGATGGAGGTCGCCCAGGCAAACGTAACGTCGCCAAACAGCCCTGCCGTTCGAGTAATGGTAATGGACACGTTGCTGTCAGAAGCTGGCTCGTCAACCGCCAATGTGGCAGCGTCAAATGCCAAAACGCCATGCGGGCTGTCGCTTTCCGCAATTGTCACCAGAACGTTGGAAGCAGTCGAGTCAACCGCACCGCCGCCGCTGACAATCTCGAGGCGAACGCCAAAGACCTCGGCGAGTTCAGGAATGGTGTCATCCAGGATGGCAACAAGAGCGTTCTTGGTCAGGATTCCAGCGGTAAACTCGACATCCACAGGTGTCGAAGCGAAATCCAAGTCGATGGTGGCCACAGGTGTGCCAGTTGACGTGTTGAATGCGACAGCGTACGGAGTGACGCGGACAGTGACAGTGCCAACGCTACCACCGGCACGTGTGATGGTGAGACTGGCCGATGATGGTTCAGGCCAGGAGGATGCAGTATTGGCAATGCTGAACAGACCGTAGGGGTAGTCATGTTCGGGCACTGCAACAACCGATGATCCGTAGTAGCCAATCGGAGTCGCTTCGCCAAGAGTCACAGCGGTCGCAGCAGTGATGGTGTACGTCAGCGTTGAAGGGACGGTCGGAGTACCCATGTTTGGCACCGTAATGGGAACCGCAACAGTTTGCTGGCCTGCGGGAATTGTCGCAACGAATGTGGTGGCACTGGCCACAGTGGAGGTCACGGAAAACGTGACATCGACGGCCGAGGCATAGGAAACGGCGCTGAAACGCTCCAACGTGATTGAGAACTCGGGGTTGGCCATGACGTTGCTCAAGCTGATCTGCCGGGAGCCAGCGGACACGCCGACCGTGCCAAACTGCGACTGGCTGGCTTCAATCACAATCTGAGACCTGTTGAAGTGGTCATCCAAGGCCATGTTGAGGGGGTTGGCAAGTTGAATGTCGACCGTTTCTTGGGCCAACGCGCTGCCGCTTGCAGCAAGGTTCAGTGTGATGGTCTGCTGATGCACTGTCGAAGAAAACTGCAGCGGTGCCGAAGAAGCAGCAGTCAAAGATGCCGAGCTGATGGAAAATTGAACAGTCGCATCAACCTGGACTGGAGCTTCAACAACCAAGGAGATCGTGCTCGTGCCTGAGTCGGGTCGACGAACCACCAGGAAGCGAGACGAAGCATCAAACGCAACGCGACCATCAGCCGCGCACTCCAAACCATTGCCCGAAAAGCCAGGCTTGCAGGCGCACGAGTAATTTCCAGGGGTGTTGGTGCAGAGGGCGTTACTGCTGCACGGGAACGGGATGCCATTGCACTCATTCACGTCGTCGCAGTGCGTTCCGTTGCCGGAAAAGCCAGCCTTGCAGGTGCAAGTAAACGAGCCAATAGTGTCGGCACAAGTGGCATTCGCAGCGCAGTTGTGCGTTCCAGTCGTGCACTCGTTGATGTTGACGCAAGATTTGGCGTCAGGCTGCAGCTGGTATCCACTGTTGCACGAGCAAGCGTAGGACCCAGGGAGATTGGTGCAGATGTGCTGGCAGCCGCCGTTGGCGCTGCTGCACTCGTTGTTGTCGAGACAGCCGGATGCGCCTTTGCCGTCGCCGTTTTTCGTGTAGCCAGTGAGGCAGCTACAACTGTACGATCCAACCGAATTTAAACACGTCTGGTTGCAGCCGCCGTTGGAAGCGGCGCATTCATTTGTATCAACGCATCTGAGAGTTGTAGCTGTAGGTGCCCATGCGCCTGTTGTGCTGCAAGTGATGTTTGGAGAGCCTGCAGAGATTGAGTAGCCAGTATTGCACTGGTAGGTGCAAGTGGAGTTGGCGCTGACAGAGCTGCATTGGCTTTTGGTGGTGTTGGTCGGCGCAGCTGGAGCGGTCGGGCAGGTAACGAGCGTGTTGCAACTGGTACCAGTGTAGCCAGGAGTGCAAACCTTACTGCCTGTTGATGAGCAAGTGTAATAGCCACCGTTATTGGGTACGCAATACACACATGAACCAGAGCCGCTCGGATAGTAGTTGGTGGCGCAAGTGGAGCAGGACGGAGTGCCAGTGTAGCCTGATTTGCAAGCCGTGCAAGCGCCCGACACGGGATCGCACGCGCTGCAGCTTCCAGTGGAGGTGGTGCAGTATGTGCTACAGGTTGGGCCGTAGTAGTCAGTGTCACAAAAGACACGGTAGCCAAAAGTGAACGAGTCGACATAGCTCGCCGGACTGGCAAGCGTGACAAATGTGTAACCGGAGGACGAGCCTGCGGTGTAGGATTTGGTGATTGAGCCGAGAGTGTCATCTTCAATCCCATCATTATCGATGAATGTGAATTTCACAGAGAAGGTTCCCTGTTTGAGGATGATGAACAGTCCATGGGACATATGCGTGAGCCAAAATAACATTGTTCGACCGAACTGCTGCTGGAGTTTGTCATTCTTTCAACGTACAGTGTACGACTGGAAGGTTGCGCGCTCGGAGGCGGGCAACTCGTAGTCCCATTCAGGTGCATTGTCATCTTGAAAGAAATCCGGACCGACGCCGCTCAAGCTCGTAGACCCAACTGTGACTGTCCAGTCGGTGGAGGCCTCGCATGCGCTGAAGGTGTCGCAAGAATAGTACGATCCGCGCATAAAATAAAGCCCAATGGAAGCTCTGCCAGCGAGTGCGCCGGGAATGCCCATCAACGCCACGACGAGCATTATTGTGGTCACAATGCGCCGCGCCGCGCCGAGCGAGGAGGCCTTGAGCGGCAGGGCCATATTTTCTGCAACGGAGGGTTCAAACACAGGTGTGAGGAATTGTTGATCCAGAAATCCGTTGCTTTGATGCTTTGTGATTGTTTGCCGCGACTGTAACGCAAAGGCGACGATCGTGACCATGGAATGCATTTTGGTAGGGCCCTTTGGGGGTTCAGGGGGTTCATAGGTTTACGGCGTTGTGGCCCTGGTTTTGCGGACCTTTGCGGATTTGTGGAATATTGCTTTTGTGTGGTCGGGCATTTGTTTTTGCTTTGCTTTGCTTTGGGCAGCGTTGATCCTTCCGCTGACGTCCCTTCCGTTCCAACACACCCAGCCAGCTCCCCCTCTCGCTGTCTCTCCGATGGCAGCGCGTTTGCATTCGACAATGACAGCTCAAGCCAATCGTGAGCTCCAAATGCACGACCGTCCAAACCCCTCACGTGCATGTGCGAATTTTTGGTGTAATTGAAGCGCCTTCAGCCACGCTCATGACTGGTGGAACGAGTGCCACCCACTTCCACCCCGCGGCATCACAAAGCGCGAGACAACATCATCCGTGGGCGCATTGGACCCCCCGCCCCCGCATCGCAGCGGCGCGTCCAGTGTCGCGGCGCTGTTTGAGTGGTTCTGCGGTGACACGATTTGCGGCTTTGGTCTTGTGCCTTCGACCTCACTTCAAACCCCCACCGACTTCTGGGCCTTCCAACTCCCGCTCTGACGCTCAGCAATGCCGTGCGATCGTGCCACAATGCGCGACGTTCAAACTGGGCCTGGACTACAGCGCCGAGACATTGAAAAGTGATGGGAAAAACTTGTACCACCCCACGAACAACAAAAAACGTTTCGACTTTTTTTTTTTTTCTTTTTTTTATTTCAAACGTTATTATTGCCGTTGCTCAATCGTCATCGCTCGCATCTCCGGAACAAAAAACCCCACAACACGGCGCTGTGGATTGGCTTTTTCTTTTTGTTGCAGAGCAAAAAAGAACGGTCGGAAGAAGCAATCGACAGAAACCGCTTTGCTGGGACTGATGACCACAAACTGCTGTCACGATGCGATCGCACTCGACCAGCATTTGCGTCTACGCTTGCTCCATCCTCTCGATCTACTTCTAGCCATGTGTCTCTCGTAATATTGTGTTGGGGATGTATGAGGTGGATTTTGCCGAACGCGAGCCAATTCGTGGCAATCAAACACTCACCCTCTGCTTCCAAATCAAAAATCAAAAATCAAAAAAGACTGAATGCGATGCGTCAACAATCACATTGACAAGCCACCGACGAGAGACATTGATTGCTGCGGCAGTTCAGCGTCGAACGCAAAGCCAAATCGAGCACAGGTGTGATGTTCATCGAGTTGAACGGCCAGAAAATCTCGATGGTGATTTTTTTTGCCCAAAATTCAAAGGAGAAACAACGAGCGCGACGATCGCGTCGAACGCAAAACCCAATCTGGATGATACTGACAGTACATTGAGTTGAACGGTCGCAAAGTCTCGTCAAATGCTGATGGGCAACGGAGGGTGCAGTTTGCTCCAAAATTCAACAAACAAACAATGCGCGCCAATTTCAGCGACGACCGCGTCGAACGCAAAGCCCACTCTGGATGATACTGATAGTACATTGAGTTGAACGGTCGCAAAGTCTCGTCAAATGCTGATGGGCAACGGAGGGTGCAGTTTGCTCCAAAATTCAACAAACAAACAATGCGCGCCAATTTCAGCGACGACCGCGTCGAGCAAAGTCCAATCTGGATCATACTGACAGTACACCACAATGCTTTGCTTGCTTGACTCGAGCGACTCGAGCGACACACACGTTGTTGCAGCGCGACCAAGAGTTGAACAGACAACCCTCGACTCCAGTCGCAGCCGCTGGCGCCGCTTTCGCAGCTAATCAACAGCTCACGATGATGTTTTGATCCCAGTGGTCAGTGGTGGAGCATTGTCACTGGTATTCAAACGACCACATGAACAGAATACCAGCAAGCGACCGCAGACTTCCTCTTTCACCGCAACCCTCAACCCTCCTGCGACTCTCCCCCATTCCCCCATCTCCCGCCGCCTCGTGAGCATACTCCTACGACGATGCGCAACCGAGTGCCGTGCTTTCTCCGTCAGCGACCTCGACGAGGCGCGGGCCGTTCTTTTTGCTCTTGCAGTACAGTAACCATGGTCACACCACACGCACACATCACCTCATCCTCTCGTACTGAGCTTTGCTCTCGTAGTCGCTCTTCCTGCTGTCTGCTTCCAATTGGGCTGGCGCTCTGCCAGTGTGGTCGCGCGCGTTCAAGTGGGGTGTTTTTTTGGATTTTTCGGTTTGATCTGGCTTTTGTTCCTGAGTCCGGTCAATCAGGTATGCGCCACTCACTCGCTGCGCTGCGCTGATGACGCTTGCTGTTTTGTTGTTTTGTTGGTGTTGTGCCACTGTGTGTGCTCTCGTGCATTGCGTATGCGTGTCTGTGCGCGCTGTGCATTGCGTGTGAAGTTGCTGATCAGCGGACCTGCACACGCACGCAATGGAACGAGCAGCCGAGACATCCAAATCAACAAAAACATCAAAAAAAAAAATCGAAAAATCGAAAAAAAAATCAAAAAAAAAGCATAACACATCAAAAACCAGTCATAATTTTTTTGTGTTTTTTTTTTAGCGGTAAGAACGATCGATCTGCATTCGAGTTGCAATAATACTGCTGCTGTGTTTCCGCCTCAAAAGCCGCATAATGCTGGAGGAGGGGGGGGGGGCAAATGGGCAAAGGAACGAACGAACAGGCCATCACCCTGCGATGCGCGCTCAAAACGGGTTCGGCGGTTTTTTTTTTTTTTTTTGTTATTTTGGTTTTGACTTTTTAGTGTCCCAACACCCGCGACCATCCCGCGTCGTGCACCCCAATGCGGAACCCACCATCACCTCCGCTCACAATTTAGATGCGTAGCCCTGAGTTGCGATTTACCGCTCTCCGTTTGCAACAGGGGGATTCAAGGGAAATCAAAACGGACGATGCGTCACGAAACAAAAAAAAAAAAAAAAAAATCCGCTTTTTTTGAATATTTCGTGAACGAAGGGTGAATTGGTGGCGCTTCCGGGGGCTCACCGACACTCCGGCGCCCCCCACAAGTGCAACCCATGCGACACCCATGGTGCTGCTGCGACGCTGCTGCCTTGCTTTGTGCGCTCCGACGCTGTGGGCACGGCAAAAACGTCGCACTTGCAAACAAGGCACAAACCACCACAACTCAAAACCCGCTAATAATGCAATTTAAACTTGTGGATTACGCACCGCAGCCTTCCGCAGCGCCCTGGCGTTGGAGGGGCGGTGGTTTGTGCGGTTTGCCGCGCCGTCTCGTGGGACGGCAGACGTGATGATGCTCCATCCAACTTGTGCATTTTACAGTTCACAACCTGACTCCTCACAAACAAATACACGAACGCAACGCTGTGCAGTTTGGTTTGTATTTTGTATTTTTTTTTGTATTTTTTTTTTTTCATTCAGCTTTGGCGGCGTAATTTTTTTTAATATTTTTTTTTTTTTACTTTATTGCGGTTTGAACAAAGAACGCAACCCCGCATCCAACAAAATGGCGTCCTGTTGGGTGCAATCGGGGGGGCGGGTGGGTGTCTGGTTGGTGTCCCCACGGGCGAGAGGGCGGGAGGGAAGGGGTGTGAAAGCCTGCTCCCTGATTAGAGCTAAAACTTGTTTTGTTTTATTTTTATTATTTTTTTATTTTTTTATTATTTTTTATTGTTTTTTCATTGTTTTTTCAATAACAAACAATAATGGTCCGCGCTTCATTCTGATTGTTAATGGTGACCATCTTTTTACAGCAAAACCAACACACCACCAAAACACGTGTAATTGTGATCATTGTTGAGGAACAATCAAATCAGGGCCCTGATGAGGTGGGGCGATTTCGACAAAAGATTACGGACAAATTTCCCCCGTTTTGCCGCAAACCCACCAAAACGCCCCCCTTTGCGCTCGACCCGCAAGTGTGCCTCATTCAGCGAAGGACGAAGAAGAGGCCCGTGCTGTGCATCATGCAGTTTCCATTGGCGATGCGCGAGAGGGGTTTGGCCGATGGCGATCAGAAAAGGAAATTGGGCTTTTGTTTACATTTATTTTCACAATTAGCGCATTTTGAGTTTTTTTTTTTTTTTCCTTTTGCCTTTTTTACTTTGCGCAAGCTTTTTTTTTTTTTTCTTCCTTTTTTTTTTCTTTTCGTTTGTGATATCACAATTAGGTGATGCGCAGGTGTCACCAGCTGCCACTCTCACGAAACAAAAACTTGCGACTCACCTTGAATGATAATGTTGTTGTTGTTGTGTTGCGTTTTGTCAGATCATTGAAAATCGGGAGAAATGGCCAAGTTGCTGCTGGCAGCGGCCATCCTCGTTCTCATTGCGAGCTCTGCGCACGCCGTCCAGTACCGTGCAACGTGCTTTGCGCGCGCATTGTACTTTACCCAAAACTCTGGTTGCGGTGATGGAACCTGTACGTCGCCCCGGTCCTTGGTTGCTATGATGCATTTGCCTGTCCTGTAGCGCTAACTGATTCTGTTTGCGAACATGAAGGCGACCCGTACTGCACTGGATGGGTGAAATTTGCGCCAAATGGCAACGCCAACTGGAATGCGGGTGAACAAGAATCCCACAACCCTCGTTGGAACATTGACATCAACTATGGCGCTGTGAGCAACTGGGCAGGGACGGTGCAATGGTATGTCGACTGCGACGACAACGATCCTTGGCCCAATCCCGACGATGACATGGGATGGAGGACGTTCGATCCCATCACCCTGAACGGCAATGAAGAGCAAGGCAGCTTGGCGGCCAGTCCTTGGCAAGGTGTCAACCTTGGTGGCACGACTGGTGGCGAGTTCAACATTCCTGCAGTCTACGTCTACCATCGCGCCATGTGCGACCAATACTGGTACGGTGCTCGTTGCGGCGAGTACTGCAGAGTCAGCGATCCTCCGGCGTGCACCGCTTGCAATCCCTCGTCAGGCGTGTGCACTTGCGCCGTTGGTTACCAGGACAAGGACTGCGGCACTTGCCAGTCAAACTACTGGCCAGTTGGCACGTCGGGACAAGCCGGCTTCCAATGCGTGTACTGTGTGGATACGAACACTGCCTCTGCGTGCTACACGTGCCAAACGGGTGGCGTCAAGAGCTGCTGCACTGGCTGGAAGAGCACCAATTGCGACGTCAAGAAGAACTGCAACTCGTTCGTCGCGCCTCCTGCCAACTCTGTGGCCGTCGCCAGCACCTGTCTCTGCACAACATACGGCTGCACCTGTCAGTATTCGTGCAAGTCTGGCTTTTCTGGTGGCTCTGCTACCACGACGTGCCAAAACGACGAAACCTGGCGCTGGAGCTCGACGCTCACGTGCAACGACATTGACGAATGCGCTCCCGGCGGCGGCAACCAGTGCGCCCAGACCTGCTCCAACACTATCGGTGACTATTCCTGCTCTTGCCTTGCTGGCTACAGCATCAGCAACGCTGGTCGCGGTCCGAACGGCTGCACGGACATTAACGAGTGCTCGACAAACAATGGCGGTTGTGGCCAGAATTGCAACAATACGCCTGGATCGTACTACTGCACGTGCCAGCCTGGCTGGCGTCTTCAACCAGACGGCAAAACCTGCCTGGAGATTGACGAATGCCAAGAAGGCTTGGACAACTGCGACGGCAATGCCACCTGCACCAACAACATTGGCAGCTTTGAGTGCGCGTGCTTTTCCGGATTCTCGGGCGATGGCACTGTGTGCACGGACATTGACGAATGCGCCGCTACGCCTTGCGCCCAGTTTGCTGACTGCGCCAACTTCCCCGGCACCTTCACTTGCACCTGCCAAATCGGCTATTTGGGCGATGGCTTTACATGCATTGCCAACAACACTGCCTCGTTCGATGTCGACTCGCGCTTTATTCTCTTTGAAGAAGGCTCGAATAGCACCAACACTACCCTCCATTTGCGCGTGAGTGCCAACTCCAACCGTGATGGCTCGTTGGTCTATTTCGACGTCATTCCGACCGACGCGCTCGCAGGCATTGATTACATTGTCGAAACAGCCTCCCCGCTCGTCTTCAACAATGGAGACACCGCCCACAACATTTCCATCACCATCGTTGGCGACAACCTTCCTGAGAATGTCGAAAGCATTTTTGTTCGGCTGCGCGACCCCTTGCATTTGGGCATTGGTCCTTTCAACACGTCCACCATTGTGATTGATGCCAACGACAACCCCAACGGTCTTGTTCGCTACGTCCCGGCTTCGCGTGCTTTTAGCGTCAACATTACCGCTGGCAGCTATCCCCTCGTTGTCGAGCGCTACTCGTACTCCAACCTGTCTCAGGCCGTCAATGTGACCATCTCCCGCACTGTTCCAGATGTCAAGAACTTTACCTTGATCATCCCTGCAAACAAGTTGAACGCGACTATCAACATCCCCCTGCCACTGTCGACCGTGCCGTCGCTCGCTGCGCTCTATACGTACACCATTACTCAGGCCAAGATGGTTGGAACTGGATTTGCGCCTGTTCCTGGCTACTATGCCACCTCGCTCGTCACCATCAACCCCCATGACGACCCCCACGGCGTCTATGGCTTCGACTTCCTCACCCAGTCCGTCCAAGAGGGCACCGCCATTCTCATCAACCTGAGGCGTCAGCGTGGAACGTTTGGCAGCGGGGCTGTTCGCGTCCGCGCCATTACGCTCAACTCCAACCAGACAAGCGGTGTCGCAATCGCATCGTCGACCGACTACGCTGCCCTCGACCAAGTCCTCGCTTTTGGAGAGGGTGAGAGTGTGATTCAAATCTCCATCACCGCGGTTGCTGACGGCATCCCCGAACTGGCTGAAATGTTTGGCGTGCAACTCGAATTTGTGTCGGGCTTGGGCCGCGTTGACCCGACCAAGGCACTGGTTCTCGTCACCATTCCCGAGAACGACGATGCTCGCGGCGTCTTGTCCGTCTCCCGCATCTACACGTGCAGCGAAGAATCACTCATCGTCAACAGTGTCGCTCAGCCGAACAACACTGTGTTTGTGGAAGTTGTCCGCTCCGCAGGTCTGTTTGGCTCCATCTCCTTCACCTGGTCGACACACGACGGCAAGTTCAACAATGCCTCTTTGTTGCCCGAGAACTGGGCCAGCGCAGCCCAAAGGGACTATGTCGCCGTGACGGGTCAAACCGTCACCATCCCCGCGGGTATCAGCAGCGTCCAGATTGCTGTCACCCTGCTGAACGACAACGTTCCGGAAATGGACGAATTCCTGTACGTGCAGCTCGTCTCTGCCTCCGGTGGCGCGCGTGTGCACCCGATCACCAATTTCACCGACTTGTGCATCAACCGCAACGACTACCCGCACGGCTTGCTCGGCTTCAACTCGCCCAGTGTCATGACTCTTGGCCAGAATGGAGAGCGCCGTTATCTTGTCAAGGAAGGCGAATTTGTCACTGCGACTGTCAACCGCTACTATGGCAGCTTCCGCCGAGTCTCGGGCGTCGTCTCCATCCTGCACAACACGACCACCTCCAACGACTTTGTCAGCGGCTCGCCCAGCAAGCCGGTGACGTTCGAAGCTGGCCAAACTGTGGCCAGCGTGTCGTGGCAGGTGAGGGACGATCTGATTGATGAGGATTGGGCTCTCTTTTCTCTCCAGCTGGTCGGCAACGGAATCAGCTCGGGCCAAGAAGCCACGGCCGTACGGACTGACTCGCCCATGGACGGCCAAGTGCTGTGTGTCATTGATGCCAATGACGATATTGGCGCGCTCGGCTATCTGAACCCCGACGTTTTTGTCCACGAATCTGAGGGCGTTGCCACGCTGACCGTGTCGCGCGTTGCCAACAATCCCAACAATGTTGACTACGCAACCGACGCTGTCGAATTCACTGCCACTGGTCATGATTTCGACGGATCGAACGAAAACAACACCCATACGCTCTCGAGCCTCGCTCAAACGCAAGATTTCAGCATCCGACTCGGTGATGACACCCTCCCTGAAGCAAGCGAGGCGTTCTTTGTGTACTTGAGGAATGTGACGGGAGCCCGCCTGTCTTGGGCGTCTGTGGCCACGGTGACGATTCTTGCCAGTGATGATGGCCACGGTGTGATTGAGTTTGCGCCGTCCCGCCAGGTCAACCCGCTGGTGTTTGCCGTGTCCGAGTCTGCTGGCTTCCTGCGTCTGACCCTCTGGCGCGAGATTTCTCAGATTGGCCGCGTTAACGCGACCTTTGTCCTGTCGACGAATGTGACCTCCCACGCCGCGTTCGCTCCCTTGATCTCCGTGTTTGTGCCCTCAACTCCTGTCAACTTGACGACCGATGTGGATGCCACGCCGTACGAGATTGTTTTCGAAGACGGGCAAAACAGCACAGAGCTTGTGATTCCGATCGTGAACAACCATGTGCTGCAAGGCTCCAAGTACATGTACCTTCGCCTGGCCGATGTTGGCGGCGGTGCGCGCTTTGGTGTCAGCCAGGCCATTCTCATTCTGATCAATGACGATGAACGCGAGCCCGATTCGTCGGATGCTACAACGCTAGCTGTCGCGTCGGGCGTGCCTGCGTTTGTGCTCTTGCTCCTCTTGCTGTTGTTGATTTTGCTTGTGCTTCGCCGCCGCAGGCGACAAAAGCAAGCCAAGCTGACCCCGCCCGACCGCCACCACGCGGCCGTGTCTGGCATCGAGCTCAACCCACTGCATGCGCTGCACGGCACTGGTTCCGGATACGACCATCTTCACGGACCAGGCACGACTTACGACTCGCTCCGCCCGGCTGGCGACGAAGGCATCTATGACGACCTCGGCGCTGTGGCCGTGGCTGCAGATTACGACCGCCTCGGTGCGCCCGCCGCCGATGACACGTACGACAACATTCGCGCCAACCCGGTCTACATTAACGACAAGTCTGACGAGAGTGGGTATGAAGTCACCCGAACTGCCGCTGCAGCCAGCGACTCTGACGGCATCTACGATGGTCTCGGTGGTGGCGCTGGCGAAGAGTCGCCTTACTCTGTGGCCGCCAAGTACCAGGAGGCCTTTGGCCCTGGCCCGGATGCGCCCCCGCAGTACGAAGACACCAATGGTTTTGCCCAAACGGTTCAATATGGCGATGCCAACACCAGCAACGGTGACTACGAAGATACCATGCCAGGAAGCTCCACGCAGTATTCCTCCATTGTCTCTGGTCCTCAGCAGTAAATGCCCGGAATTGGGATCATAACCAGCTCTCCCTTTCCCTTTTGTTAATATGTGTTGTTGTTGCGCGTGGCGCTCGTGATGAGGAAGCCAGTCGAGCGTTGCTTTGTTTTGTTTGTTTGTTTATTCGCTTGCTTTGCTCTTTCTCTCCACACCGCTTCGTATCTGTTTGGGTTTTTTTTTCCTTGTTGTGCTCCTTGATTGTCTGTGTCTGTGACTGTATCTCTTTGTGTTTGTCTGTTGTTTTTCCCACCCGGACTCTTTGTGAGAATTGTCAATACATTTTGTGATACTACCCACAGCTGTAAATTGTTCCACAAGCAACATCCTGTCATCTGGCGTCCCACATTGACATTGACGAAAGCAGTCTTCATTCCGTCGCAGGCACTCCACCTTCCTCCAGTCATGCTGCTTGGAGTGCTTGTTGTGATCAAAGGCAGCCGCGGCCACCGACTCGTCTTCCGGTACCCCGCGCGGCCCGCCTCAGGACAAGTGCGGTTTTTGTTGTTTTGTATTTTGGGATTGAGGTTTTTTGTTGGTTGGACGAGTGAGCGCTGAGTGTTTGAGATCACTGAAGTCGAACGAGCGTCGACAAAGGTTTGAGTTAGTGGCGTTGCATTGGGATTTGGATTTGTAATGGATTTGTAATGGATTTGCAATGAATTTGCAGCGAGATTGTAGCCATTGTTTTGCTCGCCTCACCAGAGCACCACCGCTTGCAGTCCGAGTCCGCGCAGAGTGCACACACAGGGCCCGGATTAGGAGCAGGAGCAGGACCAGGAGGACCAGGAGGACCAGGAGCAGGAGCACGGCCTGGCAGTGCAGCGACTGGCAATGGACTGGTGGGCAGCACCACAGCGACCAACGCGACCAACGCGACCAACAACGCGCCAGGAGCAGCTGGAGCGACGTCATCGCCGTCATCGTCGTCGTCGTATGGATCGCCAAGCAGCGTCGCAGCTGCAGGTCCGAGCATGGGCTCTGGCACCGGCGCAGCGGCGTTCAGCTCGTTCTCGAGCCCGGCTCCGTCGCATCCAGGCACCCCAGGCCCAACTGGAAGTGCAGGCGCGAATAGTACTCTCAATGCACCGGCGTCGGCGTCCGGCTTTATGGCGGGCAGCGCTGGATCTGCTGCTGCTGCTGCTGCTGCTGCTGCTGTCGGCCCCGCTTCGTTGACCGGCGCGTCGGGGCCGGCGTCCTCGTCGTCATCCAGCGCGTCCAATCAGACGGCCAATCAAGCACTTAGGAAGCGGTACGCACAATGGGGAAGCGGCACGGCGCCCGATGGCTTGGCTGCGCCAGACGCCTCAACGGCGTCCACCGACAAGTTTGGCTCAACGTTCGGATTTACGTCCCAACTGCTCGCCGAGATGCTCTCGCCCAAGAATGCATTGTGCGACCAGCCGTTCGAGCTCAAGATAAACGACTTGCTGTTTGTCGGGCATCCTATTCTGTTGCCAAAGTACGTGATAGGCGGTGGGGTTTGTTTGCTTGCTTGTCGGTCCGTCCGTTGCTGACCTCTTCGCTCCACAAAGATACGAGGACTTTATCAGTGCTGAAGAGTTGGGTGAGGAGGACGAGGACTTCAAGTCGCATCAGCGCCCGTCCCCCGTGATGCAGCTCTTCCACCTGGTCTTTGTCTTCCAAGCTGGGCTTTGCACAAGGTACGCAGTTGCGTTGCTTTTCGTGGAACAGCAGCTTGAATCTCCGTGGTTATGTGCTGACCAACTTCCCATCCTCACTTCAATTGTTGTTCTTTGTGTTTTTGATTGTTTTTCGTTTTTCGAAAATGTCTCGCACCAACCCGCGCTCTCCATGTATGGCAGCATCTTCCGGGACTATCAGACCCTTGTCTCACACTTGACTGCGGCCTTCCGTCATGAGGAGCTCAGGTGTGGCTTTCTGAGCGAGCAAGTGCAAATTTTGATTGACATTCTCGATTCCAACGCCATCCTCCCCAGCGCTGGGGCAGCAGGCACTCCAGGGCCAGGTGCACCTGGACTCGACATGCCTGCCGCTTCGTCGCAAGATTGGCAGCACCATGCTCCGACAACAGCACCCTCTTTCCCGGCGTTTGCCGATGCGACCGGACCACCCCAGCCCTCAGTCCCAGCCAAGGCCCGCCCGCCCATACCCAAGCTCGTGACTGCTGCCAGCTCCCCTGCATTATTCGCCACCTCGGCCAATCGGGCATCTTCTGCCATGGCTGCTGCAAGTGGGAACAGCTCGCAGGTGTTGACGCAGCCTGCTGCGCAACAGCTGCCACCCACACTCAATTTGATTGATGCTCGCGAGGCCATCACGAACGAAATCTTGCGGCGGTGCAAGCTGGCTCAGTATGTGCAACACATTTTCAACACACTAAGACCAGGGAGCTCTGCGGCGGGCGTTTCCATCAAGGTCAATGGCTGGATTGAGGTGACCCTGCCCGTGAGACCCATGAATGAGCCAGACCTTCGCCTGACGCACAAAGACTATCTTCGGCGGCATCGCGAGCAACGACAACAGCAACAGCACATGTACCACCAACATGAGCCGCACACCATCTTGAATACCTACCGCGCGTACTCGTTCGGCGGCGCCGGGAGCTCGCACAGCAATGGCGGGGTTGTGCCTGTTGCTGAAATCCACATTCCGAACGGCAATACTTCAGTCACCGTTTGCACACAACCAGTGCTTTTTCAGCCGCTTTCAGAGGAGGCGGTTCAACAAGAGGTGCTCAACATGCGGCCCTACCACACGCTCTTGCTGCGAGTGGACGCACTTGAGCTGCTTGCCTCACTCCCGCCAGACTCGTCCCCGTCACTCAGGCGGCTAGTTCAGCACGCGAGTCCGCTCCGGACACTTCTTGAAATGTCGCAGGAGGTCGGCATTCCCCTCCAGCACATCTTCCGCCTGTCCGCCCACCTCGTTCATTGGCAGCGAGCCTCCGTCACCCACACACTCTCCCGATCAAACGTGTATAGTCTGTCGCCGTGTGCGTCTTTGGCCGTAAACTCCCATTTGGTTTCCGAGTTTTCCAGCAACTTCAAGCAAGGGCCTTCTCTGCACATGCTCTTGTCGCGGTTTTCGTACCCGCGACAACTTGGTGATCACATGGCGTCCATCCCGCCTGAAAAGCAAACGGAAACACTCAAAATGGTTGTCTGGTTGTTGCGACACGATCTTCTCGTTCACCTCAAAGCGTATCTCTACCTGGTGACGCCGTTCATGCCGGTGGTGGACGATCGGTCTCGCGGCTCTCGTCAGCGGGTGCAACCCGCGCACTCTATTTCTGAGAGTGCTCCTGGCGGACCCGTGGCCTTCGGGGGACCCGCAGAACGAGAACGTCATGTCTCATCACACAGCAGCAGCAGCAGCAGCAGCAGCAGCAGCAGCAGGGCGATTGGGTCTGAATCGCTCGATGCCAACACACAACTTTCCGGCGCAAACTCGCTTGGGAAGGATGCCCCAGTGGACGACAACTTGCCGAAAGACTCGCTGTCGGACGCCGAGCTCCAATCCGTCGACGAGCTGTTCCAGGTCACTCGCGCCGAGCTTGGGCACATCCGAAGCGTGTATGCCGGGTATAATTCCAGCGATGTGGACCAGTTTCTGGGGCTGGCAAAGTACTTTCGGGGTCGGCATCACGTTGAAGAGATCATGTTCCGCGAAAATCTCGAGCGTGTGGCTCTGATGCGGCTGCTCGAGCGCTTTTCGAAAGTGCTTGTGACCTGCTGGCACGAGTAGAGTGGGTGTGCATGTGTATGTGTGTGTGTGTGTGTGTGTGTGTGTGTGTGTGTGTGTGTGTGTGTGTGAGTATGTGTGAGTATGTGTGTATGTGTGTTTCTGCATATTCTACAATGGCTTCATTTAATTCATTCGTCAAGTCGAGTGCTGGCTTTGAGCTTGTGCAGTCGAATTTATTTATTGGCTGTTGCTTTTGTTATTTCTTGTTTTGTTTCATTTCTTTTTTTGCTGTCTGAGCCGATCTGAGCCGTTTCCTCGGGCGTGTACGCCACCCCGCGCCGCCGTCTTCGCATCGCCCCGAAAATGTCGACGTTTTCCGCGTCGTGCGATGCTGTCGATGCAAAGTCGCATCCGCCAGACGAGTCGGCTGGGCTGAGCGGCCCATCCAGCGAGCGAGTCGGCGGACGATCATCAGCGGCACAGCCGCCCTTCGTCGCTCGCCCGGCATCATCCAGCAGACGTGTTGAATCATCGTCAACGCCTCTAGCAGGTGGTGCGGCAGTGGCGGCATTGTCGGCATTGTCGCAGCAGCAGCCGCCGGCGCTCCAGTCGCAGCGCTCCGTCCTCGTTGTCGGCGCCTCTCAGCCATCGGAGGCCGCCAACCAGCCCAACCCCCAGTCTCAATCCCAGTCTCACTCCCAGTCAGCAGCAGCAGCAGCAGCAGCAGCAGCGGTGCCTCTGCAAACGCTTGTCTTTCTATGCGGTCCACCCTGCTCGGTTTGTGTTTTGTTCGCTTGAAACGGTGGTGAAGTTGGCTTTCAAAAACCTGTCAAATTCTCAGTTTGCCAGCTTTTGTTTTTGTTTGTTTGTTTGTTTTGTTGTTGTTCATGTGCTTGTTTTTGTTTTTGTTGGACCAATCTAGGGAAAATCCTTCTACATGCTCAACTCGCCGGAACTCATCTCACACGTACGACTCTCGCGTCGAGATCACTTTCGGTGCAATCCGAGAGCGGGATTGCGCACGTTTGCCATTGCGATGAGGCAATTGCTTGTTGCAGGTCACAATGTAAGACCCATCGACAAGAAAAAACTGCGAGTGGTTTTGCAAGCGGGGGGGGAGGGCGGAGACAGAGTTGTGATTCAGCCATCCTCGACTTCCTTGTTGCCACAGGTCCTCATTGACGACGATAACGGCAGCCTGGAGACTCGACAAGAGCTCATCGAACAGGCACGCACTGCAGTCCCGACCATCGAAGTGCATTGCATCGTGTTTCGCCCGCGTGGTGCACAGGTAGGTCGTATATGTGTGTGAAGAGTGGTTTTGAGCGGAACGAAATGGATTGATTCTCAACCCTCCTGCATGTCTCCCTTCCAATTCGAACGTCTGTCGCTCGCTGTGCCCCGCTAGTTGCAATGCAGATGGGCGCGAGAATGGGCACGGGCAGAGCTGACCTTGTACACTCCCGCTGAAATCATCAAGGCACACCAACTCCACCTGCTTCAGGCAGGCTTGCAGCCCGTCACGCCAGCTGCGAGCAGCGGGAGCTACAGCAGTGGGCGCGCTCGAGCTGGTCGTGCACCCATCGTCTACCCTCTGATTACGCCAGCTCCACAGCGTGCCATGCCCGAGAAAGAGTTTTTAGCAGAGCTCCATCGGTGGCGTAACATTTGCTTCCAGCACAACGCCGCAGTTGATGCGGGACCATCAACGTCAGGGTCGCTCCCAGCCGGTCGAGCTCCACTCACGCGGCGTCAGACAACCGCGTCGTTTGTGCCGACAGCCGAGGCGTACACCCGTCCTGTGGCCGATCGCAATCAAACTCCCGCTTCCATCAACGTTGTGCACGAGCTGGTTGTGCCACTGACCTGCAACACCGAGCTGGGGCCGTTCGACATCCCCTGTCTGGTTATTGAATTTGAGCGTGCGCGCATTTTCAGCGCAACCAAACGGCGATGGGAGTTAAAGCCAGAACTCGTCCAAGCGCTGCAGGGGTGGTCTGCCGCACAAGAGCGAAATCGCACTTGCGGCAGAATCGTCTTTACTGCGAGCTACCAGGACCGACCACCAACCCTTCCCAACCGAGCCCGGCCTGACGACCCGGCCACCGTCACAGAGATGGATATGACAGCATTGCTGCCCGATGAGCTGGGCGATGCGAAACCGCGCGCCTCGAAATCAAACGATGGCGACGACCCGGATGTTCAAATCATGCCCCAAACGGCTGAAGAGAGCCTGGCAACCATGCATGTCATGGCTGCAATCGTCTCTGCCCTCCAGCCGCTCACCAAAAGCAGAGCCAACTCGGCCTCCAGCGCCCTCAGTGTACCCGTCTATCTCTTGCTAGTCACCAGCGAAAATGCTGGCTCGACCTTCTTCCCGACACTTGGGAGCGCTGGCGGCAACCCAAGTGGCAGTGCCGCTTTGCTTCAAACAACTGCGTCTCCAACAGGACACATTGCATGGCTCCAGCGGCGGCACCGCTTCAACCTCATGGATGCCGCCTCGCTCTATGTTTGCTCCAATGCTGGGCTTGCAGCAGCGGCGAGAGACGCATGTGTGCGGCGCGTCGACATGGATGTCATTCTGGCCGAGCCTGAGCGCATCACGGCCGTGCGCTCGCTGCCCACGCAGCTGGACTTTCTGGAAACGTGCGACTTTGGTGCGGTTGTCTCACCGGCGTCACTCCAGAGGCAGCTGGCTATGCTTGAGCTCCGGGATGCTGGTGATGTGCCGCGATGGCCGGAAGTGTCGACGGCCGACGAGCAGGACGAGGTGCCGTTGGCGGAGGCTTACTTGCCGACACAGCCCGGTCGTCCGCGACATCGCGCGCGTGCCGTCGAGCTGAAACTGGAAGGGCAGGATGCCCTGGCACCGCACGCCACGGTAATGTGCGACCTGGGCACAGAGGGGTTTGTCCATTGTATGCTGCCGTTTTCTGCAGCCCGTGTTGAGCAATTTCGCGCCGATTTGCGCCAGCGCCATCTCCCGCTCCGCGCGAAACGACTCCAACTGCGGGAAGCAGCCGTCAGCTCTGGGAGTTTTGCCTCGTCGTCTCAGCCAAACCATGCCCTTTCCCGCAGTTCAAGCATCGCCCCCAGTGCCTCTCAACTGTTTCCAGCAGGTGCAGAGGGCCAGACCATTTCGTACGAAGGAGATTCGCTCAAGCACCATGTCCCACAAGAACGGGGAGAGCCTCCACTCCAACAACAGCTTGTTAGCACAGCAGCTGGGACGCAGCTGCCCGAAGCAGTTCCCTCCTCGCTTCCCGATGTGACCGATCGAGTCGAGTTCCTTCAGCAGACGTCGGCTGCTTCGTGGCAGCGGCAGCCGTCTCGACCTCAGCTCACGGCGTCGCAGATTCGATTGCAACAACAGTCCCAACCGTCAAAGTTTGGCCTGAAGAGAAATACCAGCGTTTCTGCTGCTGCAATCGATGTCAGCCATCTGACAGGCCCGGCTTTCGACCCGCCGCTTGATCTGGAAGAGATTGAATCGTATGCCTTTCCAAAAGTGTTTTCCAATGGATCCCGCATGCACGAAACAGACATGCTGGACAGTTCACACTTTCCGCGGCCCCGGATCCGCAATACGCCGAGCGGGCATGTGGAAATATTCGATGAGTGTCGTGGAGAGCAAGAGCAGCACTACCACGTTGCAGTGCAACTCAATCGATCGGGTGAGTTTGATGATTTGATTGTGGCTGTTTTCTTTTGTTTTGTTTTTTTCGTTGAATGCTCTAGGGGGGAGGTTTTTATGTTGCTGACACACTGGATGTCCTTGGGGGGGGGGCGTACTAGGGATTTCGGCAAGCCAGTGTCAATGCGCCTTCAAGTTGAAGTTGGCGGACAGTCCAAGCGAGAGGATGACTGGATGCAAACACATTGTTGCACTGCTCTTGCGATACCTGTATGCGCACGAGGACTTTGAATTTTGTCGCCACGGGGACGGTGCAGCTGGTACAGACCTGGCTCCCGCGCCGGCCCAGTTGCCGTCTGGAGCTACACCTCCTGCCACTGCTTCCCCTGCTTTGAATGCTTCGAACGCATTCGCTGTGTCTGCTGCTGCATCTGCTGCTGCTTCTGCTGTTGCTTCTGCTGCTGCCTCTTCCACTGCCGCTGGCATCTCAGCCCCGCCCCTTGCCACTCGCGTGTTCTCCATCGCAGCCAGCAGCAGCAGCATTCAAGTCGATCACGAAGTCACACTTGGAGTGCGAGCTGTCTCTCCGAGCCTCAGCAGTCAACGTCCCGTAATGCCGCAACCACCACTCCAACCGGTCGCTGCGACGTCATTGCAACCTCCGCAGGCCTCCCAGCAGCCCGTTGTAACGCCCCACTCCTTTCTGCAGCAGCAGACGGCAGTGTCTGTTCCAGGGTCGCAGCCGCAACCCTCGCGCGCAAACTCTGCCACTCGACGTGCCACACGGCTTCTCACGCCCCAATCGCTGCTGCAAACCTGCCAATTGTTGTTGAAACAGTGTGATTTGATGCACGAGGCAGTCGAAGACATTACGGCGATGAGCATCCTGGAAAAGGCCGGCGCCGCTTCCGCTCCAACGCCTCGGGCCAAACCTCCAGCCAAGACAATCGAGTCGTACATGGTCACGTCCGCTTCCAAGGCTCCGAATCGAGCCTCGCCCAGTCTGCAGTCGGAGCCTGCAACTCGAGTGGAAGACACGGCAGTTGCACCTCGGCCACGCAGGCGGCCTGCTGAAGTCGCAACAACCAAAGTGCCTTCAAAGCGACAACGGATGGAGCAGCCAGAGCAAGATCAAGCACGCGAGGCAGCACAACAGGACATACCCCAAGCAGCGGTTGCAGCGGCACCAGCCACGGCTACGGCGCTTCCCAAACCACACGCAGCATCGCAGCAGCAGCAGCAGCACCCATCCGTTCCAACAGTGCCAGCTCCTGCCTCCATTGCAGCGCCCAAGCTACATGCCTATCTCGCTGATTTATTTTGATCATTTTTTCATTGTAATAACCACTACTGTACTGTACCATGTTTGCGGCCGGTGTTAAGAAAAAAAAAACGCAGATTTTTATTTTATTGTTGTTTTCCAATGAGAAAAACGAAACACCGCTTTTTGCGACAACTGGGTTGAATCAACCACAACCATACATTCACACGCCACTTTGAAATCACGCCTGTGGCATCATCTTCTCCATCACATGACACAAAGATGAACATTCAAAAACAAACAAACAAAAAACCAACACCAGATGGTTTTGTTACACGGCAGCGGCATCTGGCGCAGGCTTGTCCTTGAGCAGGCCATACTTCATACGAATGGCGTCCGTCTTGACCTGACGCTCGGAGCGGCGCTCTTCGCTGCGAACAATGCGCTCCTCCTGCTGGCGACGCTGGTCGGTCTCGACGCGCTCGAGGTACTTTTGGAAGTTGCGCTTTGAGCGGCGACGGCAGCAGCAGTAGAGCCAGATGCCAAAGATGAGCACAACGCCACCAATGACGGACGGAATGACAATGACCAAGAGTTGGCCCGAGACGTCGCACTGCTTCCACTGCCAGTCGTTGCCGCTGCAGCCGGTGGTATTGGACGGGCCAATCTCCGAGCCCTTGCGGCACTCCTTGATGGCGCTGCACCAGACGCAGTCCGTCGAGTCGACGCACTTGCTGCAGGTGGTTCGGTTGACGCCGCACTCGGTCGCAGCGTCTGAGAAACAAAAAAAAAAACAGAATCAAACAAACAAACAAACAAACAAACAGTCAGCACAATGCAAAACAAACGCCATCGCATCGACTCGAAACGGGCCAACGTGAGATTTCAAGTCATGTAGAAGAAGAGGAAATAAGAACAGGCAAAGAACAAGTGGAGAAAGCGTCATCGTCGCAACAAAACCGGGAAAAAAAAAGAAGAAAAAGAAAAAAAAAACCTTGCTTTTTTGTATGAGTTTTCCATTACGATTCCGCTGTCTGCCCCTGACCCCGCTTCCCCTTCAACTTCCCTTCCCCCCCCCCTTTGTGCCCCCTTTTGTGCGCCCCTCCTCGTCGGCCTGCCTTCAAACAAAAGCGATGACATTTTTCAAAAGCCGGCTTTCGTTTTTTTTTTTTTTTCTTTTTTTTTTCTTCTTCTCTGTTTTCCTACTCGTGTTCACCACGACTCGCAGCAACCAACCGTCGCCTTCGCCGTCGCCGTCGCCGTCATCGCCTGTGCTGGTCACGAATGACACGCTGGGGAGCCTGTTGTGCCACTGGTCTCACGTCATCGGCTCGTCCCAGCAGAGCATAGAACACTATTAGCGGTTTTATCTCACTCTCTCTCTCTCTTACTCTCGCTCACTCTCGCTCTGCATCCGACACCCCCATGCATGCGTAAAGACAATCCTGCATTGGCCGCTGGAACTTGACGCGCGCGCGCGGCAGTCCCTTTGACGACGCCAAAAAAGCAGCTTTACGTCCAACCAAGCAGCCGAGCGCGCGTGTCTTTGAGCCAGGTGGTCGCCCGTCTCAACAGACAGAAGAAAGAGCAAGAGAGAGACACTCACCAGCGAAAAAGTTTGGGGAGGCGGCGGGCATGGAGACCGCGAGCACGAGCAGCGCCAGAACGGTCGACGACACAATGGTCGCAAACAGTGCGGAAGCAGACCGCATTCTCTGAGACGTGGTGGTGAAAGAAATGTAGAATGAAAAGTGCTGCTAGTGATGCTGTACAAATCAAAAACGAGAAAATCGTGGGATGGAACTTTGATGGACGTCATCGCAAAATGGGAAAGAAAGCGCAATGGAAAGGCCAAAGCATTGGACAAACACGACACATGCGCTACGCACCAAGGCATCGGTGCTCCACGAAACACGAGCGGGAAATGTCGGAAATATCATACTCTTGCTGTTTTATCAAGAGGCGGTGGGTGGACTGGCTCTTGGGGGGCCTGGAGCGCAACGGGGAATTGAAACGAGAAACAAGAGACGCTCCGGATCACACAGGATGGGGTTTGAGAGCTATTTTCCAGGTACAATCGATTTACCAAGGTGTTTCGCGTGACATAAAGCATTCAAAGTATCCAAATTCACGAGAGTATACAAATTTCTTATTGACAACTGCTTGCAATCATGTTTGGCTGGGAACGCACTTTTGCGCATTTTGACACAACTTCAGTCCAAACAAGCATTTGCACCAACAGTTTCACGCGCAGTTAAACCTAGAGTTGAGTCTATGAAGCTAGCGATGGTGGTGCTGTTGTTGCCGGCGCTTCTCCGGTCTGAGCAACCCAGCGGCTTGAATTTCAAGATTCGCCGCTCGCCCTCTCTCTCGCTCTCTTGCCCTCTCACTTCCAAATCACACTCTGAGCGTTTCAGTGTGAATTTTCCTTCCATGCTTGCTTCCCGCAGTGCCGCACTGGGAGTGTTCTGTTTCTTGTTTCACACACTTTGCACGATTCGTTCGCAGCAAGTGCTCCCCGAGGTTTTTTTTCTCGCCCCCCCCCCCGCCTCCCAACAACACTGAGGTGAGCTTGCATATTATTCAGGTTTTTGTTCCAACTAGAGATCACTCTGCTCCGAGTCTGAATCGACTGCTCATTGTATTTTCATCAAAAAACTCATTGCTTTTTTTTTTTTTTTTTTTTTTTTTTTTTTTGGCTGACTTGCTATTGCCTTTTCTTTGTTTCTCTCTCTCTTTTTCTTTGTCTCTCTACTCCCACTCTCCCACTCTCCCCCCCTTTTCCCTGGCTTTCCTCCTTTCAGAAGCACTCCACTTTCCCCCCCCCCCCACCTCTCCTCTTTCACTGGACTCTGGCAGGGGTCTCCCTTTCCGCTGCCCAGTTCGTTCAGCTATCCATCCAATCCCTCCAGCAGCTCTCTCCCGCTCTCCAGTTCTCCCGCTCTCCGGGGTTTTTCCGCTGCTGTGGGTCTCCTGCTGCGCTCGACTGGTTGGATTGACGCCCTCCTCCTCCTCCCCCCCCGACCATCGCCCTCCTCTTCTGCTGGTTGTCCGACGACGAGGCTTTTTTTTTTTTTTTTTTTTTTGATTTCTGTTTTTTTTTTTGAATTTTTTTTTCTTTTAACATGGATCCGAACGAAGCGGTTGTCGTTGTTGCGTTGAGTGCTGGTGCTTCTGATGCTGGTGTTCCATCAACAGCGACAACAGAAGCAGCACTGGTCGACGACGGGAGCAGCAGCAGCAGCAGCAGCAACAGCAGCAGCAACAGCCACAAGAAGACGAAGGTGCCGCGGCTGGCCGTCATTCGGAGCAGCAGCCCTCGAGGAGCTGCAGCAGCATCCACCGCGCTGGCACACAGCCGGTCGCAGAGCCAGAACGACGTGGCATTCGATCGCGCGGTCGGCTCGGCGGTGGCGGCGGTGGCAGGAGACAACAGCGAAGACGACGACAGCCAGGATCATGATCGCAGCAGCAGCAGCAGCAGCAGCAGCAGAGCGAACGGAGGCCGCCGGAAGAGCCAGGGCGATGGTGGGTCGTCGTCCACAGACAATGACGACGACGGCAGAGACGCCGACCACGACGAAGACGACGCCGACGCCGACGCCGACGCCGACCAGCAGCAGCAGCAGCAGCAGCAACAGCAGCAGCAGCGACACCGCGCGCGCGCAATGCTGCACCAGTCAGTGCCCGAGCTGCGCGAGCCCACCGCAGCAGCAGCAGTATCATCACCATCACCATCACCATCATCATCATCATCATTAACAGTCGCCAGTCCTGCTGCTCCGGGAGGCTTGCTGCTGGCTGCGAACGGCGGGCGCAGACGATCCGTCCATGAGAAGCTCAGAGCGACCGTCAGCAACACGGCAATCCACTCGTCTTCTTCTTCTTCTTCTGCTGCTGCTGCTGCTTCATCGTCATCGGCGCACGCGTCTCCAGTGGCAACGTCGGGTGCGCTGGCAGCAACAAGCCCGTCCGTGTTTGCGAGGCGGCGGCGTCGCTCGCAGACCAACAGCAACTCGAGCGGCGGCGGCTCGGACGCGCTGCCGACTCTGAGCCACTTGCTCTCAGACATTAAGCAGCGCGGGGGTCTTGTCACCGACGCTCAGACCTCCCACGCGGCCGACCTCGACATCTCGTCCCTCCAAGCAAGACTGCTCGAAGCCACTACCGCGTGCGAGGCAGAGCGCATTGCTCGCAAGCAGGCAGAGACGCGAAACCAGCCGTTGCTCCAGCAGAACAAGGAGCTTCGCTCGCAGATTGACCGCCTGCAACGCGAGAGCCTTGAGCTCAAGATGGCCGTGCTGCACTACCAACAGAAACTTGCACGGAGCGACAGTCGCATCCAAGAGCTCGAGTCTCGCGAGGAGGCAGCCGCGGCCAATCGAGTGTTGCCGTCCACAGGGGACGCTGGGCTGGGCGTTGTCGACGCAGTCCCAGAAACCACACCCGCGTCATCCACCGACACTTACAGTGCCGCCGACCCAATTCCCACCACTGCACCAGATGAACAAGAGGAGAGTCGTCCTCTCGGCGGATTCTCGCGGAGTGTGGCTTCTATTGCCCCTGGCGCACGTAACAGAGACGCCTCCCCGCGACGTGCTCACGGCGGTGGTGCTGCCAGTGGTGCAGCAGCTGGAGCTGGTGTTACAAGCGCCAAATCTGAGCGCGCGCCGTTGGTCGTCGCAGATGGCTCCGTTTCTGAGGTGATTGTCCCCGTCGTCGCACCCGAGCCGTCATTGAGCAGTCACAAGGCCGCCGTGTCAGAGAGTGAACCGGCATCCCTGTCTTCCAGCCCAACAATCGCTGTGACCCCACCTCCGACAGACACTACCGCAGCGACCACGGTATCCACACCAAACCCGAACGCCTTGCTCATCCATGCTGGACAGGATGTGGCATTGGGCTACGATTCCGATTCATCGCTTGCGTCTCCGAGCCCAAGCTTTGACTCGTCCGCCTCGTGGTCCAAGTCGACGTCCGCCTCGTCCATGGCCAGTGTTGCCAAGGCTCGGCCCTATTCCACCGCAATTCCTCCACCCGATCCGTCGCTGCTCGGGCGCATTGGTCACTGCATTCCCCATCGATTCCATACTTATACCTGCATCAGCCCAAACAAGCGATGCCGTCAGTGTGAGCAGCGCATCGACGGTAGGAGGAGGAGGAGGAGGGTGGTTTTTACTTTTATTTTTTGTGTGTGGCCAACCTGGATTTTTGGACCCATTCACCAGTAACCTGGATTTTTGGACTCATTCACCAGCTCGCCTTGTTTTTCACTCACTCACTTGTCTGATTATCTAATCGTGTCTTGTTTTGGGAACCTGGTTTTTTTTGTGTGTGTGTGTGTGTGTGTGTGTGTGTGTGTGTGTGTGTGTGTGTGTTTTTGTGGTTTTCACAGACTGCGGGTACGTCTGTCATAATGATTGCGAAAGGTTGGCGCCACCTTCGTGCGGTATTCCGAAAGAGCTTCTTTTGGGTCATTCCTCGCCGTTCGGTCTGAGCGACAGCGACACGCCTGGGTCACCAACAACACGAAGCGCGTCAAATTCTTTGAATCGCGGATCGCTGGCGGTCGACGCTGGCTCTGTCTCGTCGTCCACCTCGACGCAGCCTGCAAGTACCACCACTTCCGTCACACGAAAGACGTTTGGCGCCAATATTCCTGGCGTTGTCAACCACACGACGGAAGCGCTCAAAGACAATCCTAACGCCCCCAAATTTGGTCCTGCACATGCCAAAGATCATAAGGACAAGGAGCCGTCCTCTGGATTTTTGCCGCTCATGTTCCTGCGAGCCACCTCTGCTCGTTTGCCCCGGCGCAAAGACCAACCGGTCATGTACAACAGCCTTGGCAATCGCTCTCCGCTCTCTCAAGAGCAACCGGTCACGACGGCCGATGTGTCGAGGCTGCTCGCTTCCAAAATGGTCTTTGGCGGGACGGTCACCGGGTTGTGCATGGCCGAGCAGCGCCCCGTTCCCTTCATCATTGAGGCTAGTGTGAACGCCATCGAGAGCAAAGATCTCGACGCCGAGGGTCTCTACCGTATCTCGGGTGCAACTTCTGAAATTGCTGCACTCAAGCTCAAATTTTCCTACGGCCGTCCCAACCTCGACGATGTTAACGTGCATACCATCACTGGTACACTGAAGGTGTTCTTCCGCGAGCTATCAGAGCCGTTTATTGCCCCCGATTTGATCCAGCGATCGATTGCTGTGGCTTCGGGTATGTGTGTGTGTGTGTGTCGTGATTTTTGGGTGATCAGCTCGCCCCTCGTTCTCATCCCCGTTTTTTGTGTTTTCTTCTTGTGATTTCTCGACTTTCTTCTTTGAACATATGACCAGGCTATCCCAAAGGAACACGACTTCCGGTTGATGCGCTTGCAGAGATCCTGAAGGACCTGCCTCGCGAAATGTTCTGCTCGCTTCAAACGCTCATGATGCATTTGCGGAGGTATGTTCCAGTTTGAATGTGCTTGATGCGTTCTGCTTCAACGAGCATGTTTTTTTTGGATCCTTGATTGAGACTCTGCTCCCTTTCCTCACTCACACTGGTGCCGTTGGCTTGACAGAGTGAGCGAACACGCGCAGTCGAACAAAATGTCTGTCCGAAACCTCGCCACCGTCTTTGCCCCGACCCTTGTTCGCACGGGCACGGACAGTGCTTCGGATTCACTCCAGTTTGTCAAGCATGCCGGCCCTGGGCTTCAGTTGGTGGAGTCGCTCATCTCATTGTCGTCACAAGACTGGTTTGAGCTGGACGGCTTGTCTGTCGCCCGCCAGGTTTCGCTTTCTGGACTGGCGCTGAAGCGACTTTCTTCCACGGACGAGTCATCTCAGTCTTCGAAAGAGAGCCCACGGCCCTCGTCTGAGGAAGTGACCCTCCGGCAAGAGTTGAATTCGACTGGGGAAGTGCTACAGTTGCCGCAGAATGCCGAGCCGCCGACACCCAATGGCCGCCCCAAGTCTGCCAACGACCTCGACACGGCAACAGTCGTTCCCGAGGGTCTGGAGCAGACCCAACCGTTGAACAACTCTCAAGAGTTTAAAAACTTGATGAATGCGAGCGGGGTGGACAACGACGACCAAGCCATGATCCTGGCGGCGTCTGCAGTCTCACGCAACAACCGTCGCTCGCACTCTGTGCAACGCCAATCCGCCTATGAAGCAGCTCGCGCGCGCGGATCCGTGGCAAGCGACTCCATGTCGCCCCCAATGTCGCCACTGCCCCCTGCCACCCCCACGTCGCCCAATCGAGGCTATCGACCAAGTGTAATTCTCGAGTCTGATGGATTGGAGGACCAAGCAGGCTCCGACCTGCCCGAGCAAGATGCGACTGGCGAGGATCTGAGCGCTGCATTTGTCCTTACGCCCGAGCACATGCACATGCTGGACAATATGCAGGATAGTGAAGTGTAGCTGTGAATTTTTTTTTTTTTTTTTGTCGTTCGATTTCTGTCTTGTGTGTGTTGCGCCCATTTTTTTTTTTTTTTTCGTTTCCCTCATCCCTCCTTATTTCTTGTTTTTTGTTTTTGTGAAAGTGTTTCGTTGATGATGTCTGCACTTTGTTGACTTCAGTTTGTGGCGCTTTGTGATGTGTCCACCTTGTTCTCGCCTTTTGTGTCTTCTATCGCGTGTGATTTGTAGCATTCAATTTTGACTCGATGACGTATTGCCAAATTGCCAATGCACGAGGGTTTGGAGTGTGTGTCACAACAAGTGTTAAATCAACAACGCAGAAAAAAACAAATACAAAAGTAAACTAACGAAGGGGCAGATCGGGCGCATGACGCAAGATCAAAGTGCTCATGAGGCATGCAACATGAAAAAAAAAATACATAACAAGGAACCAAAGCAATAACAAAATGTGGGAGCGCTGAATCGCTACACAGCTTCCGACTCGAAGCGCATAGCTTCATAATACGACTGTGGGGTGTCATCGTAGCGGAGGCGTGCCAGGGGAAAGTCGTAGCCTTGAGCTGCGGCTGGGGAAACATGATTTCCGAGCGCTTCAGCAGCCTTTTGGTCTGAAAGGTCGTGATTCGACGCAAAGGTGGACGATGTGTGCCGACTTGAGGCCGCTGAATCGCCGGGAGACGGGGGAGCAAACAGGGGTCGTTGGAGACCGGCGTGCGAATCGGGCCGCTTGGACACAAACCGGTAGCGTTTCTTGGGGTCGCTATGCGTGCTGTCGGCCGAATCGTCGATAATCAAAATATCTTCCAAGTCCAGATCAGGCTCTACCACACTGGCGCGCACGTCGTCGTACACGCCCAGATTCACCATCATCTGATGCTCGAGGTTGAGCGTGGCAGTAGAGTTTGCCGACGAAGGAGTCAGCAAGCTGCGAATGCTGTGCATGACGCTCGTCCCTTGCGATCCAGGGCTGGCGGGCCGCGGGCTGCTGGCGCGCGGAGATCGCGACTTTTTGTGGAAGAGCTCAGAGTTGGAGCGGCGGTGGCTCTGGTTTGTCTTCAAATCCTCAGACTTGCAGCGTCCGAGTTGGGTCTTTGGCACTTCGAGCTGGTCTGCCGGGCGGTGATAGATGTGGTCGTTGTCCTGCTGCTGCAGCGACGAAGGGCCTGCCAGCGCGGCGATTTGAGCCTGGTCAAGGGCGTCATACAAGACGGGGGTGGACTTGGAGCGAGCACGCAGTTCGCTGTACTCGGCAGCGTTGCGTAGGTTGGCACCCTGCGGGGTTTGCGGGGTTTGCGGCGCCGCGTGCGTCAAGTCGCCGCTGGGCTGCTTTCGGAGAAGCACTTGGTTGCTGAGACGCTCAACACGAATCACGCGCACATTGGTTGGCTGGCGCGCAAGGGCCTGGTGAGCGAGCAGTGGTGCAGCGCCACCGCCAAGGCCCGAGTGGTTGTTGGAGCCGGCTGGCGACTCGAGAGTGCCGACGTGCGTCGATCGCGTCGAGTTCAGCGTGCTCAGCAATTCACGGTATGCACCCTTCACTTGGTCGCTGGTGCAGTAGACAAACGCCAGAATGACACCCTGGAGGCCGTTGCAGATGACAAAGAGCCAGACAAACACGCTCTGGCTGTCGCTCACCATCACCAGCAGACCGAGGCCCCAACTCAAGCCAAGCAAGGCAGTCATGCCCGCAAACACTTTGGCGTTGTGGGCATACGCTCCGTCAAACAGCTTGTTGGCGTGCACCATAATTCTGGCAATCTTGAAGAAGATGACAAAGTTGACGGCAATAATAAGGAGCACCGGAACGGCGAGTGAGCAGATTGCACCGACGGCCGACGGAATGAAGCAAATCCGCCCGTCGTCAAACATGTCGCCGTACACGCCATCGAGATCACCGCCAGTGGCAGCAGCGAAAATGGCAATGTAGACACACATCAGGAGCGCAGGTGCGAGGACAATGACTCGCACGTATTGGCGGAAGCTGCGATCAAGGCTCGTCGAAAGCTCAGTGGTTGCGATAGAGCGGAAGAGATGCAGGCCATGCACAAAGCTCGAGAAGAATTGCAACAGGAGCACATAGTGGAATAGAACGCCGAGGGCAATGCACCCCGCGTTCGACGCTGTACCGGCCAGCGACGTCGACAGGATGAAAAACAGCTGGACCAGCACAATGCTTCCGCAAAGAATCAGCAGCAGCTTGATGGGGACTTTGCGCAGGCTGCGGAAGACGAGGAAGGTCACAATGGTGATGAGGCACCCAACGATGGTCACGGCACAGCCAATGTAGGTCAGATACTCGAGCGCCTCGCCTTCGACCGACGACGCCAAGGCCGTCCCAGCGGCGCGGTCGGTGACAAACAAGACCGCAAAGTTGGTCAAATGCGCGCACTGGCAGTCGACCGTTCCGTTCGAGTGGACGGCTACCCGTTGGCAGCCGGTCGTGTCCCACATACCACTAGGCGACGCTTCCGAGTGGAGCGAGAAGTTCCAAAACCCGCACTCGACTGCCGCGGCCAGCGTCGTCCAGTCGGCCGTGGCGGAAGGGTTGACAGTGTGTGGAGTGGTCGAATTGGCTGCAAGGAGAATGCGAGCAGTCGTGAGGACGTGCGTGGCATTCGGGAGGATTTGCAGTGAGAAGCGATACAATCCAGCGGGAGTTGCGTCAGTGCTGGACTCGACCACGTCGGCCGCAATGACCGAGCTGAGCAGGAAGCGCGAAAACACGAGCTCGCCCGCAGCAGGTGCGGCAGTGGACGTCGGGGAAGCACCAACAATCGACGAAGATGGAGTGGTCTCGACGGCAAGAGCTGACGCGACCACGTTTGCGACACGCGCCAGGCCAGCTGTCGATGCGAAAGAGAGGGTTTGGGCGTCGTTCTCGAAGAAGCTGGGTTTGCTGTAAAAGATAAATCCGATCGACAGGCTCGATTCACACTCGCTGCTCACCGCAGCGCTTGCGAGATTAGACAGCGTCGATGGCAGGGAAAAGCGCGCGCTTTGGTCGGCAGAGTGCCATTGCAAGCCAGCGGCGCTGGAGCCCGAAGCGCGCAATGAAGCCGTTTCCATGTTGGAGCTACCGGTGCTAACTCGCTCCGAGTCGCACGACAGCGGCGCTGAGGCCGAAGCCCCACGCGCGAGCGACTGAGCAGCGCGGCGAGTCAGCTCGGCCGGGTGCTGACTTGCGAGCGCATCCGAAGGAATGCTGGTCATGAGCGCGTCGACACTCCAAGTCTCGTCCGCCGTGGACAGCATAGTGCCGATTGCGGCGAGAGCAGGGGCGGCAATTTGCGCAGAGCCAGGGCTGGTCGTGTTGGAGGATAGCGTCAGGGCGGCGTCGAGTGCGCCAACCACCGCCAACGCCGAGGAATCCGAGACTTGAAGCGCCACTGCGGCCAGACTCTCGATGGCAGACTGCGCACCTGCAACATCTGCACTGTTGACAGCCTGAGTGATGCTAGCGAGAAGGTTGTTGACTAGTCCAAACAGAGGGCATGAGAAGAGAAAAAAAAATCAAACAAACAAGCAAACAAGCAAACAAACAAACAAAAAAAATGCGAGCGTGAGAAACACACACAATAGAACTCAATCATCATTGGTGTGGTTAAACCTACGACAGCTAGCGGAGGAGGGCTGCACTTGAACGGAGGACATTGAGAGGTGGTGCAAAGCGGTGATCTGCTCGTCCGAAATGCACAGTTGGGTGTTGTTTTGAATCAGGATGTCGCCGTTCACGGTGGTCAGAGTTGGAATGCCGATGATGGAGGAGAGAGCAAGGTTGTTTGCAATTTCAAGCCGACCCACAATGTTGGTGAGCTGATTGAGTTTGAAGGAAGTAATGTCGGCCGTGTTGGAGACAATCAAATCGCCAGCGATCGAAGTCAAAGACGAAGGGAGCGCAATTTGGTCGTTCAAAAAGCCCGCGCCAGGGAGCGGTGCCAAATGGATGGAGCCAGCGTATGCGCTGCATCCCACGAGGAAGAGGGCCAACTCCACTGGGTTGGAGATGACCACATTTCCCGTGCAGCTTGCCGGGGCCGCCGCGGTCGTGCTCGACGCAACCGGAGTGGTAGAAATGGGCGTCGTCGATGCCACAGGAGTGGTGGAGATGGGCGTCGTCGATGCCACGTGGTGGGGAAACCACACTCTGACGGTGCGAAGGGAAGCGTCAACAGAGACTGGCCCGCTACGCTGGAGGGATAGGCACAGACGGCATTTTGAAGGATGGATTTGCGAGGATGACTTCGAATGTAGTCAAGCTCGCAGCAGTTGAGGCTGTTTGAGGCCAGGTTTCTGTCGGTTTGAAGGGGAAACAGTGAGCACAAAGTTGACTCAAACAAGTTAGATGAGGGTTGGCGCGGGATGCTGAATGCTGGTTGCTCTTCAGGGGCATGGCAAGCGAATAAATCGCGGCGATGGGGGCGAAGGTGTGGGCAAGCCGGAAAACAATCGAAACTCCCGCCCCCGCGAAAAAGCGACTCGCGACAACGGCAAAATCGATCCAATCGAGTCGATCCAATCGAGAGGAACAGACACAGAGCAACTCATCCATGTCAACGGACGACAGGATTTTGCTCCCTCGGCAACCCCAGAACCAACCGAGCTGCACGCAGTGTTCGCTCCGTTTCCGAAATGGCGTCTTCTGCGCGCTTTCATGCGCCGACGATTTTGGAAGGGTTGATTTGTTCTAGCTGCGATTGGTTTTTTGGTGGCGTGCCTTTCCCAGCCCCTCCCCGCTTTTTCTTACAAGGTGGTCACGGTGGCTGGTATGTTGGCGAACACGGCTGGTGCGAGCGTTGTGATTTGATTGGACACCAGGATTCTTGCAGGAGACAAACCGAGAGAGAAGCAACAACGAAAACAAACAAACAAATAAAAAAAGTCAAAGCAAAGTACAAGTCAGCAAACAAGAAATCTGGGTGCATGTGTGCGTGTGTTCGTGTGTTGGGAAGAGGAAGAGCAGGGCGGGGGTAGAGCTGGAAATGAGATCGAAAGAGATAATTGGACGAATAAACAAAAGCCACAACAAGCTGGTAAACAACAAGGCGAAATTCCGCTTCCGTCCCCACCCCCCACCTCGCCCCGTCCTTCCTTGTTGCCGTGCTACCGGATGCAAAAACGTTCATACAAATCTCGAGGCAGCGAGAGAGGGATTGAACGAGAAAAAACCAAAAAAAAAACCCCCTAAGGGGTAGAGGGCAAGCCCACAAAAATACAAATAAAAAGAAAAAAAAAAGAAAAAAAGGGCAGATGATTTTCGTGACAGCTTACAGGTTTTGCAAGTTCGGAAGGGAAGCGAACGCGTTGACATCAATGGAAGCGATGGCGTTGTTGGTGAGGTCTCTGTTGAGTTTGGGGAGAGCGAATCAAAAAAACCAAAACAGCCACAAAAAAAAAAAAAAAAAAAAAAAACAAAAGCGTAGGAGGTTTGCGGTTCCAACAGGATGAGTCATCGAACGACAAAACGCTTTGATCAGCAGCATCTGCAGCAAACCTCATCTCATTCTCAATTGCAGCAATCTCATCCGATCTGCATAACATTCCATCTCTGTCGTCTGTCATCCGATCGGCTTGATTGCCCAACAGCATTGCTGAGGGCGGCTGGACGCTAAAAACGCAGCCGATAGATTATAGATCTCGTTTTGCCCGATTGGACGCGGAGGAGCGGCAGTTTTTGTGCCACCCACCTTCTCGCGTTCCACGTTTTCTCCCGCGCCTTCCTCTCCACTCAAGCCACAGCAGAGGTGCATGGAGAGCGGCCTCCAACCAAGACCAACCCGACAGCCCACAGCCGCCTCTCACCACGAGCGGACAGTCGCAGCAACAAGTCAACGCACAAGAAAAAAAAAATCACAAGACTTGGAAGAAAAAAAAAATACAAAAACCCCCAACACCAGAAACAGAAACGTACAGCGTGATGAGGGTCGGCACGGCCAAGCTGAGCAGGCGCGAAGCAAGCGCTGTAATTCCCGGATTGTTGATTTGAGTGCTGTTGTTGCAGATGAGCACACATCAGAGAAGCATCAGCGGTGAGAAGCAAAAAAAAAAAATACACGAAAAAAATCAAAAAAAAAAAAAAAAAAAAGAAGCAAAAAAGCCCGCAAAACCATCGTTGAGAATAGTGGAGAGATCGACAGATCGGAGGGTCAACAGGAGCAACTGCGACACGCCACCGCACCGCAAGGGCAGCAAGAGCAGCGGGGTACAATCATCAAACAGAGGTCGGGATACAGCAGACGAGAGCAGAGTCATCGCAGGCGACAAGCGATGCACATTACACATGGACAATCTACCAAAAAAAAAAAAAAAAAAAAAAAAAAAAAAAAAAAAAAAAAAGAAAGCACCGCAAACTGCTCCATGCGTTCTTCCCTTCAATGCCTCTCTGCGTCGGGCGACGGGCGAAACAGGAGCGGTCGCTTACAAGGAAGTGGCACCAACGGGAATCTCCCCAACGAGGAGCCCACTGAGCGGGCCATCGCAGGTGACATCGGCATAATCGCAGGTGCACAACAGCAGCGAGAGGTTGAGGCCGAAAAGGCAGACCGCTTCGGCGCTGCGTACAAGCGCAGCCACCAGCGCCACCAGCAGCAGCAGCAGCAGCACCACCCGCCGTGACATCGACTGCCGGTGTAGAGATGTGCGTGCTGGTGCTCGTGCTCTGCAGGAGCGGGGTGCTAATGGTGTTGATTGCTGGATCATCGGCAGCCAAAAAAAACCAGGTGGGAGGAAAAAAAAGGAAAAAAAAAAAAAAAAAAGATTGATCACAAAAGAAGAAAAAAGCAAGAAAAAATCCAAACGAACTAGGACCCAAGCTGTTTGCGCCAGCACCAACAGTGCAAAATCGACATGGGAGACCTTGACAACCCGCCAAAACAAGGAATGCGGCTAAGCGAATAAGATGCGGGAAGAGGGCATTGCTACCACAGTTCGACGCAAAGCGAAACTCGCACAAAAGTGTAAAATGAAAATGACAAGTCACAATTAGGATTGCGTTGCTGTAAAAAAAAAAAAAAAAAAAAAAAAAAAAAAACCCAAAAATGCATGACCATTGAGATTAGTGTACATTGTCATTGAGCATAACACGCGTGAGGACACGAGAATGGCTGATGTCGCCAGGAGGGCTACAGTATCGATTGCTCGCCTCGTTGTCGGTTGTCTACAGTCGCTCATGGTTGTGCTTGCGCTCAAGTTGTGTATTCAACAAGAACAATTCACAAATCGGGTACAACGCGCAAAGGGGAAACGAGTGCGATAGTCACGTCGAGTACCTGTTCGAAGCACTGGGAGTTGACAGTTGCTCAAGCTCAAAGGTCAGCCTGACAGCAGTGGATTCATGCGGGCCCTCAAATTGTTGGGAGTTTTGCATTTGCCTGCGAATGATCGGTGATTCGCTTTTCAAGCATGATGGGGGGGGGGGAAAAGATCCATCGACGATTGTCAAAAAACAAAGACAAGACAGGACGAGTGGCAGAATTGATGGCCATGTACAGTAGTTGCTCAAGTTGTACGCAACGTTGATGGAGGAAGGACTGACGGTGAGCGGGGCATCGTCACTGGTGGCTGCACGGCGAGCGCTGGAAATGACCGTTTTGCGAGCCGAAGTGGACGGGACGAAATCGATTCGGCAATGTCAGATCGAGCGTGTACTCGAGCGTCTTGCTGGTGCGGTTACCCTTGTCGGATTCAAACAAGTGGAACTGTTGATTGGGGAGAGCCAAGGAAATCGATACGAGCATTGTAGATTGTGAGTGAGAGAAAACGAGAAACTGCGACAAGCCTCATCCAACCTTACATTGCACATGAAGAGCTCTGACGCGACGGCGAGAGGCATCTTGTCCACAATGACATAGTTGTTGGCAGCCGACATGCGGGAGGCGACGTTTCGGAGGATGAGCGAGGTGACAACGTTATTGACAGAGTCTGGCTCGCCGTCGACAAACTTGGCCATTTCTTCAACGCGTCATGTACTTGCCTATGAAAAGTCGACGATCAACAAGACCCGAGCGTGGCGAACAAACGGTCAGTTTTGACCATGCCCGTGGTCTAGAATGCGCATGGTGGACGGTACTGTACCATAGTCCTCGCTGGCAGGCGCCTTGAGCGTGGAGGCGAGTGCGTCCGTGTTGCGCTGCTTGATGGCAAAGATGCCCGAGATGAATGCACTGGAAGCAAAGTCAAACTCGACAGCACGTCGGTCGAGGCTGTTCTGGTCGGCAGGCACGAGCGGGTTGCGATGCGAATTCGATGGCGGCAATCATGCCAGAAGCCACTTCCGACTTGACGTGGCGGGCGCCTGATCCGCTGTGTGCGACTGGTCAAACTGTGAATCAGAGCGACACTATGATCCAGAGCGAGTCAAGTGAGTGACGTGCCATTGGGGTGAAGGTTGATTGGAGAGAGGATCACAGTCGGTCTCCATTGGCAGGTATCATGAGTGAGGCTCAGGCTCAGGAGGCACACACAGCGACGACGCGCGTTCGTGGTGTGGGGGGATGAAAACATGCGACGTGTAGCAAGCAGCGAGAGAGAGTGAGAGTGAGAGAGAGAGAGAGAGAGAGAGAGAGAGAGAGAGATGAAGTGTGCCACAACAAAACGCACCGTGAGCGCTGAGGACGGCAATGCTCAATGCAAGCAGTGCTGCGACTGCTGTGAACGCGAAACTGCGCTGCTGCAGTGCCATTGCGAGGAATGAAGAGAATAAAAAAAAAAAAAAAAAAAAGAAAAATGAAGAGTAGATCTAAATCGAAGGAACGAAGAACAACTGCAAAGGGTCATTGAGCAAAAGACCAGACTTGAAGGATTTCAACAATGCTCAGCAGTTGCACCCACGCAAGGCACACAAGGGGAGACGAGTGGAAAGAGTCCTTGCTTGCACACTTCAGAGCAGTGCACTTGTTGTTGAATCAGGCCCTTGTGCACGACTCTGACGACGTGGCATCGTGGAGCTCGAGGGCAAAGATGAGTGTCTTTTGGCGGACGAATGGCTGGATTTGGATGCATTTGATCGATATCCCTCCTCAGCACCAACGTTCATCGCCATCGCTCTGATGGGCACAGCAAGGCACAATCGGTGCTACACGAGCGGTTTTTGACGGAATTTCATGCCGCCCTCCTCAACAGAGTGCTCAAATGGAGGAGCTGTCAAAATGATAAAATAACAAGTTTATTGGTTAAAATGACAAAGCCGCTTCAAACGACGCCGCCGTCGCTCAGCCCCATGCAGCAGACCAGCACACACGATCGTCGTGTGCGTACGTGTATGCGTGTTTGAGAGTGCATGGTGCGATCGCACTGTGGATGGGTGCGGCTTATGAGGATTGTCCTCACCATGAGACGCCACTTGGTCATGGTTGCTGCCGATCTCGGTTGCTGCCGATCTCGGTTGCCGCCCCATGCTACAGATCAACACCAAGAGGACAAGGACATCCATGCGCGACGCGGTGGGACGAACAACAATCCCCCTCCCCAAACCAGTTCGGGGTAGTGCGTTCCCCCAAAACCCACGCAATGTCAAACTTATCAGCCGACAGAATGAATGAATGGAGGTAAGTCAGCCCGTTGGCGGCGAACAATCACGCGGTCGGCATTTTTCTCCCCCTCTTATTATGATTTGTGCTCTATTTACTATCCCGATCATTAAATTTCGACCCCCCCTCTTTTTTTCACTTTTTCGCCCTCCCTGGGACCTGTGTTGCTTTCCGTCTCGCCCGCGGAATGTTCATTCATGGTACGGTGTACCGAACGTCTGATGAACACCGGGAGCGGGGGTTGTGAGTCATATCAGAGCAGCAGCGAGCAAAATA